GGCCGCCCAATGCTTTTAATTAAAGCACCCCAAAGACCCCCCCCAAAAGACGTGGGTGGAGGGGGAGGAAGAACAACACAGCGATTGTCTCCGGACAATGAAAGTTTATTTTTATGGACACCCCACACACACACACACACATACATAGTTGTAGATACAGATACAGATACACCCACATGGCCTCATAGAACCATTCGAGGCAGCGCCATAATGGCCCAAAGAACCAACTACTTTCTGTTCGGAAATTCATTTTGGCAAACAGAGAGAGAGAGAAGGGAACACTGGACAGAGAAGGATAGAGCAAGGGGAAGAAGAGATAAAGAGAGAGAGAGAGAGAAGAGAAAGGGGAAGCAAGAGGCAGTGAGGAAGCAGAGGGGAAAGGAAGCGAGCATGGGGAAAGTGACAAAAGTTTTCGTATTTTTTTTTTACCCCCCCCCTCCAATTACTTCTATGCGAATGAATCCGCCAAAAGGATTGAAGATTCAATTGGCATTTGCAGGGTGCGGAACGCCTTGGGGAGTACATGCATAGCTTGAAATCTGAGATACAAATGTATCTGCGTATGTGTGCAGCTGTCTATTGGATTGAGTGGATGAGTTGCAGGAAGAAGGACACAGACAAAGTGAAAGAGATATATGCACATATACGTATCTGCACATTCAAGTGCTTACATAGATAGATAAAGATACAGATAGATTCAACTAAAGATACATACAAGTATCTGCATAGATGGAATATCTTGAGAATTAAAGGGCTTAATAATTGCCACATAAAGATAAACGGAATCACATAATAAAGATACTCTCCCCCAAAGATACAAGAACAAACCCCATGGATGCATTTCAGATAAATATTATGTACATACATACATGTACATATATACATATGTATGTATGTATATACCATGTGCTGCTTCCGTGGCTGATTTGTTTTTCTGCTTTGGGAATTTAACAGTTTGAGAAATATCTCAGACCCAATGCTCCCTCTTCCTCCTACTCCTCTCTCTCTCTCTCTCTCTCTCTCTGTGTCTCTGTTGCGGAACACTTGAAATGCAATTTGCTTTTGTTTCGCTTTTGGCCAAAAAGGCTTTCGACGATCGTCTCCGGCCCCGTCTCCGTGTCCGTGTCCGTGTCAGACGTTCGCTCGCTTGCTCGATCGCTTGCTGTTTTCGTGTGAAATGTGGAGTGCGACTCAGGCACGTACCGCTAAGATAATACCACAATACGATATGTACGAGTATACATACATATAGACGACAACGACGCTCGTTTGCATATAATAACTCAAATACTTAATGTATTTATGCGGCGATTTTCACATTGCACAAAGCCGCACATGCCACAAAGGCCATGCGGATTATGTGTGTGCTGCTGCTGCTGCTCCTACTCCGTGGTATCGGCACAACTGGATTGTGCAAGCGGGAATACCGATTCGATTCGAAACGATTCGATTTGATCGAATTCCCAGCATGAAATATGCAAGTGAATCCCTCAAGTGAGTCACTAGCCATCGCTTAGTCGTACACACATTTCGGGCTATTTCTTTTTTGTTTTCTGTATTCTGTTTTTTTTTTTTCGGGAACGTGACCACAGAGTGCCTTCCATATATTTATGTGGTTAATTTTGGGTTGCATATTGCTGGTTGTTATTGGGTTAAGGCGAAATCGGGCATTGCTCATTCGCTATTCATTCACCAGTACGAATGAATGAACGATGTATCAATATATATACCTACATATGTATGTATGAATGATATTCGATACTGGCGATCTTGGAGGTTATCGATCGACTTATCGATCATTTCTTAGTGTGGGTTTTTTTTCTAGCCAAAATTTATATTTATAATCGATGAATCGGATCCCCAAAAATCTAGAATTATCGATAAATGTTTAAGCTAATTGTGAAACTTTGCATTTATCGTTTATTGATTGAAAGAGCGATACATTTCGATACATTTGTAAACATATTTCTGAATATATGTATTTTGAATATTTTATTAACCAAAATGAATAATCAATGAAGGAATCAATGGAATTCCATTACATTTATCGATATTTGATACCTGATTGATAACTTGATTAACAAATCGTTTTGCTTGCTTATTTATGGTTTGTTTTTCCCATACCCTCCCTCCCGCCCCCTCGGGCATATCTTCACATCTTCATCTTCACAAATCGAACACCATTGCATATTCATGGGGGAAGGGGGACTACGGCTCGGTACAGCCATCGATCGATCGCCACACGATCCATTGCGTAAGCTGCTTCTCTGTTCTCTCTCTCTCTCTCCCTCTCTCCCTCGCTAGCACACATGGCTGTTCTGACAATCGATCGATTCGGAGGCAAAAACTTGTACACTTGAGGGCAATTCACATGCCACAGAGCCCGCATCTCGCAGCAGCAGCCGCGCAAATGACTTTATTTGCTGGCTGGAATGTCACTCGAGAGCACTCCGAGATAGAGATACAGATATAGACAGAAAGATAGTGAGGGGCCCAGCAGCATCCTGCTGGGCCAACGCGACGCATGCGCAATATTTGACTGCACAGAGTCAGAGGGTGTGGGGGGGGTGCTCGGGCTCCTGTGCGGCGGCCCCTCTCCTAGCCGTGACCTCAAAAGGCGGCCAGAGGAGGCCACGCATGCTGTCGCCGTCACGCTGTCTGCCGCTGACGTCTGACGTTGACGTGCACCGCATTTGGTCAAAATGAGCCACAGAGAGACAGAGCCAGGCCTGAACCACAGCCAAAAGTTAAACCAAAAATCGACAAAAACCAAAAACCGAAAAACCGAATTGAAACGTTTTGTGAGGCGAATGTCAAAAGTGATTTTCGTTGCAACAGCAAACGGGGCAACAGCAGCAGAAAACAGCAAACAGCCAACAAACATCAAAGGCAGCAAAGGCATTAAAAGCTCTCTCACAAAACAAAGTTTAAAAAAACAACAAAAAAAACCAAACCAGAGTACACATAAAAAAAGAAGAAAAAAAGTTAAATTTTTGCAATGCAAAGGTGTTAATACCCTAGAGGCTACAGGTTTTAAGCTAAAAATATACAAGAGTCAAAATTCTTACAGTAGTTAATACATAGAATAAATCATCAACAAACCAAGCATGTAATTCGATAGCATTTATCAATAATTATCGATAATTTGTTGTGCTTTTTTTCCGGCTTTAGAAATGGATAATATAAGGGAATAGCATTCGTGAACCTGCCATCAAGTTGCTCCAAAAAGTCTCTCTCTATTCATTTGTATCTGCTGTGCTGAGACTAAGGCTTTGAGCAATGAAGAATGAATGTACGGCAGAGTGTTGCCAAGTGTTAATGGAAAGCAGCATACCCTCCCTCCTCTGCCCCGTCTCAGTCCCACTCAGTCCAGGGTATGAGGCGAAAGAAACATGCGAAAGTCATAAATCATAATTCTTTATTCTGACTTTATTTTGTGTTGTTCGCTTATTTCGTTTCGTTGTTTGGTTGTTGACTGACTTTTGGGGTTTGCCAGCAAAGAGAGAGAGAGAAGGAGAGAGGTAGGGGTAGGGTGAATGGGGATAGAGGGTAAAACTTATAGAGCATGTCTCTCTCACATTCAGCAAAACCAAAAAAACCAAAAAAAAGCACACACTTTTCTGGCCATATGATAAATGAGTCAAGGGGCGGGGGCAGGGGCCAGTGGCAGCAAACAGCAAAACAAAAATGAGATTTTTGTGTTCTGGATTATGGGCCCCCATACCCCATACGCTTTTGAAGTTTTTTTGACAGCCTCAATTTGCATTTTGAGCGGCAGGCAGGCAGCCCCTACAGCCCTCTACAGCCCCCTCCCACCGAAAAAATCAACCGCAAGAGTCATCCCCACAGATCCACAGATCGACATTGACCGCTGGCCGCCAGTTTGCCAGTCGCCTGATCCTCTCTGATCGTCATAGTTCCATCATTTGCGAAAAAAAAACCGCAAGCGAAATTCCACAAGCCACTGGAATTGTTACCCGCGGCTACAGAACGACTACAAGTAATTTTGGGCAGTTCGATCTATGGACTGGGTAAATACCCTAGGAAGGGGATTACTAGGGGATGACTAGGGATTGCAATAAGCCGCCGATACGTATTCGACCCAAAAAGGGCCTCTTCTTTCGGGTAAACCCAACATTTCTTTTGTTTTTCCTTCAACTTTCAACTGCAGCTTCCCTCAGACTTGCCCTTGCACCTTTTGTCGGGAATGCTTACAGGCCGAAGGCTGCTGCTGCATGTCTCCGCTTCAGTGGCAGCTTTTATAGCTTTTTTGATGCCTGCCTTCCTTGCGGGAATTTTACCAAGCAAGGGGCACTGCTGCCTGCCGCGTGACACGATCTATTTTTTTTTTTTTTTCTCTTGGAGATCTCTCTCGCGTTTTGCCTTTTGGGGGTTGAGGAGCAGCTGCACCTCTGCTGCCTGGAGAGGTGCCTCGGAGTCAAATGAATTCAACGGATGATTGCCTTCAATTGCAATTCAATTCGGTTTCAATTGGAATTCCTATTATTCTCTGTGTGTATGTCTCTCACCTTCACCTCTCGGTGGGGTGGCGGGGGGGGCCCACAAAAGAGGAATGCAGCCCCGAACTGCATTTTGTGGCAAAAGTGTGCCTGGGCCTAATTAAACGATTAACTGTGGGGGGAGGGGGAGGGAGGCGTTAATTGAGGCGTCTCCAAATGGTGGGTGGGATGTGTTGTGTGGTGTGGTGTGGTGTGGGTGCTCGCGGGGTGCGTGATCAATCGCAAGATCCGTGATCCGAGATTCGCGAAATGTGAAATGCGAAATGTGATTCTCGGACTCTGGGACTTGTACTGGAGGCGAGGGGGGGGGGGACTTACATAAATCAATTTAGTTCAGTTTACTTTATAATTTAATTGCTTTTGTTTATACGTAAACGTACATGTACACGTAAACTCTCTCTCCCCTCACTCTCTTGCTCACTCTTTACACAATCAGTCACTCACTCTCTCTGTTTTGCTCTCGCTCTCTCTTTCTTGCAGATTCGCTGTGAAACCGCCGGCTGTTCGACATTCAACGCATTCGTACGGTCCCCACGCTCTGAGCAACAACGCGACAGAAGAGTCAGAGCCAGAGCCTCCCCCCCAGAGATCGGATGGCAGCCCAGGAACCACAAATCCAGCAATGATGATGATGATGTTGATGATGGAACCACAGATCTCCGCTAGAGACAGAGCCAGGAAAAATCCTAACTACAAGTGAAACCCAAGAACCTCTCCCACCCAACCCCAACCCCAAAAATATTAAATAATTTCCCACAAACAATACAAAACGATAAAAAAAAGGGAACCCCACAGAAAAGAGTATAGAGAGTGGGCTGGAGACAGTGGACACCCGCGAGTGTCGGACCAAAATACCATATATACGATATACGATTTGATATATGAATATTCTACAAACAAAAAAACAAAAACAAAAAACAAATAATAAACATAAACATAAAGAGAATTTTTTAAACAAATGCAACGCGTAGGCCTTCAACTGTGATTTAAGCATACAACAACAAAAAACAAATAAGAAAAAAAAAGGAGAGCACATAAATAATTAGCTATAACGATATTTACCGATAAATACTTCAAACATATATCGATACACAGCAAACAAAAATCGATAAAGCGATAAATCGAAAAAGTGTTTGTGTTTTTGTTTTTAATTTTTGTGCAATTTTTAAGTTTTTAATTTTTGTTTTCGCTTCAATCGATAAACGTTCAACGATAACCGATAACCGATAACCCATATATATATATATAATTGATAATCCAAAACACACAACTCAAAAAATTCAAAACTGATCGATAGACCAACATAAATACCTATAATCGATAATTGGAATCGATTAAATCATGTTCAACTCAAACATACCCGCCGCCTCGCTGCTCGGCATCGAGAACAGCGCAATCAATCTGGGCGCCCACACACCCAAAACGCCCGAGATCCTCAACTCGCTGATCGCCATGACCAATCCATTGGATAACTATAGCTTTGCCGCTGCGGCAGCTGTCTCTGCGGCCGTCTCAGCATCCTCGGCCGCCTCCACGCCCGTCGTCAGTGTCCGGAATTTCAATGGTCATCCAACCAATGGACAGGTGAGTGTCTGCCCCCAAAACATCCTTCCATGGCAGTTGCTCTCCTAGCGTTTACTTAATATTAATAACTCTCTCTCTTTGTTTTTGTGTTGCCATTGCAGTTGCATTCGCAGGACAGCAGTCATTCCAGTTGCTCGGCCTCGCCGCTTGATTCGCCAGCGGGTGGCACTGCCACCATGCCCAGCGTGCAACAGGTAAGGCATTCTTCAGGGTTTCTTAAGGGTATCAAATAGTTCTTGCATTTTTGAGGGCATATTTCTGAGGTTCTTTTTGCGACCTGGGGGCGGAAAGACAAGCTTTAATGGCTGGGCTTCAACTCTTTTTTTAGTTTAATCTTTCATTCAGATTCTCCCTGCAGCGTCTACCAGTATCTGCGTATCTCTGCCCAATTTGTATCTGTATCTCTGGCCAAATTGTTCTTTCTATTTGGTTCAATTTGTCGTTTCATTCATGAGAGAGACGCACGAGAATGGATGACTGGTTGTGGCGCATCGCCCACGCCACTGCCGCCGCGCACGCCGTGCAAAATCCGCAACCCACGCACTCTCGTGGCCATTGGCCGGCGTCACCGTCACCGACAGCCACCCTGCCCCCCCTCCATCCATCCGTCCATCCACCCACCTCTACTTCCACTGACATGCACTTTAACGTGAGCTGCCCCTGCACCAGCCACTGCCCTGCCTCTGGCCTACCAACAATCTGTGGGGGCGTCAATTGCGAAACGCAGCGTCGAGAATTGATTTCACTTTTGCGGCGGCGGCGGCGGCATACGGAGTATCTGCATCTCGCTGCTGCATCTCCAGTATCTTTTTGTTTTTGTTTTGGTTTTTTTTTTGTGCTCATGCTGGTATCTGTATCTCTCCCTCTGCCTCTCCACTAACGACTGACATTGGCCTTAATGAGGCACGTAACCACTGGAAGGAAGGGGGCAGCTGCTGCTGCTGCTGCTGCTGCTGGGTGTCAACGATTAATTCAAATGAATAAAACACTTGCTGCGGCACCAGACGGCAATTAGATGCGACGATCGATGCGATCGTCAGACGCATCATCCATCCAGCAGCAGCAGCATCCCGCATTCCGCTCTCACTAATTGGCAGGTGGCATCGCCACAGACTGAGAGCGATAGAGAGAGTCGCCCAGTATATGTATCTGTGTATCTGTAACTGTGTATCTTTGTAGCTGTATCTGTTGTGTGTTGTGTGCTGTGTGTGATTTATGATTATTACTTCAAACGAATTAATAGGCAGCGCAAGTTTTAATTGCTGGATGAGTGGTTTGGTGGGGTTGGAGGGTGCACTTTTCACAATTTGTTTTCTAACAAATATCCCATAAATTATCGAGCCCTTTTTGTGTGTGCAGATTATTCCACTGATTCGCTTCGTTAATGTAAAACTTGTTTCTCATTAGACCCCCCTAATCGTTCAGCATTCAATTTGTGGCTGATTGGTTGTTGGTGGATCCATCGCTACTACTACTACTACGCGGCATGCAACACATGCAATATGTCACAGAATCTCACACACACACACAGAGACAATTATGTTTCTCCCGTTAATATGAATCACCAAAAATTATATATCCTACCGCTTTCCATTTGCTGTCTGGCACATCCGTTCGTGTCAAGAACTTTCTGTGGCACAATCCGCGCCTCTCTCTCTTTTTGGTTTTTGCAGCACAAATATTTGCACAAATGTTGCCGAAAAAAAACAAAAAAAAATGTACAGTAAATGTATTAAAAAATATTGCAAATATTGAAACGAATTTCGAGTCGAGTCGAGTCGAGAAACGATGTGCAAAATGTGCAAACAGACCAAACAAAATGCAAATTTACGGTGAAACACAAAAAAAAAATTTAATAAAATAAAGGCAAGGAAAGGAAAGGCTCGTCTTGGGATGGTCTACTGTCAGATACACATACACACAGAGAAAAAGAGTGCTCCACCTCCACCTCCACCTGACCGAATGCACAGGGAATGTTGCACAACAAGAGACTTTTGACCATCGATCGAACACCCGCCCGACCATATGGTCATCGATTCAGATTCAGATTCAGTTTCCGATTCAGTCTTTGAACTGCATTTTCGTCTGGCGTCTCTGTAGTCTGGTCTGTCTGGTGTCTGGTGTGTGGCGCATGCGATTATTATTATGATTTCTGTGTTGGCTCTTTTTTTTTTCTCTCATTCGTTTTCTTTTTTTTTTATATTTCGTCGCTTTTTAAACACACAATTTATTTATCTGATTTCTGGGTCAATAAATAAAGGCGGTCACAGCGTGCCTAAAATTCAAATGAACATCGAACATTGTACCCCCCGAAAATTGCGAGTAACAGAAGCCAAACGAAAACGAAATGGGAAGTCCAGAGAAGGGCAGAGCAGCTGTGGGGTGGGGCCCACGACGAGTGGCATCTGAACAATTTCTCGAGCAGACAGCAAACAAACGGACATCAACAAAAATATGCGCTAAATATTGGGGCCGCTGGCGGCTGTGGAGAGGGAGAGCCGAGAACCCCTCAAAAAACGCTCGCCGCCTAGTCGACATTTCAATGAGCTAAAGATTGAGAAAATGTCCCAAAAAAGAAAGAAAGGGAAACATAACTTCCACTTTCCCAGTCCCATGATAGAGTCAATCTTCGCCTTTAATCTTTTGCAGTTCAATCAGTTTTTGCTCTGATCAATTTTCCTCTTCACTCTCCACTTCTTTAAGAATTTTCTCGCTTACAGAGTGGCTGAGCAGTGTTTGAAATCTCCCTCCCTCACAGAGATCTTTGCAGCAAACGTTGATTTCTCTCTCTTTTTCTCTCACAGAGTAGCTTAGCACAGATCTTAGCCGTGAATATGTAAGCTGCAAAGAACTTTTATTTCTTGAGTTGTTAACGCTTGAATTCGAGGGCATCTGGCAGTCGGCCAGTCGGGGAGACCAAGGGGCAGAGCGATTACTCCACATGTTGAACCGAAAGCGAACCTCCCGCTCCCGATCCGTTGACAATGTGCCGAGTGATGACCATCTGTTTCTGTTGCTGCTGCCATAAATGGATCTCCTCCATTCCATGGTGCCAACAGTGCAAGTTTGTTGACGAGGTTTTTGTTTTTTTCGGTATGGCCCACCCACTGCTCTGTCGATTGCACTCCACTTGTTTCCACGGAGAGAGCCACAGCCAGGGAGAGATTTTATTTGTTTTTTTTGGGGCCCAGCGACAAGGGCGTGGCCCTTGGGCATGTCGCAGATTTCTATCTCCTTTTTTTCACTTAAATTCATATTTATAATTCATGCCACAAAAAAAAGAAGAAAAAAAACCGGCCCCAAGTGCCAAACCCTAAACCCAAAATCGCAACAAAAAAAGGTCGTCTGTGTAAATCACAAAACAAAACAGAGAAAATGCCGCTAAAAAATAAAAGATTATCTGCATTGCAAGTTCCAGAGAGCTCGGACCCCAGACACAGACACAGACCCAGACCTTGCCCCCATCCACGAGAAATCGTGCCCCAGTGTGTGACGCAACGGGGGAATGCGACCACAGCTGTCAACGGCATCGAATCTCTGTCTCGTGTGTGTGTGTTGATTCGATTCGTCACATGGCGGATCGCTACCTGAGGTCTGACTGCTCTCAAGAAAACTGTGTCGATCTCTCTCGTCCACGGCCCAGAAGGATCGGTGCGGATCACTCGAGAAACTGCAAGAAGCGCGTGGAGAGACACCTAGAGACCGATAAGATTAAGAGTGGGGCTGGGCTGGCTGTTTAATAAATGATTGGATGTTCATGTGTATCGTTTAGCTTTGGCAGCGCGGATTTTCCTCTCAAGGGGTGAGATCTGTCGATCAGCTAATCTAGTAATATAGCAGTAGGTTCTCCCATGGAGCTAGATTTCTTAGCCTCAGCTGAAGCGAGAATCCCTCTGCGGGTTATCCACTCTCTCGCAGAGTTGCTTAGCAGTAAAGTGCGTAGGAGTCGCCCATTAAAGTGTGTGTGTGTGCCTCTGAGAGAGAGAGAGAGAGAGAGAGATCTCGAAATGCCAAAGAGTGGGGCCGCCAAATTTGTCTGTCTGCCCCAGGGGGTGTGCAGAGTCGCTTGAGCAATGCTTTTGCCTTCTTTGGCTTGGCCCCACCGATATGGCGATTGGTGACAAAACAACAATTTGTGTTGCTCGAAGGACGCTTGACAAGACCCGCTCTAACCCGCCATCTCTCCTCTGTCTGTTTTCGTTTGCAGACAAAATCGCAGCTGATCAAAACCGGCCTGAAGCTGGCCATCCAGAGCAAGCGCAAGCTCTCGACCTGCGACTCCAGCAGCGGCTCGGAGCAGCCCCAATCGAAATGCTCTCGCAGGAGCAGCAGCATGACCAACAACAACAACAACAACAACAGCAGCAACATCAACAACAACTGCAACAATACGAGCTACAGCTTCAGCCTGAACGACGACGATTGCGAGGAGTCCAGCGAGGATGAGGACAGCGAGACCAAGTCGACGCCCAAGGGCCTCACGCCCGAGGACGAGGATCGGCGGCGGAGGCGCCGGGAGCGCAACAAGATTGCGGCCACCAAGTGCCGCATGAAGAAGCGCGAGCGCACACAGAACCTCATCAAGGAGTCGGAGGTGCTGGACACCCAGAATGTGGAGCTGAAGCAGCAGGTGCGTAGCCTCGAAACGGAGCGACGCAAGCTGCTGGATATGCTCCAGAATCATGCGAATGCCATGTCCCCGGGCTGCCTCAGAACCGGCGGGTGTCAGCTGCCTGCCGTTCTGCTGCAGTCGCCTGCCCAGAAATATCTCTCGGAATTGGAGCTGGAGGGCCAATCGTCATCGGAGGTCAACCTTTCGGGCTCCATCTCGGGCTCAGGCTCGGGCTCGGGCTCCATCTCTGGCTCTGGTTCAGTGTCGAGCAGCAGCTCTTCGTCGCAAAGGATGAGCATACCATCGATGGCCACCTTTAAGTTTGGCTCCAAGACAGCGGCCATGGCAGCAGCAGCAGCAGCGGCAGCACAGGTCCAGCAGCAGCAGCAGCAACAGCAACAACAGCAGCAGCAGCTTCCCAATGGATACTGCAAGCCATCGCCCAGTCCCCAGGAGTTTGAGCATGCAGGATACCTGAGTTCTCCCAACCAGCAGCAACAGCAGCAGCAACAGCAACAGCAGCATCAACATCAGCAATCCATGAATCCCGCCAGCAGCAGCAGCAACAACAGCAACGAACAGCAGCAGCAGCAGAGCAATAATGGTAGCAGCCTCGTTGTGAGCAATCAGCAGGTCTCCGATTATGTCCCAAATTGCGATGGCCTTAGCCTTGCATTGGGTCTGGCATCGCTGCCATTGCCACTGCCACTGCCACTCCTGCCTGCCAGCACACCCACCAGCAGCAGCTCCTCGAGCAGCAACAGCGGCAGCAGCAATCAGACCGCCTCGGCCGCCTCCACGCCCACCAGCAGCGCCAGTGAGTTCGTAAAGAACGAACTGGTGGATGCCCAGAGCCCCTATACGACCGCCCTCAGTGCGGAGCGTTTTCTGTTCGAGCCAAGCGATGGTTTTCCGGACATCAAGCATGCCGTGAGTGTCCTGCCCACCAGTGGCATCAATAGCCTCAATATGGTTAGTGTTGTCCATGCAAACAGTGGCGGCGGTGGGGCGACAGGACACCATCACAACCACCAGCACCACCACAGCCACAACCACAACCATCATAGCAACAACAACAACAACAATAATAACCACCTGATGGACTTCCATCATGGCCTACAAAGCAATGGCCTTGGCGTGGGCGGTGGGCGTGGGCGTGGGTGTGGGTGTGGGTGTCGGAGTGGGCGTTGGGGTGATGACACCCTCTTGCTATGATGACGAACAGCTGCTGCTGATGAAGAACGGCTGCTTTGCCAACGATCTGCTGTCCCAACTGACGGACGATGGCACCGACTATGTGGATCTGGATACCGGTGCCGCTGCCTTTATGACCAATGGTGGCTGCCTGGCGTGAGGGCGGGCCCAGCGGGCATCGGCACCGGAAAACGCACACGAACGTGATCGGGATCGTGATCGTGATCGCGATCGCGATCGCGATCTGCTGCTGCTGGCCTTCGATCAAGATGGTGGCCAGGAGGAGGAGCAGCAGCAGCAGTCGTTGTCGTTGTCGTTGTCGTCATCGCACAGGCCGAGCAGCAGTCCGCAGCAGCAGCAGCAGCAGGATGTAGAGATGGAGCTGGAGATGGAGCTGGAACTGGAGGAGGAGGAGGATCCAGCCTGGACACATGTGGATTATTGGTGTTAGGTTGGGTGTTGCTGGATCCTTGCACCTTGATGTATATTTTGTAGATGCTACTCATCGACTAAGCAGAAGAACAGATTGAAAAAGCAGAAAGCAGAAGCCGCAGTCCCTAAGGACGCACTGAAATCCAAACAAAATCCCTTTGAATTTCCTTGAAACTCTGCTTAAATTATCCCCAAATTTCCTTCCCATAATTACCTCCCGCCACCCCCCAACAACAATCCCTTGATGCCTGTTTTCCCGCCGTTAACCGATCCGAGTTCTTCCAAACAAACAAAAAGAAAAGCAGAGTACCCCTGATAACCCATGCCCCCAAGCCTCGAATACGCCCAATACCCTGGTCCCCCATACCACACCCCATTGTGTAAGTCCGCCTGGAGCGGCGTCCAGCCTGTGGCTTGACTACCTCATGAAGCAAAGAAAGCAGAAAAAAAAATTTAATTAACAATTTAAACCTATCATTAAACAATCAGTTTTAGAGAGGAGAGGAGAGTGTAGTAGGAGTAGGCGTAGCGTAGCAGTTAGAGAGGAGCGAAAAAACACTTGCAAAATTGTACATAACCCAACTTTTTTGATACGATTTAAATCGATAACATTCCATTTGCAAGCGAAAGAGAGCAAAGAGAGAGAGAGAGAGACGGATAGCAGAGATAGAGAGAGCGAGAGCAGTGATCAACTGCTAGCAGTCACACACACCCACACACACATCCGCATCAGTAATTATTAATTTTAATTTTTGTTCAATTTCCTCCTTCATTCTCTAAGCGTTGTTTATCCATTGAATTTCTTGGTCCCTTTGCTCCTTAAACGAAATGCCTTACAAGTTATAAAACATTTATTGATATGTACTATATGTACGATATAGTCGCATGATGAGAGAGATTAACGAGTGGAACGAGAAGGATGTTTTTTTTTCGCAATTCGGAAAGCGTGATGATGTTTGATATTTTTTTTGTCTAAAAAAAACTCTAGCCTTAGTCAGTGATAAAAAAAAACCCCTATATATACAGCCGATATATACATACGATATATACATTTTTGTTTTTTTTTTTTTGTGTCCATATTTTGTAAGCTAACTTTAATGATAAAACCACAAACAAAAAGTTGCCTTAATCAAAAAAAAAAAAAAAAAAAAAAAATTGAAATAAAAAAAAGAAAACTTTCTATTTGACAAAAAAACTAAACTAAATTACTAATCCAACACTTTGTTAATTCTTTTGCAAAAAAAAACAACTAATATATACAAACAAAACTAATTATTAAAAATTATATATATACATACAATGAGTGGAAGAGGAAGCGGAAGAGAAACAGAGAGAAAGAGGTATACTCGTAGTCGATAGAAAGATCGATGACTTCGATGACCATTAAGTGCTGCTAAATACTGCAAAAATCCTTCAAAACTTGCGCCTTATTACAGTTTAAAGAAAGAAAGAAAGAACGAAAAAAAAACAATGTGAAACTTTTTTGTAAATTATATATTATTATATATACTATATACATATATAGGATATACATACATACATAGTAGACCATATGATGCCTATACCATTTATATATGCATGCATATATATATGTATATTTCTGTGTGTCTATTGCCTGATCAAAAAAAAAAAAACGTTATACTTATATACAGATTTAATACATATAGAAAAAGTTCTACATGTGTATAAAAACAAAACAAAAACAGCTGTGAACACCAAAAAGTGGCCTAAAGGAGCAAAATCATACACCCACACAGAAGGAAATGAAAAGGAAAAAATTGCTTTGTTTGTAATTTGTAATTGTAATTGCCTCGATTTTTACTAAAGATATAACCGATAAACAAAACAAAAATGATACAACTATATCTAATATTTATATATTACTATGTACGAAACAAAACAAAAGAAAAAAATACCAATATCATTGTCTACAATCCCCATATGTAAATGTTTAACAGAGCTCTGCACACGCCTTTCTCTAGATGTACCTATACCATAAATGTTATACATACATATATCACCATTGAACCATGAACTTTGAACCTTTGTACACCCACAGCACCCCTGTTCCCAGCCTATTTGCCTTGAATAGGTTTGATTGTTAGAGCATCAAAAAGAAATCAAAAAAGAATTTCCCTCCCCAGTTCGAAATGGGCAAGGGAGTTACCTGAGAATATTTGCAAATTAAGCAAAAACAAAAAAACTTTACCTCACACTCGACACACAGAATAACCCTATATAGAGGAACAGAGCAGAGCGTAGACTCCGTCCACTCCAGCACTCCACCACTCGGCCACATATGATATTACGCTTTGATCCAAGCTTCCAAGCAAAACAGAAACAGACTCTCAGGAGCAGCGAGTGGAGTGGAGTGAGTGGAAGGAGCTGCCAGCCTCGATCAATGTTAAATTTAACTGTAACACCACACGCTGTAAACTGTAAACTGTAAATGTAATGTATAACTGTTAAAATCGTAAAATGTAAACTGTAAATGGCTATAATGCAATCAAAAACAAAAAAAAACTGAACCCATGATCAAGCCACCTCCCAGAAGAGGTGGAGGCAAAAAGTTCTTCGCTTGTAAATTGTTTTGTTTTTTCTTGTTTTTTTTTTTTACTCATTTGTTTTGTTTTTTAATCGATATCTAATATTTATATAAAATATAGAATAATATGACATATACATACATATATGGCCTAAAAAAAGATGTTGAGATGTTTTTTGTATGCGTTTTGGGGTCTGCCTGCAGCTGCAAAATGAGAGGCATGAGGGAGAAAGAATAGACATATAGCATCATCAGAAAATAGAATCAGAATCATCGCCTCATTTCACCTCAACGACTGACACAACACGACAGACCTCTGAACACTGACCTCTGACCTTGGACTAGACCTTGACTTCATTCTCTAGCTTTTAGTTTGTAGGCTACACACAAAAACATTTTTGTTTGCTGTTTGTTGAAGCAAAAAAGAAAGCGCTACAAAAGTACCTGGACATAAAAATAAAAACGTGTAACGATCAACGCGATAAATATCGATATGCGATAGCGATCAGTGTTTGTTGAAACTTTAAATCTAGAGCATAAACTCCCTACCCCCGCCCACCCATAAAGTACACCCTAGTACCACAGAGCTGCAGACAGAATCCCAGAACAGAAACGTACGCCCAAAAGAACCTCCCATTGATTGTATAGATTGTGGAGCCACTTGTATATGTATTGCTAAATGATATTTGAAAGATATATAAAGTTAACGATCCAATGTAATATATATGTTTGTACGTGTCTGTCTTTCCACCACAAAAAGAAAACCGCAACCCCCACAAGAGAGAAAACAAGCAAAAAGAAAACTCCCACAAACTGTGCTAAAGAGGAACCCCAAGAAAGAACGAAAGAAAGGATGATAAAGAAAAAGAGAGAGAGAGAGCGAGTGTTGTTATTTGGAGAGAGTCCCAGATGTTATTTGTGTGGTTTTGACCAGAGCAAAACCGTACGGGAAATAGATCTAGCCGACTACTACTACTATAAGAAGAGAGCAAATCCAATCCAATCTAAACCAATCAAGCAAAATGCAGAAAACGCCTTTGTGTAAACTGATAAATGATAATGCAAAACCCTGACAAAACGCAGCTCCCATGTGTATCCTGTATCTGTATCTGTATCTCTAACTGTAACTCTTACTTTAACTATAACTGTAACTGTATCTTGTATATCTCTTAACTGTCTCTGTAAACCATCTCCGATCCGAACCGAACCGATCCGATCCGACCACAACCGAAATCACACACACACACACAGAAACCACATAAAAAGAACTACAATAAAAATTCAAATTTAATATCCAAAAAAAAAAAAAAACAACTGTCTTTTCATATAGCATGAATCTCCATGGTTCAATCCATTGAACAATCGATCTCCGTCCCGGCTACTGTCCGAACCGAACAGCGTCATCTGGCCCCTGGGGTGGGGGCGGCGATCCAACCTCCAACATCCAACCTGACCTGCCTCTGTCTCTGATTGTTTACCCCGAGATTATTTTCGTTCTTGGCGCGTGGCTCGGCGTGGGCGTGGGACAATCGTTTGGTTCTGCCACGATACCCGATCCGCTCCGCTCTGCTCTGCTTCGATTGCCCCAATCGCCGATCGGACCTGATCTGCATCGCTGACGGGGCTGACTTATAAACAGATGATGACATCATTACGCGCTCTCTCTCTCTCTCTAGCAATCTCGGCTATGCTTGGTCTCTCTTGCAAGCCCGGGATCTATCTCTCTCTCTCTCTCTCTCTCTCTGTCTGTCTGTCTGTCCGAGGGTGTGCGATCAGTGACTATTCAGTTGGAGGCAGCAGAGCAGGCCCCCACCATCCCTCTGGCTGCTGGCTGGCTGTTCTGCTGCTCATATGCATAAGTTGAAGGCTCGATCGTTTCTGCGGCGCTTGAGATTGAGGCTGGGACTGGAGGCTGGAGGCTGCTGGTGCTGCTGCTCGGGTGATTAATGCTCCCCCCGGCCATGATTAATGCCTAATTGCTTATTGAATGTCATAACAGTAATAAAGAAAAAGAACGAAACAACAGAACATGCCTCCAAATCCTTCTCAATGCAAAATGTGTCATACTCGTAGATTGGGTCACACATTCGATGGGCGATGATACGATGGCAATCTCCGGCTGGCCCTTACTATAGTGCATCCGGTTCTACAGTTAGTCATCCTAATCAAAATACTCAACATAAAGTTGGTTGCACATGGCTCTTTTCGTCCCTGATTGACTGTACAAGCGACCCCCCAAGCGAGGACAGAAACGTTAATCAACCGAGGAGAGCTGCCGCATGACGCGAAACACCTGCAGGACGTGCAAGAAAAGAAATAGCACCAATGGAAGAGTGAGACATCGTGTTGAACGTCATCCGATTGAACGGATCTATAAAATATGAAAACTGAAGTACGAACCAAATAACCGATCACCGAGCAGGCGAACTGCTCTGATAAATTATGGCATTTAATCGCATAAAATATCGGCAATAAATAACAACAAAAATGCATTATCATTCGGTTAACTATTAGCAATCACAGTACAGAAACACACCGTACAGTCACAGGTACAGGTACAGGCACGGGCACAATTGTGTTTGTATTTGAATTTAGATAGAGTCTTACATGTGTTGCAGCATGGGGTATTTATAGTCGTGCGTTAAGTGAAAAATTATGCCACCAAAGCCACAAAAACAACTACAACTGCGATTGTGATAAATGGGAAATGTCTTTCGGGGGCCGAAAGGCTCAAGATTAGCGACACTCAGTGCCCACAGCACCAGCACCAGCAGCAGCGAAGCGCGCGCGCGCCTCCGCCTCTGACCATCAATGTCGACCCGCTGTCTGCCAAGGTTCCACCCTGCTCCGAGGGAATGCTCTTGGTCGGCCTGTCTGTCTCTTCGTCTGTCGATCGTTGGGTGACTCAGAGACATGTAGGTGGGGAGTGTCTGTAAAATATTTGAAATTTAATCAGGAACTATATTCAGGAAACAATAGTCAAGATGAATTGGGACATAATCAGGCGAGTACAGACACCTATTTGTGTAGAACCGATGGAATCGCATACCTATGTATATCTCCTAGCTGCAGCTGCAATGGGAATAATCGGAGAATAAACACACACACATTTGCATAGGGAATCTTTATTGAAATGTATAAACATAAACAATTTAATGTCGACCCAAATTCACAAACTTCTTGTATATACTTCATGTTTTCATTGGAGATCATTCAAGGAACGTTTTATAAACGTGTTAGGTATTTAAACATTTTTTAAAAATTGTTTTCTTTTGAGATCATTCAAGTAACTTCTTCTTTGGAAAACAATTTGTGGGCCTCCTCTTTGGGCATACTTAGAACTATTTTCATTTGATTACAAACAATAATAATAAATTATTCGACCGTCAGGAGTACAGATAGAAACATTACAAGGCCCACAACAAAGCACAGCTTCTTGAACAGACTCGATTTCTGCTGGCGCTTCTGTTTGTCCAGAATATCGTCCGCCATCCGAGCCTTTAAAATGTGCTTGTGGTATGTCTGGATGCTTGACTCAAGCTTTTCCAACTCCTTCATGGAGACTTTGCCCAGAGGGGCCAACTTCAGGTTAACATGGACAAACTCAATGGAAGACTGCATGAGGTCCATCTGCGCTGTCACCATACTAACGTCCTTTGCTAGAACTGGGTTTATGCCATCCTTCTGCCAGGCGTCCACATAATAGTCGACCAATGCTTTCAACATATTCTCCCGATACTGGGTCATATCAGCAGACATCTGATTGTCCGTATTTACTGGAGCCTGTCGACTGTCCCGGCTGGCTGTTATAAAAATGTTCGCAATCGTTTTGACAATAAGCTCGTCACGAGGAGAGCCGATTATATCATCTTCAATTTTGGTCGGTAGGTTTGGCATTTCAGTAAAAAAGTAATCTGAAAGCAGAATCCAAAATGAAAACAAATGAGAAACTTGGGAAAACTTATGGCTTATTACTTATTATGATCTTAATATTTTCTAAGCAGTTAAACATCCCAAAATAAAATTATGCCATTTGTTCAGGGTCACACAACAATCATCAGAATGGGTGAGCGCATGGGCAGCAGCGCCCCCTGTCTGCCGCCTGTTTGTGTGCCTCCGCGTTGCACGCGTGTGATTAATGTGTCTGCACTTGGCGCACACACAGACACACTTACGCAAAATTAACACACAACACGTTTGCCACACGTTGATGGCAGAGCATTTTGTCTAACCAAATGGTCCGTCACAAATAAAAGCGCGGAGAGGAGAGTGTGTTCGGCGGGGCACACAGGTAGCATGTTGCACGTTGAGAAGAGAGAGAGAGAGATGAGTTGTGGTGGCATGATCTACGGGCATTATGCAGGCCACTCAATCAGAGTTTGCTTCAGTTAATCTGTCAGTCAGTCTGGCACTGGGTCAAGTCACTGGGAGGTGCAGCAGAAGGTCAGGCTGCTGTTGGCGGCGCCCGCAATTGCAATTGATATCCATATGTACATGTATGTATGTACACGACATTCGAAATTTCGCATTCACTGTCGAAGTTTTCTTAAAATTGCGGTAAATGTGCTGCTGCTGTTGCTATGGCGGCGCCGGTTGAGATTTAAGGCATCTACAAACACACGAAATTAAAGCCCCAGCACATGACTAATTCGCAATTAATCAAGTTTTCGATGTTCTTTTGTGGGGCATTACCAAGCGCTGCTGATTTGCATAACAATTACTCAATTACTCATACCTCTGTCGTGTTTAAGCTCCGTTTTTTGCACTTTTATTCACACTTTTGATCTGTCAAACAAAAAGTTGGCGCCCGGAAAAAACAGTGCTAGAACTGGAACAAAAGCATTAGCCAACACTAGTTTGATAGCTATCCTTAAGTTAATATCGATTGCATATATCGTGTCGTATATTTGTTGTATCACACCCAAAATGAGTATGAATTGTCATCAATGTAATTAAAAAATATTGTTAGCTATTAAAATAATATGTGTATTCACCAATAACGGCCATTTCGAGCAGCTATTGAATCGATATTTGAAAGTTAGTAAAATTCGTTCCACTTATCGCACAAAAATACCGATAAGTGCATCAATAGGTAGAATAAAAAATGTGAAGGTGCATCTGACTTGAAAAAACAAATAAATAGAGTTAATTTGTTCCAAATCGATGGTATATCCATATTAACGACGAACAAATATCACCAACAAATTTATTATCAAAAAATATATATAACGATATATCGATATAACAATTTACGTTCAACAACCCTGCCCCACCCGCATCCACATTGTTGCTGTTTTGTTCTTGGCGCGACATTTTGTTTTCACCTTGCAGAAAGTTCAGGGAAAATGTAAATACGGACATGGCCCAATACTCTCCGCGCCAGTGCCTGGCCACGCCCGGAGCCACCGACTTTGGCTTCCCCTTCGCCCCGTACGACATCCAGGAGCAGCTGATGCAGGAACTCTTCTCGGTGCTGGAGCGCCGACAGGTGGGCATTTTCGAGAGTCCCACGGGCACTGGTAAATCCCTGACTCTCACCTGCGGCGCACTCACCTGGCTGCGCCAGCATGAACAGCTGGTCCGCTCCGAGCTGCTGCAGCGCATCAACGAGGTGGAGAAGGAGCTGGACCGTCTGCAGGCGGCCAGTGCCCAGGCGGAGGACTGGATCTGTGCCCAGACCGCGTCCCGGGAGCAGCAAATGGATCTTCAGCAACTGAACCACCTCCGCTCGCTGCTGGAGAAACGAGAAGAGCAGCTGGCGAGGATCAGGGAGCGCACCAAGGAGAGGAAGAAGCATCAGAAGTTCAGGACAAGACCCAAGCCCGACGAGGAACAGCAGCAGCAGGAGGACATCGAGCATCACTCCGATGTGGATGCAGACTCAGATTCGGAACACGAGCTAGCAGACGGCCCCGAGGAGCAGTCCGAGGATCGATACCGCTCCGTGCAGATCTTCTTCTGCAGCCGCACCCACTCGCAGCTGGCGCAGATTGTGGCTGAGCTGAGGAAGACACCGCACGCTGCGTGGGTGCGCTGCGTCTCGCTGGGCTCCCGGCAGCAGCTGTGCATCAATCCGCAGGTGCGCAAGCTCCGGAACGTGGGCCTGATGAACGAGCGCTGCCTGGACATGGCCCGGAGCAAGGCCCCGGCCCCTGCCAATCCCAGCAAGAAGTCCCGCCTGGCGGGTGGAGCCGCCTCCTCGCTCAGTCGCTGCCCCTTCAAGGCGCCCGCACTGGTTGAGATCCTTCGGGATGTGGCTCTGTGCGAGCCCCTGGACATTGAGGAACTGGCCGTCGAGGGCAGCGCCTGCGGTGGCTGCTCCTACTACGCCTCCCGCTCGGCCCAGAACGATGCCCAGCTGGTGCTGCTGCCCTACCAGCTGCTCCTGCAGCAGTCCGCCCGCCAGCAGCTGGGCATCGATCTGCGCGGCTCCATTGTGATCGTGGACGAGGCGCACAACCTCCTCGACTCGATTGCCCAACTGCACGGGTCGGAGCTGACCCGGTCCCAGCTGGAGCTGGCCCGCGATCAGGTCGCCGGCTACAAGGAGCAGTATGCGCCCCGCCTGAGCACCCGGAATCTTCTGAGGATCAACCAGCTGCTCTTTGTGCTGCGCCGCCTGCTGAAGCTGCTCGAACCGAAGGCCGCAGCCCCGTCCCCACCCGTGAGAATGTTGCGCACCTACGAGCTCTCCTCCGAGGGCGACTTCGACAACATCGATCTGCACGCCCTGCTGGAGTTCTGCGGCCGCACGCGGTTCGCCCAGAAGGTGCAGGGCCATGCGGCTCGGGTGCAGCGGGAGCCGCGGCCCAGCGAGAACCAACCGCCCGCCTCCAGTCGCCAGACGCTGCTGCAGCGCCTGGCCACGCAGCATCGGACGTTGGGAAAGCAGACCCAGGGCAAGCGCAAACTGGCCGAGACCCATGCAGAGGCAGAAGTTGATGCGAAGGAGACGCAGCTGGAGAGGCTGGCACTGGCACCCTCGCCCATTCGGCCGCTGTTGGCCTTCATCGAGACGCTCACCAGCAATGCGGCGGATGGGCGGGTGCTGCTTAATGTCCAGGCGGGAATCGTCAAGTATCTGCTGCTGGATCCAGCCGAGCACTTTGCCGACATCCTCTCGGAGGCCAGAGCGGTAAGTGGGCCTCTATTTTATCTGGCAAATTATCTTCCACTTGCCTGCTGCAGATTGTCATCGCTGGCGGAACTATGCAGCCCACGCAGGAGCTCAAGGAGCAGCTGTTTTCCCGTTGCCCGGAGCGACTGGTGGAGCGCTTCTACAGCCATGTGGTGCCGCCGGACGCGGTGCTGCCGTTTGTCGTGGCCAAGGGACCGACTGGAGCCAGCCTCTGCTTCAGCTATGCCCAGCGTGGCGCTCCCGCCATGGTGAGTGGCAGTTGCCTATTCGCACTGCAGACCCACTTTAATCCACTCTCTCCCAGCTCAAGGAACTGTCTATGGTCCTGCAGAACCTGTGCAATGTCGTGCCTGGGGGCGTTGTCTGCTTCCTGCCCTCGTACGAGTACCTGGAGACGGTACACAGCCATCTGGAGCAGAGCGGTGGCCTGAAGAGCATTGCCCGCAGGAAGCGCATCTTTCGTGAATCCTCTGGAGCCGCAGATCAGCTCCTGCAGCAGTATGCAGAGGCTCCTGGACTCCTTCTGGCCGTCGTGGGCGGTAAACTGTCCGAGGGACTGAACTTTGCCGACGACCTGGGGCGGGCCGTGCTCGTTGTGGGACTGCCGTATCCGAATCGCAATACGCCGGAACTGCAGCAGCGGATGCGGCATCTGGACGGGCGCCTGGGCCCTGGCGCCGGCAACGAGTATTACGAGAATCTCTGCATGAAGGCGGTCAACCAGTGCATCGGCCGCTCTGTGCGACACATCCGGGACTACGCCTGTGTCTTTCTGATCGACGAGCGATATGCCAGCGCCCGGATACGGGATAAGCTGCCGGAATGGATATCCCGGCACATTGCCGAGCCCAACGGCATTGGATTCGGTGCTGTTCAGGCACGCACCGCCCGCTTCTTCAAAAGCAGATGACGAATCTCAGTATTGTTCCTTTCGTAGATCGGAGATATGTTAAATTGGTTTAAGAATAAAATTTATTTAAATATATGCACATATCGGTACATGGCGGAAAGTCTTTTTACCAATCGATAGCGATTATTCCTTAGAGTTGTGCAGACGCGGTGACGCGCAAAATTATGGAAGAATATTTCTACAGGTAGCAAAGTAAGAAAAGAAAATAAAATTCTGTTAAATGCATAATATATGTGACCATGTCCCACAAAGATAATTTATTAATTTTATATAATTCGTCAGTCACTGTCGAAATATACAAAAATATGTAGTTAATATGTTGCAAATTTGTAGCTAGCGTGTATTTACCATGTACCATCAAAAGACCATTAATTAAACCCTATTTTATGAATAATCAAATAGAAATGATTACCTAAAATATGTGAATATTTTAGGATATTAATCAATTTGTCGTAGAAAATTATATGATCAGTGCTGAGGGCTCCAGTAGAAAAAATGTTTTGAAAACAATATTTGTTTTATATTTATGAAAATGAATTAAAATAATAAATTATTATATCCATATAAATGTCATTCCTATAAAACTGCATTAACTAGATTCTATTGCGGCGCAATCAAAAGTTCAACTTCAAGTTCGAACGTCGTGTAACGTCGCTTTGGCCGTTTTAGTTTAAACCCTATTATGCAAAGAATTAAATGAAAACGAGTTCTGAAAACTAGCCAATCTTGTACAAACTTTATTGAGGAATTGGATAAAATTATTTGTTTAGGGTTGAGAGGGCCTACTAGCTAGTAATATTAAACTGAACATCAAAATTATGGAATACAATTTCAAGCAGGGGGGTATTTAATATTTCCATGTATGTAATTTAAAATATTTTAGGCATTACAGGTGAAAGATATCGTTGGTCATTTTTGTCTTGTACGTAAAGAGAAGGGTGGAGCTACAGGGAGCCTTTACAAATTGTATTATTTTCAGCGGTTTAACAAAGGGTGCTCAACTTCTTAAATAGAGGGGTGTTAAGTGGGTTAAGTTCAAAATTACCGCCAAACTCATTTAGTGCACAAAAAATACTGACATTTTTCGCTCTCAATTCGTGGTGGTTTTTCAAAATTTGCTCTCTTTTCAGAGGTGGAGAGAGAGTTTTCGTGGTGCGAGAAACATATAAACATGCTGAAATTTTTCCCATACAAATCAAATGTATCTTACGGGAACGCGTATGGAATGAAGATTCATTGTTGCGTCATTCCATACGCGTTCCCGTAAGATACATTTGATTTGTATGGGAAAATTTTCAGCAACATGGGGAAATGAAGTAGCAGCATTGTTGTGCAACTTTGGCACGAAATGAGCAACAATCTGCATACCTTGGGAAAATGGATATTTTGGACCTGAGATATTGTTTGTAATTTCAGGCTCCAATTAATGCAGACTACTCAGTCTCTAATTTAACGATATTAACGAAATTTTGCAGCTCACCTGTTCCAATAATAGGTATCAGAACCGGGATAAATGTATTTATAAAGCACAAAAACATATGCATAGATAGGTAAAAAAAAACAACTCAATCTAACAGAAATGCAATATTAATGTTTCAAAGCAGCCTGAAACAACAAATTTGACATCAATTAAAGGAAATAAGGTATACAAAAGTCCATACGTACAGAAGTAACTTGGTTGACCAGCAACACTGACGTGACATATAGTCAACATTTACGTTTTATGCTTTGGCCGTTTTTGTTTGAACCTTATTACGTAAACAATCCAATGAAAAAGAGTTCTGGAAACTAGCCAATCCTAAACAAAATTTATTGATAAATTGCATAAAATTATTTGTTTAGGGTTGAGAGGGCCTACTAGCTAGTAATATTAAACGGAATATCAAAATCGAGGAATATCATGTCACAAAATATCATGGTATGGCAGCCCGTAGCAACTACGAATTGCACGAGTCTGGCAGCGCCTCAAAAACGACGTCACATTCGTTTTATGTTGTTTTTGTTTGAACCTTAATATGTAAATAATCCAATAAAAAGAACTTCTGAAAACTCCCCAATCTTGTAGAAAATTTATGTATCTATCAGCTAAAATTATTTGTATAGGGCTGAGAGTCCCAACTAGCTAGTAATATTCAACGGAATATCAACATCGAGGAATATTGCCGTGTCCGTAGGTATATTTACGGTATATTTCGAAAATGAAAAGGTGTATTTCGGTATATTTCAGAGGGTCAGACTGGGTATTTTTTTCAGCAAGTTCCTGGTCACACTGGCACAGCGAGAAACAAAAAAAATTGCAGCGCCGTGAATTTTTTTCTGAAGCTGAATATGTAAAACATCAACGTGCTGTGCTGTGCAAATCAAATACAGATATACTGATCTGCTGCTCTCTAAAAGGTTACAATCAATTCCTCTTGATTTTGGCCGCCTCGCCTCCGCGTGCATTCGTCTGGTCGTGTGCCTTTGTAGTGTGTGTGTGTGTGTGTGTGTCACTCCTTGTTTGCCTTTTATCATCATCGATTACCATCGTCTTGAATATAGGCGTCGTGGGGTCGGGTCCCGCCATTGCACAAATATTTATGAACAATAATCATATTTCCTCGACTTCCACCGGCCGATAAAAGTCTGGCCCCAAGAGTTTTAGTGGGGCGGGGAAAGACAGAGCGAGCGAGAAAGAGAGAGTGACGCCAGTCAAAGAATTTCGTTGTGTGTTGGTCGGTGGGGGGAGCCATGTTCCTAAGGGTTCTTCGAATTACATGGATCTGTCAGGGGGGGCAGCGTTGCAGCAGTGAGTGTCATTGGAGCTGCTCGCCGTCACGTTCCGTCTCACTCTTTCTTTCGTACTTAGTCAGCGAAACTAACTTAGTAGAGTATTTAAAGCGGTTATTCTTGTTAGTTGCTTCGAACAAACCCGTTTTTGGCTGACTTTTGATAAAGAAAGAAGAAGAAGAAGTGGCACACATAAAGCGGAAAACTTTAGTCAGCATCTCTGAGTGGGTGAGCGAGTGAGTGAAAGACAGAGAGGGCAGAAATCAAGTTGCATTTTTAATTCCGTCCTGCAGGAATTATAATATATTTTTTTAGCATTATGCCTTCTTGTTTACTTCTCGTTCCACACGCTCTGGCCAGGCCCTCTTTAACCATACCGTCCTCCACACCAGCCCCTGCCCCATCAAAGGGCCCAGTCAGTCAGTCCCGTTCCCGTGCGACGGCTCTCCAGTTCAAAAGAAGCCGAAAAGAGCGAAATGAGGGAGAGAGAGCCAGAAAGCATAACAACTGTGAAACAGCGACAGATAAATGCCCTTCGATTTGCATCTGCATATGCGAGAGGATTTCAATGAAAATGCCTAAAGCGGTGTATTTATATCACCGCCGATATCTTATATGAATATCATTTAAATCCGAATCTCATATCTGTTCCCCTGATAGGACATTCACAAGTCGGCTCTCACGTAATGTGCTCTACGCTCTCTTCCTCTCTCTCTCTCTCTCTGTGTTTGGCTCGCTGGCTTTGCAGCCGCGGTCTTGGGTCTCTGCTCATTCGCAAACGGACCTCGGCAGCAATAGTAACAGTAAACGGTAAACGGAGTGTTAGTAGGAGAAGAAGAGGAAGACAACTTGCGAAACGGAATAAAACGGTACGCGAAACGTTTCGGTGTTTGAGGCGTACGTACGAATCGGGACGGTACAAGACGGTAAATGAAACAACGCCCCTGGGAAGCCGAGAACAAAAAAAAATATCCTTTAAAACGCGGCGGCGATAACCCCCGGAATAATTGCATAATTTAATCTGTGTATATATGTAGAATAAAATTCCAATATTTGTCTATATAGTATATAGCATGTGCCGGTCCGGATTCCGCTGATAACCTTATCATTATTATATATGTACCTATATATATATTTTTTTTTTTGCGAAGTGGATGCTGCGGTGCAGTCAAAACAAAACGTGGATAGTGGGGGAAAGCAGAGGGGACCTCTGATTCGGTGTGGCTATAAACGCCGCTATTTATCTATGTATATATGTGTGTGTGTGAGATCTGTGTGTGTGTGTGTATGTGGTCAATTCTTTTTATACGAATTTTTTGTTGTTGTGTGTGTGGAAAGTGAAAGTGAAAACAGGACGCGCGCCACAGGGAGAGACAAAGAGAGTGTGTGGGAGAGCGGTTTGGTGGAGAGAGAGAGAGAGCATGCGTTGCTGTTTCTATTCCTTGGATTCCAGCCAGCCCGCACTCCATCCCTTCTCTCACCCACATTCTCCCCTGTCAGCCAGTGGCTCCCTGTGAAGAAGAGAGAAAGAGAGACTTCGTTCTAAAACGGTTCTTTTGCTTGCAGCCGCCGTTTTTTGGAATGCGCTAAAAAACACTCTCAAAATTTGCGCAGCAGCAGAGGCAGTGGCTTGTGACGTCAAAAGGAGTCGCGTCGTCGTCCCCGTATTGTGACAGAGAGAGACGGAGAGAGAGAGAGAGTATTAGTGTTAACAGTTATTCCTTTGGACCTCCCTCTCTCTGTGTGTGCCGCTGCCGTTGCCGCCGCGAAAATGGAACAGCCGAGCATACTCGTCAAAATCCTTCACTCGGTGCCGCACGTGAATTACACGTTTCGCCGGGTGAACGACACCTTCAATCCGGACAGCGATATATATCTCGAGGTGAGTAGTGGTACCCCGTAATACCCTGTAAATATTATATCTCATGATGCCGCGGGACGGGGCCAGTGCACAGTACTTATCCTCTCTCACACCCTCACCCTCGTTGATTCTCAAGTGGCCCTCTTTCTCTTCCTTTCTCTATGTGTTTCATGAGTGGAAACTCTTGAGTATCCAATCCGTGTACTTGTGGAATAGAAAGAGGAGGAGGAGGGCATATGTATATTTCCTCAAGTGTTGTTTTCTATTTCTTTTGTCCATTTTCCCACCCTCGCCAGCCTGCTGCTGCTCTTCCTCTTTCCGTTCTCCATCCTCTCTTTGCACGCTCTTTACCTGAGAGAGAGAAGGGAACGCACGGTTAAAAAAAAAAACCGTGTGGGAAATACTCGCGTGAATTTTCATTTTGTTGACGGTCTGCTCTTCGCCTCTCTCTCTCGCTCGCTCTCTCTTCTGTCTGCTAGCCCGCCCGACCATTGCCATTCCGTTTCATCCATGTGCTATGTGCCATGTGCCTGCCTGCCTGCTCCCTGTACGATGATTTAGTCCGTTCCAATTCCCACTTTGTTTCAGGCCTCCTATGCCATGTGCTCTACATGTGCGTCCGCGTCCTCTCTTTTGAAATAATGAGAGGAGTGGTTGAATGTGGGGGGAAGGCGGATGGATGGATGGGGGGCGCTGCAGCAGCTGCAAACTTCCGGCTTCCTTTTATGAACCCCCCCACTTCCTATGCCCATTCTTCCCCTTCCTTTCTCTACTTTGTTGAGCGATCTTTCCACATCTTTTGCCGCCTTCTCTCGCTCGCTCTCTCTCTCTCTCTCTGCAGGGGATTCCCTCACATATGATATGCAGATTTTGCCATTCAGAAATCCCCGAGGGAAAATTTGATTAAAATTAGCAGAGCTCTTCCTGCCCTCCTCCTTCCTCCCTCTGGGAATGCCGGTTACTAGCGACTCTCGAATCCAAATCCAAAAATCCAGGTCATCGCTTGGCATGGCCTCGGCTCTACCTCTCCTCTGCCACACTCCTCTGCCTCTCCCTCTCTTTGTTGCTTGGATTGGATGTAGGTCATGCTGCTGCTGCTGCATGCACCGGAGGCCGGGTACGGGTTTGGGGCGTAGTTTTTACGCGCGTCAGCAAAATGTTGAACCGCCGCTCTACGGCTGAGGGGGAGGAAAGGGCGCGGGACCCAGAAGATGGCTAATTGGTGGGGTTTTTGTTCCGGCAAGCCAAACGGAAAAGGAATGGAGGGAGGTATGGAGGGAGGTAGGGAGAGATGTCATCTACAAGGGTCTTCCTCCCTTTATTCCATATCTACGCATGGGAATCTCTACTGCCACCCGCCCACTCATCCATTGATTGTGGGATGCGATGAGATGCGATGCCCTGGCGGATGAGATGATCATCAATTCAACCTTCAATGGCTTCAGCGGACGGACATTGAAGAGGAAGGAGGCGCCAACCCTCTCTGGATGTGCGGGTGCGGGCACCCTATAAAAGGGGGAAAGAGTAACTCAACCCGCATAAATGGGACAGATTGGACCCAGACACCAATCTATGGTTTGAGCTAAAATTAAACGCGAAAACAGCTTGGTTGAGGAAGTTGGCGACATCTGCCGCTTCAGAGTCGTCCGAGAATTGAGACACAGATTGAAGAAGGCTTTTTCCCTCTATCTCTCTCTCTCTATATATAGATAACTCTCATGATTCATGGATTTTACGAGTACTCTCTTCTTCCGTGCATATCTGTTGACACTTTCCACAGTGTGGCGGATATCATATCTCTCTGGGGTGTACTTTCATTTGAGTGGCTGCAACTGCAACTGCTGCTGCTGCTGCTGCAGCTGAACAGCAGAACAGCAGAACAAATGGGGCAGGACGACCGACCAGGCAGGCAGCAGGCAGCCAGGCAGCCACAGAAGACGGAGGCACACAGCTGCTATCACATTGTGGCAGAACAAACAGATGCCCCTGCCACATGCCCCGCCTCTCCGACCACTCGACAGATTGCTTTGTATCCCGTCCGTCCGTCTGTCCAACCACTGCGTTGTTGTTGTTGCCCTTTACGATTCGTCACACAAAAAGGAAACACACAGAGGAAGGAACAAAAGGAAGCGAAACGAAACAGAATGGCATGGAATGAAACGTTGGGTCTCTCCCTCTATCTATCTCTCTCTCTATTGTTTACACACTCTTTTGAAGCGCTTTTTTGTGACCCAAAGATCCGACCACCCCAGAGATCAGAAATTCATAAACAACAAAATAAGATGAAAGCCCAGCAGCTCCCAGACCCAGCCCCACGCTCTCGTACTGCTGTTTTGTTGATCTCTGCTGATCCAAACCCCCAGCAGCGTGGGCCCAAATAGTGGCGAGGAGGGGTAACACCGAACCACTGAAGATACCCTGTTAATGATATTTGGTTCAGAATATAATGCTCCAGAGGTTGTTTTGTATGAGGGGGGATGTCTCTTGGCGATTAAAAAATATACAAACGAAAGATTATTGCGCTGGGCACATGTCGGGAGGATCCACACTTAAAATCATTCTAATGAGAGCTCCAAAGGTAACATTTAATACAAAAAATACTAAATAAATACTAATAAAATGGCTATGGAAATTATTTTATTGTGATTTAATTTTTGATTGCCTTTATTTTTAACTTATTCTGGGCAGATGTACGAAATGCTAGAAATATTTCCAGTACCCATTTGATTTCATTAAATTCCCTGGATATTCCCCACAAAATCAAGAAACCTAAAAGTGGCTCCTTCTTTAAATATCCCACTCCCCCAACCTTTGCTGGGTGGGGAAGGGTATCCAAAGTTCAGGTGCAAACGGGGCTCTGCTCTGTGCCCTCTTGTACTCTCTCTCTCTCTCTCTCTCGCCACTGCAGGGAAAACATTGAATCGGCTACGATCCCTCTGTTTCGTTGGGTTTCCTTTGTTCCTTCTTTTGTTTTGTGGTTACAGTTCTTCCTTTGCTTCTCCTCTAGTTGCCTCTCTAGTTTTTCGTCTCTCTGTCTCTGACGATCGGCTTGGTGTGTGAAAGTTTTGCGTGGGCCTCAGCCGTCTCACCAGTTTTGTTTTTTGTTTCCAAGCATCTTTGAATGAATCACAGAAAAAAGCCACAGAACCAGTGCTCCATAGTGCTCCACAGTGCCCCATAAGTGCCACAAATCGAAATATCAACACAGAATTAATGCACATTTGATGGCTTTTGTTTATATGAAAATTCGATTAGGAGCGATCGCTGGGGCAGCTGCTGCTGCTTGCTGCTTGCTGTTGTTTGCTTTTCCAGAGACCCTTTCGCATAGCTGTGGTGGGGAGAGGGGTGATGCTTGTGGGGCTCTGCTCTCCCTTTGCTTTGCTTCGATCGGACAATGAAAAAGCTCTCTGGGTGATGATTAGCATACAGAATTATGCCACGTCCAAGAGGCACACACAGACAGACGGATGACACACCCACCTTCCACGTACCTCACCTTTTTGTTGTTGCTTCAGCACTTTGTTGCACTCGTATCGTCGTTCTATGGCGTACTTCCTTTTTTTCTACTCTACTCTACTCTCTTCTCTCCGCTTTTGCATGCTCCATTCTCCACTCTCCACTCTCTCCTCTCCTTACTCCCCTTTGCATTCGTTCCGTTTTGTTCTATGCCACTTATGTACTTCCTGGCTTTATTCCATTTTTATTCATATTTTTCCATATTTATTGTATTTATTTTATTATTCATTCTCTCTCTCCCCCTCCCCCGTTTTTTATGCCCTTCTGTTGCTGACTCTGTTTCCTGTTGCTCTACGAAAACGAGGGTTCCGTTCCTTCGTTCTCCCCCACTGGTTCTGCTATCTTCTTGGGTCACTCTTTTCCTCGCTCTCTCGGACTTTAGAGTAACCTTGACTCCTACTTCCTTCTACGTACATTTTGCTCTACCTTCTTCCCTTTTTGTGGTCATTTCTTCTTCTTCTTCCCTCCTTAGTTCCCTTTTATTGACTTCCCATATCTACATTTTTCTTCGAATGGGCAAGGAGGAGGAGGCGATAAAAAAGACAGAAACAGAAGAAGCAACAAAGAATGCCGACTGCAGAGACGGAGATAGAAGAAGGGATTCGATAGAGAGAGAGAGAGAAAGAGACACAGTGATATAGTGATGTTGTGAGAGGGGGGAGAGAGGAGCCAAAGATAGAGAGCAAAGAACAAGCCCCGGAAGCGCGTGGCCGAACCTTTTTTCCCCCCAATGCATAATCGGGAATCCATTTCCATATTCCATGCATTTCGTTCTAATAACCGTTGTGTCTGCGAAACAGATGGAGAAAGAGAGAAAAGAGAATAAAGAGTGGGGAAAAGAGAACTGGTTTTCCCCACCCCTCCCGCTCCTCATGTCTGTGTGTGTGTGTGTGTATGTGGGTATCCGATCATTGTGGTGTCAGAAGCGAAATCCGATCAGGGAAAACACGTCCCACCCACGCAGCAGGAGGAAAAACTCGAACCCAATGGGGCTGGAGCACAGCGGGGAGGCAGACAAAAGAGAGTGAAGAAGGGAGAAGAAATGGAATAATAGCCCCAAAAAAAAACGATAACTGAATCAATTTAAAAAGAAAAACATTGAAAATAATTTAAATGGAATTCGAATATTTAAATTTCGTATATTAAAGATGATTTTCCTTTGTTTGATCGAAGTTTTAATTTCACTTTGCTTGCTATTTAAAAATTTAAATACTAATTTTGCTTTCACTATGCCATTGTGGCTTCACTTTATCTGAGGGATTCCATACAAGGGAAAGTGCAGTTCCAGTGCCAGTTATCGTGGATAATCCCCTAACTCTGGATGTACCTTGATTTATTGTGTTATCATTTTTAAGAGAAAATCTCTTTGGGGGGGTCTCCTGGAAGAATCAATATGGATCATCTCTTCTTAATTTTTACCCACCGCAAATCTTGAAGCTCGAATCTCGGAATCTTCTGTGTTTACTTTCAATATTTTTGTTTTTTGTTTTTCTGGTGTTAATTTTTTGCATGTCTGGGCGGGGAGGGATGGGGGAATTATTGCATAAATATACAAACAGATACATATCTTGTGATTTAGTTTCCAATTAGCTGCCGCCACTTTTCACACTTCCCACAGTGAGAAACAGAGACAGATAAATGGCGAGAGAGAGAGGGAGATTCTCAATTGAGGAAAAGAGGTAAAGAGAGGTGAGGTAGCTGTGAAGAGCCGACGACGGTGATGGGGGGGGGTGAAGAGAGCGGAGCCGTCAAGGTTATTTGTTTTTGCTGCTGCTGCTGTTTGCTGGCAATTTGCTTTGATTTAATTCAATTGGAACACACGGAACATCGTGTAACGTTCCATCGTCATCGTCATCCACAACCATCTTCTCTCCATCTCTAGCCAGCCTCCTCCTCCTCCTCTACCTTCAACCTCCTTCATCCCAAGCATTCCATCCCATCATCGACCGTCGTTGACTGTGGCAGCGCGTAATTTTTCTCACATTTTTAAGCGCCTTACAAACGGCAAGAAAGGTGGGTGGGCAGGCTTTTCGCCCTCCCTGAGGAGCACCTCATCCGTTGGGTGGCTGCCATAAATTCCCTGAGCGAAAGGATAAATTCCCTCATCTGTTGGAATAATGAGGGCTACGATAACTTTTCCACCGATGGGTATTTCAATGAAAATTCTGTCACTTTTTCAGAGAATGGAGAAACCTCGAAAAGTGTTTCTTGTGTTCTTTTCCACAGAAAGTAACTCTTGGAGAATCATGAATAATCTATTTAGTATTCTGCCAATTAATTTGAAGTCCTTTTTTGACGCATATATTCGAATTTTTATCGTTACATTATGAGTTGAAGCAAAATTGCATGCAGCACAAATGGCGTTGATTTAATGCACATAAATGTTCCCCTAAGTGAGAGGAAACACAACCGAGAGAGGCACGAACTACATAAATGCCAATGGAAGCGAGCGTATCGTATGGTATATGGGGGAGCAGGACTCGGACCAAGGAGCTTTGGGCACGAGACATTTTCGCTTCATTTTGTAGATTGCATTGCAGCACACGCGGGGGGAGGGGATGGGAGGAGTGTGTTTGGGGCGAGGGGGGGGGTGGCGTGGCAGCGTCTCGTGGCTCAAGTGTCATTCAACTGCGAGGCGGAGGACACACGACACACACCCACACACACACACCACGGGGCGAGACGACACGCAAAGTGCTGAGGCACAAACAGAAAAAACACACACACACACACACAAACACAGCGAGCGAGCGACAGGGAAAGGGAAGAGCGGAGGGAGAACTGTAACTAGTTTTAATGATTATTTACAGTGGCAAAAAAGAGTGCAATAAATAATAAATAGAGAGCCTACCCGCCGCACCCCACCAACCCACCACCAGCAGATTACGTAGGGGAATGGATCCAATGGATGTGTGGACTCAAGGCTCAAATATCCAACCCATCCCCACACCCAACCCCCATCCCATCCACACATCATGCAATCTGGCAATCAGGGAACTGCGGACTACGGACTACTGGGCACTGGGGGTGTCGCTTTCAATTCTGATTGACAGCCGGGAAATTGGCTAGAAATCAACTTAAAAACGAAATCTGTTTTGTTTTGTTTCGTTTATATCTTCGTTGAATCTATAAATCTATGACATTTCCAACTGGGTTAAATCAATGCGTTTGTTCACTCTTTTGAGAGATGATGGAAAGTTCTTGGAATGATTCATTTCCAAAGAAAACCAAGAACGAAAATTAAAGACGTGCTCAAATAGTTCTTAGAGGATCTGAGATCTACGGAATCATCTAGGGAATATTCATAGACCTACAAGGATTCCGTTCTCATGGCAGAGTTCAAATATTGTGTTGAGCTTCTTTTCTTCAGTTTTTATCATGCAGAAAATGACTCAATGGGAAAAAGCAAGGGGATAGAGCAAACAATTTCACCGATACTCGGGTGTCGGTTGAGTCATGTTTTGTGTGCCATTGCGAGGAACGAGGAGCGTTCCCATACTCAACATCGAAATCATTAAAGATAACGAATTACGAATTAAATTACGAATTTTACAAAAAGATAACACAGTAAATTTGACCAGTTAAAATCGATTTAAAATGGGGGAAATTTCAACGATTTTCACTGGAATTATCAGGAAATACTCGCATGCCCCTAGACGCGTAAAAAGGATCAAGCTGGTTGGTTTCAATTTTGATTTCTGACTCATTTGCGATTCATTGGAATCAACGTGTGATGTCACAGACTTGCCCTGCCCTGCCCTGCTTGCCCTGCCTGTCTGTTTCTCTGTTGGGTGTCCAATATCCTCCTCCACGACTCCACGACTCTTGTAATTTGACACTCACAACGATACGCTGGGTGTGGTGTGGTGTGGAGTGGAGTCGAGTGTACTGCAGGACATATACTGGTGGAGTTGCTGTTTCTGTTGCTTTATTTTTTTGAATGACAGGCAATGAAATTACCTTTAAGCGAAGAACATTTTTTCGGTTGCAGACTGAAAAAGGGTTCCTCCTCCTGTGTGCTGTGGCTGTGTGTGTGTGTGTCCTTCTACTGTCTGCTGTGGCTGTGTGTATGTGTGTGTGTGTGTGTGTGTGTGTGTGTGTGTCCTGTGCCCCCCAAAATTCAATTCAATTTCAGACATGGACAAAAAAGTGAAAAAGAAAGAAAGAATTAACTTTTCTGCAGGCGACATTTCTATGTCCCTTTAATACCCTACCAAAGTGTGGGTATATACGGGGTGGATGCATCGCAAATGAAAAGTGCTTGCTCCTACATTTACGTGGCTTTCACTTAAAATTAGATAAAATGATTTGCTGCATATGGTATTCATACGATGGATTGTATATTTTTGTACATTTAAATATTTCAAACTGACGATGAACAGCGAATGGTGTGTCCTTTCTGCAAGGGGAACATTTTATGCAATATTTTTAATTTATTTCGAATAATGTTTCCATTGCTCCTCTTCCCCTGTGGGCTAAGGGTGTCCGCTTTGTCGCCTAAAAGGACCCCACTGCTTGCTCTTTTGAGTGCTTGCTGCTGCTTCTTCTCCTCCCTCTTGCTCTCTCTGCTTGTACTCGTTCCACTTTCCATTGCCGAAGCCAACTAACAACAAATTGCTACACCAGAAGCAGAAGCAAATGCAGCACAACAGAAGCAGCTGCAGAAGCAGCAACAAAAATGTTGCAAGTTATTCAATTAAAAGTTTTTGTTGAATGTCCAGGACAAAAGAGAAACCAAACCATTAACCAGAAAAGCAGGGGGAAAAATTTGATGCAGGAAATGTACCACCCACCGAGATTATAATACATTTAAAGCCCCCCCACCCAGAAACTAATCCTTGCTTTTATTTTCTTTACTTTACTTTACTTTTTGTTTTGTTTGCTTACAGAGTTTGGGCATCCTTGCCTCGATACCCGCCGGCCTGCTCATCGTCTCATTGGTGGGACTGCTGCTGTATTTACTCACCCGCTGCTGTGATCGACGCCAACGGAAGCCGAGCGCCCAGCGATGCCAGAGCTGCACTTTGCTGATCATCACCCTGATGACATGTGCAGCGATTGGATTAGGTGAGTGTCCCGTCCCGTCCCATCTGTCCTTCTGTCCGCCCTCTGGAATGGAAGTAAATTGGACCGCCAGAGCACGTACGTAGTTGTAGTTGCCATCGCCGCCGCCGCATCGCATGGATTGACTTCTGGCAATCGGCCAGAAACTTCTGGACTGCTGGACGGCTGGACGGCTGGACTGCTGATGGAACGTGGCTTGCAATCGTAATAAATGCATTTGCCCTGCAGTCTGGAGATTTTCTTTAGGATTATGAAACATTTGAGGGAGTTTGACACGGAGAATAATGAAGATTTATCCAGATTAATAAAGAAAGAAACGATTTGAACCGAAGAGCGGTGCTGCATGACGCGCGATAAGATGTGGTCTCTGTGATCTGTGGACTTGACATGCACAAAATATCTATAAAAGATGACTATAAAATGAAGAAAAGATGAGTAGAAAAAGAAAGAAACCCGACGGAAACTGTTGCATGACGCGTGTTGCAGAGCTGTGTGGAGAAAAGTGTAGAAAGAATAGAAGAAAAGAAGAATGGCACAACAAGTAGAAGAGAGCCCGAAAATACTTTTGTGGAGTGTAGCAGCTGGAAGATGTTTCGCTCACTTGTCACGTAATGCCCTCCAGCTGTAGGGCTCCTGCCTACCCCTGCCCTGCGCTGCCCTTTCCCTCTGTGCTTTCTGGAGCCGCCGTGCGGCAGATGCGTCATCGATTAACCAGCAATTGGGTAGAGACGAGAGAGCAGTGGAGAGGGTGTGGGCCAGGGGGGAATATGATGGAATAATAATTTAATTATTGCTCTTAATTGAATCATTCATAAATGATGTCGAGTGTGTATGTGGCTGTGTGTGTGTCTGTGGCACGGGCCTCTTACATCACTGACCTTTCCCCCGGTTTATGGCATGTGGATGGAATGTTGCTGCTCTGGTAATCCCTGATCTCCGACTCCGATCTAAGCTGAAAGAGCGACACCGAATTTTATTTTTCATTCTTTCTTTTTTTTTGTATCTATTTTTTGCAGGTTTATATGGCAACGATGACTTTCACAATGGACTGCTGCAGGCATTTAGCTCTGGAAAGAATGTTGAGGGTCTCGTTCTCACCCTGAAACGACAGGTGAGTTGCACCGGGGGGGCTGGATGGGTGATGGGTGAAAAGAAATAGTGATAATGGTTCTGCTACTCTTCGAGAGACCCAAACCATGCTCTCTCTCTCTGTGTCTCTATGAGGCGTTCTACTTCTGCTGCAGGACTCCTGTTCCTGCTCCTGTTCCTGGTCCTTACTCCTTCCTCCTTCAGTCCGGCTTCATTATAATCAACCTAAAAGCTGCTCCCCCTGCTGCCACTGCCACTGCTGCTTCTGCTCCAGTGTTGACAGTTACCTCGTAACGACAGAGAGGGGACTCCAAAAGCTTTTGCTATTCATAAACTTTGTCAGGAGCCAAAGGACATGAGACAAGAGACAGCAGCCAGAAACAGGGACAAAGACAGAGAAAGAGAGAAGCGAAGCAGCCGAGCTGCCTGCTGGGGCCGATATGGCAAAAAGGTTAAGGGAAAAAAACGGGAGGAGACTCGCCAAAAGAGTACTGGGGGGGGGCGGAGGGGAGGACTCTTAGGAGTAGGAGTGGGGGAACGGCGATGCCGCCATCAGCATCAAAGGTAGTAGGGATGCAGCCAGCCAGGGTTTGGGGGGTGGATGTGAATGAGAAATGAGGGGCCAGGAGTCATCGTCGTCGTCGTCTCGCCCAAACAGATGGCTGGCATTGCCCGACTCTTGAGTAAAACGCTATTAATTATCCCAGAGGAAGGGAACCAGAACTAGCAACAGAAGAGGGGTAGAGTGGCAGAAGAAATGACGGGGAGAAAGGAGTGAGGTGAGGAGTGGGGCGTCCTGCTCCAGACGACGGTTTGCGTGTGTGCAAAACGATTCCTTCTAAACTGAAACCCCACACACACGCCACCCGTTAAGCCTCCCTCCCTGCCTCCCCGCCGCCTCTTCCAAGTGCGGAAGCAAAAGTATTACGATGGAAACTAGTTTTCCTTTCCTTTTTCTTGCTGTGTGCCCACAATCCCTTTGTGCCTTCGTCATCTGTGCGTGCGTGTGCGTGTGTGTGTGTGTGTGCGTGTGGAAGGAAGGAGGGTAGGTAGGAAGGAAACACTCCCAAAGAAATGCAAATGTTGGGATAGGTTCAGGAGGTTACCTTACCCTTACCCTTACGCCCCCCTCTCTCTATTTATAGCTAACTCTTGCAGGGTATATAAATATTGTGGAATAAATAAATGCACAGGTATTGCTACAGCTTTAAGATACATGTATATATATATCCAGTGACAGGCTCTCCCAAATACTTAGATTTCATGGAAATATTAATTAAATATTAAATATTGGTTTCATTTTCTTGAAGACGTATTTGCACCCCTTAAAGGGGCTTTCTTTCCTCTGTCTTTCGCCTGCACTTACAAGCATGCCCCCCTACAGAATGTATCCCCCCACTATAATTATCAAGGGTATTCAGAACATGCAGACTGGTCGCCGTTGCCCCTTTCGTTTTGGTCATTAACTTTTGAACTAGGGGTTGCTTTGGCTTTGGTTTTGGCCATTTGCTTAACACTTCTCGGACTCTCTTTTTTTCTGACTCTCTTTTTGTTGTTATTTTTTTTTTTTTTGCAGACTGAAAGCATTAAGCATGACCTGGAGTCCAAGATGGCCGGCCACAAGGTGGAGCAAATGGTGGAGAAGCCCCAATACAATCAGACGGTGGTGATGCTGCTCATTGAGACGTCGCGCCTGGTGCGAGAGAACACATCACGAGCGGTCGCCTCCCTGGACAGCATGGTGCACTATTTCATGAAGGCCAAGGGCGGCGAGAATGACACCTCATTGATGGGGCTGCTGCACGTGAGTCATCAGAGTGCTGAGTGGTGGATTCCATTCACAAATGCAATCTGTCGTTTACTTTTGTTTTGCAGATGGGAGAACTCTACGAATCGATACGATGGCCCGCCACCTTGGCCTTCCTCACTGTCCTGCTGCTGCTGTGCACGGTGCTGGTAATTGGAGTGGCACGCAGGTCGCGTTGCACCTTGATATTCTTTAGTGTTTCGGGCCTGTTCTGCATCATCATCTGTTGGCTGCTGGCTGGCATCTACTTGGCCTCCAGTGTGGCTGCTGGTGACTTTTGTATGCGACCCCATGACTACATGTGTCGACAGGTTGGCATGGTGAGTGAGACAAGCTTGCACAGGCACGGGGCAAATCCCACACGAAACTAATCCCCAATCCTTTTGTTGTTTGTTCTGCAGCGGAGTCCTTATGTGGATTTCCTGAATTGTGGCACGCCCAGAAATCGTTTTATTTTGCGCCTGAACGAGAGCAGGGATCTGGTGGATCGGGCCAGAGAGAGTGTGGAAACCATGCAGCGGTAAGGATAACACAAGGACTACTCTCCTGCATCGATTGAATTGAATGATTCATGAGTTATAATCCTCAGAATGAGCCAAGAGACCTATCCCCGCATCGATGTCCAGCGCACCTTGACGGCCATGGACAATGATCTGGAGGAGACGCGTCGCAATCTGACGACCCTTTCGGCCACTCTCGATCGCAGGGCCATCGATCGGCATTATGCGGAGGCGCTGCGCGGGCTCTGCGGCGGTGGATTGCTGGGCCTGAGCCTCATGATGGTGGCGGGGCTGCTCACCTCCTTCCTGCTGACGATACTCGTGTATGCGGACTCGCATGCCTGGATCTACTTGAGCAAGCGGTAGGGCGCTATACCATTCATTCATTCAATCCACTCCTGCTAAATCTAACCCTCTCCTTTCCTCCGATCTCTGAAGACCCACGCTGGATGCAGACAAATCGGAGACGGCTCCCTTGTTCCCGGCCTCAAATGCGCCCAGTGCCAGCATCTCGCCAACAGCACCGCTGGGCACGGGGACTATCAATCGCACGCTGCTGCATCATCAGCAGACGCAGGGCGGTGGTGCAGGAGGCGGCGGCGGTGTGTCCAGCGGTGGTACACTGCCAGGATCCGGTGGAGGAGGCGGCGGTGGCGCAGGCGGAATGAACGGCAACAATGGCGTTGGACCGTACAGGAATGGAACGGCGGGACTGAGACAAGGGTTGGCATCACCATCATCACAATCTCAATCAAGCCACAACAGCTCATCCACGGCCATTTATGGCCACCACCACCATCACCACAACAACAGCAACCAGAACCAGAACCACTACAACAACAACCTCCACAACAATCACTACAGCAACCACTACAGCAACAACTACAACACACAACAACAACAACTGCAACAACAACAACAGCAACAGCATAATAGAACTAACCAGACGACAGCGGCGGCGATGGCCACGATGGTAGCTCCAATGACAATGGCCGGCCACCACCACACACGCACCTCGGTGTCGGGGGCCGCCAGAGGAGGGGGTCGTGGATCGCCGTCGCCGTCGCCGCCGCCCGGCTATGATATGGTGCATGGCACAAGGCATGAACTTTGATTTCATTTTTTTTGCTTCTTGATTTGTGATCCCCCCTCCCCCTCCCCACGAAATTCCTACCCTACCCATACTCCCTCCTAGATCCACACTTCAATTTTTTGTTTCCATTCTTTCTCCTCTTTTCTCCTTTTTCCCATTTTTCTGTTTTTCCGTTTTTCATTTCTGTTTTCTGTTTTGCCCGTTTGTTGAGTTTCTCCTCTTATTTTTTTGTTTTTGTTTGTTTCTGCTAGAGAGATTAGGGATCTCTCTCTTAGTTCTTTGTTCTCCTTTTTTTTTGTTTGTTTGTTTTGTTGTGCTGCTTGCACCCCTTGCACCCCCCTTTGCATGTGAGACCCACCGAACATTAGATCATCCACCACAACGAGGGGCTTTACTCCATGCCCTAACGTTACGTCACGACCCCCACACAACAAACACACACACACACACACAGAAACACACAACTGAAACTGGAACTGAATCGCACACTAATGATGCCACCCCACCCCCCACTAATATCCCTCCCTATACTCAGCGAACTATATTCCACGGCAGGTTTTTTGATGAGACTTAATCGTAGATCCAAGTGTGACTCTAGGAGGGTGTGCAACAGTAACAGAGCTGCAAGGAATCTTGGGAACCAATGTGGGGCACAAGTTAAGCATTTTTAACAATGCTAAAATATACTTAAAGAGTGCCAAAAGCAGGCAGGCAGAACACAATCTATAATCCAGGGGGGGAGCGAAAAGTGAGCGAGAGAGCTCTGCCACAAGGAGTTATCTATAACACTCACAGAACAGGGAGAAGACACAAAAGATCTACACTCTCTCCCTCTCTCTCTCTCTGTCTCTCTAATAGTTATAATCGTACACCTATCGAATAGATCTAATTATAGGATAGGACACAAACAGAGCACTGCATGACAACCACACGCTGTAGCAATAAGCAATTTAAAGCATAAATTCCCAGCCTTAGGATCATGGATCATCATCGCTGTGCAGGTAGCCACGTCCAGTACGCTGCGGGTAAATTAGACACCCAAAATGGTAACCCATTCAATTGCCATTCAATTTGTAACTTCTTAAATGGAATCCCCCCATGTGTACTGCTCGTACAAGTGTCTCCCCCGACATCCTGTGTCATACACAATTTGGAAGTTACTTGTCATAGTGGCTCTTTGAACACCTGGCAGCTCGCGGCAGTTGTTTCTTTACAGATTTTTGCATGTTTAAGTCCGCATAAATCACTTTATTTTACATACTTTCATCCGTTGAGTTGTAGTTACATGTAGGGCTCTTAATGGAAAAACGGTTTCACAGATATATATACCATAGATATTCCATAGATGAAAAGCATTGCCATTTTGATAAAACATTCGGTTTTGAGTGAAGCAAAAAGACACTGAAGTATCGAATATTTCAGGCTATTCCTGCTGTGGTTACTTTAGAAATACTTCCTTTAAGGCTTCCAGGAGCGTGTCTTTTCCTCTGCTATCTTCTATACCCACTTGTTCCCCACTCTAGATCCTCGAAACCGAATAGAATTTAATTATAGGTTACATTATAATTTTAATTTTGGGTTTAGCTTTAGTTTCTATGTCTATACTCTCTTCTTTTTTTTTTTAAATAAACAATAATCCAATCCCACATTGGTTTCAATGCATTAAATGGAACAGGAAACAGATGAAGGAAAAACTGGTGGCAACTCCCAGGGGGAAGGGGTTCTTTAAGATTAAAGATAACTCGGTTAAACTTTAGATATTTGCCTATATGTGTGTGGGTTTGTGTTTATGGACACCTTGGATGCTTTTTAGACACCTCAAATCCCAAAGGAAAACTTTAGACTGTAGACTGAACTGAATTTAGTTCCAATAGATAACCCCTAGGAACAATCATAGTCCTGCAATATTTTAGCCAAGAAGCAGGGCCACGATAGACGCTGGCAGAGGGATGAATCGATGGCAGGGGAAGAGAAATGAAGAATATTTATGAAAAGTTTGTGCCCTTTGCCAAATACTTATATGGATTCTCCCTTCCCTCCCTTTGTTGTTGCAGGTCCGGCCATCACACATTGGGACGTCTGCCGTCGCACCATCAGCAGAGCGCCTCGTATATGCAGGGACCGAACAATGGAAAGTACGCGACGCTCAGCAAGCAGTGTAAGACGCTCGAATCGAACGACTTTTACTGAGATTCGCTTGCCTGCAGCACCTATGCAGGCAATAGCAACAACACAGCCCAGCAGCAACAGCAGCAGCAGCTCCAACTGCAGCTCCAGCTGCAGCAAGCGCCGCCGCAGCCACCACTCCAGCAGCAGCAGCAGCATTCCCATCAGCAGCAGCAGCTGCAGCACAGCAGCAACATCATCAATCAGCAACATCAACATCAACATCAGAACAGCAGCAGCACCTTGAAGAACATATTCGCTTCGGCGACCCTGCCCCGTTCCACGGGCAGCTCCATCCGATCCGTGCTCTCCGCACAGACGGCCAATGCCATGTGCAGGTCCACAGGCAACGGCCTGGATGTCGGCAACGAGGGGGGGCTGGCCGACGACCGGGATCCCCGCGATGTCACAAACAACAGCTTTAATCGCTTCGATCCCAAATACATCAGCATCGGACCCAAGGCGGTGCGTGGCAACAATAATCTGAATATTGTGGCTGCGGCGACGGCCAACAAGTGTGCCACATTGCGGCATGTGGGCCGATATGGTGGCTCCCTCAAGGGTGTCTCCTCCTCGATGCCCATGGGTGCCTCACCGTCGCCGAATCTGCGCAGCGCCAAGACGCCATCGATAGCCACAGTTTCGAAGGATTACTGCCAGCAGCCGGACTGCATACCGCAGGTGTGTGGCTCCACGGAGTTCCTTGTCCAACAGCAGCAGCAGCAACAGTTGCAGCAGCAGCAGCAGCAGCAACAGCTGCAGCAACAGCAGAAGCTGCAATTGCAGATCCAGTTGCAGATACAACAACAGCAGCAGCAGCAGCAGCAGCAACAGCAGCAGCAGCAGCAACAACAACAGATGGTGCCACCACCAGCACCACCTCCGCAACAGCCACAGCCGCCGCCACAGATGCAGATTCAACCCGCACCACCGCCGCCGCCACCAAAGCCAAAGAATACCTTCACAGAGATACCCGGCACCACGGGCGTTGGGAGCTCCTACGCCAAGGAGCAGCTGCAGCAACAGCAGCTCCTGGCCCTCCAGCAACAGCAACAGCAGCAGCTTCTGGCCCTTCAGCAGCAGCAGCAACAGCAGCAGCAGCAACAGCAGCAGATTCATCCACCGACGACCCACATACTGCCGCCCTCGGCCGTCTACAGCATCGAGAGCAGCGAGGTGCCGACGGCTGCGCCGCGGGTGGTGCAGCGCAGCCTCAATCCGGCCTCGATCGTGAACCAGCCGCTGCCGGAGATACCCTCGCAGTCGCCCACACAGTCGAAGATATCCGCCCAGCCGCTGTGCGCCGCCAGTCTGGGACAGTATCGGTCGCTGCAGCGGCCCCAGAGCCACAAGATCTCAGCCGCTGCCTCCCAGCCACAACAGCAACAGCAGCAGCAGCAACCGCCCTCCCTGCCGCCCAAGAACAGGCACAAGACATCAAGGGGCGGAGGTGGTGGCGGTGGCGACTCTAGCAATGCCAACCACATGCAGACCCTGCCACCAAAGTCCGCCAGCCTGCGGCAACAGCAGCAGCAGCAGACAGGCGGCTATGAGAGGGAGCGGGAGAGGGATCGCGACCGCGATAGAGAGCGTGAACGTGAACGGGAACGGGAGAGAGATCGTGAGCGTGACAGGGAGCGGCCGCGTCGTGCAGAGACGCTAGACAATGCCCGTAGCTACGTGGAGCAGCAGCAATACGGTGGCCAGGTGCTCGTCGGAATGAAGAAGCAGCACTCGTACGACAGCAGCAGTACGTATCATCACCACCAGCAGCAGCTGCAACAGCAGGCCCAGCAGCAGGCGGCCTTCTACCAGCGCCAGCACAACAACAACTATCAGGGCGGAGCCGGTGTGAGCTCCTCCAAGCAGCAGCAACAGCAGCAGCAGCAGCTGCTCATCGAACAGCAACAGGCGCTCTTCTATCGCTCTCTGAAACGTGGCGAACGAGGAGCAGGCGGAGGAGGAGCCGGCGGTGGTGGCGGCGGCACTGGACCCGCCACCCATGGGACACACTCCAGCCATGCCCATGCGCACGCCCATGCCAGCCATGCCGCCCATGCCAGCAGCGACCTCTACTCGGTGACGGAATTGTAGGAGTGCGCCTGCTGCGGCGGCGGCGTTGATGTTGTGCGACGGGGCACATCATCAACGTCGCTGCACGCAGCGGCGGCGGTAGCCAGCACTCACACCCAGACGCAGCAGTCGGCGCAGGCGCCCATTCCCCTGCCCCCCAAGAAGCATCGCTCAAGCCACGCCCAACAGCAGCAGCAGCCGCCCCCCCAATCCGCCTGCAATGCCAATCTGTGCGAGGAGCACGAGTACGACGAGTACTTCCCGCAGCCATACGACCAGCAGGCGCCTCCAGCCCCCGTCCCAGCAGCCGTCACCACCACCTCCTCCTCGTCGAAGCACGCCAAGCAGCAGCAGCAGCAACAACAACAGCAGCAGCAGCGGGCGGCCACCTTCGACGTGGCCGATGCCCGGGACTACGAGCTGAAGCGTCTGGGCAACCGGCGTTCCCAGCAGCAGGCGGCACCCAGTAAGCGCAACGGTGGAGCAGGCCTTGCCGCTGCAGCAGTGGCAGCGGCGGCTGCCGCAGCGGAGCACCATCACAGCCATCGCAGCCATGATAGGGAGCGATCGCGCAGCGATCATCGTATAGCCAGCTATGCCTGCGAGGAGGCGGCGGCAGCAGCGGCGGCAGCCCTGTGCAGTGCTGGTTCCATGAGTGTGCTCCCCGCCAATGGTTCCCAGCAGCAGCAGCCATCATCCCATCGTGGCCACCAGCAGCAGCAGCAGCAGCAACAACAACAACAGCAGCAACAACAACAACAACAGCAGCAGCAGCGGCGGGAGAAAACCTTTAAAGTATGATTTTTAGAGACGTCATAAAAATTGTCCACTCCGCGCCCGCCAGACGGTGGCAGGGGCGGCTCCAGGCGACGAACGCGTTGAGGCGGAGGGGCGGTCCAGGAAGCGTTGCGGATTCTTTCGATTAGAGAACCCCCACACAGGAGGAGCGACGCCTGAAATTCAGTGGAAAAAGTGGAAAAATTATTCCGATTCTGCTGCTCCCAATAGCCATTCCAAAGCAAAAAATTTGTTTAACTTAAGTCTGTCTCTGTCTAACACCCCCCACCCACGCACCCTGTCATTCCCACTACCACTACCACTCTATCTCTGTCACTCTCACTCTCTCTCCCTCTCTTTATGTCCTGTGAACACTGCAGAGAGAGAGAGAGAGAGAGAGAAATGCATCCATATTGGAACAGCTGAGAGGCACACAGTGGCGTCCACAAATTACAGATCTATGCACACAGACTCATCCCGATTGATGCAACACTGCAGCTGTAAACTGTAACTGTAACACACCAAACACACACACAGACACACAAACACACACGCATACATACATACATACATCAGTTCTCTGCTCTGTGTTGTTGCCTATTGTTATTATTATTATAATTATTATTAACCGTACTGTACTATAATTAACAATCTATGTATGTAATATGCCCCCATTTATATATATAGTTATTTTTTTTTTTAACACCCCTCTCCCCAGACCCTCCCTATATTATGTACGATATATTTAGTATGTATGCGAGTCTTTAGTGTGTAAGAGCCAAATTATTTATTTACGAGTGGATATTGTAGTGACCCCCGTAACCCCTGACAAACCGTCTCGAGCTCGAGCAGTGGAGGAGAGGCTTGACATTTTTGGGGGAAGCATCTGGTGTTTTAAGACTTAACAATCAGCTGTACTAACTTTTAAAATGTAATTTTAATCAAAATGATATGAAGAGGAGCTTCCCAGTGCTTCGAGCTGCCACTGTACACAGTCAAGGCTCGAACCATTGGGAAACCATCAATGAAAATATGAAGATTTCCAATGATCGAGCCTTACCCCCGCGATCCGCTCGCTCGTTCCCTTCCGAATCGACGACAGAACTATTAATTATTTTTGGTTTTGTTTTTTTTTTGAACTTTATGTAATTTTATTATTTGAGAATCCGTTGCGAGAACCACCACCAACAACAACAGCACCAACAGCGACACGTACGTAGAAATTTTTGTGACGTCAGAAATCTAAAACAAACAAAAAAACAAAACAAAAAACAAGAAGAAACCAAATGCAAAAACAAACGAACACCAAAAGAAACAAAAAAAAACAAAAGCAAAACAAAAATACCATGAATGAGGGAAAGTCAAAAGCCGAAAACATTTCACAAAATAAAATTATAACAGTAATATTTAAACACCTTGAATAAAACTCAAAGCAAAAAAAACATAGGAAAAGTTTTAAATTTTAACAAAACAAACAAAAAACAATAACAGTTACATAACTTTTGAAAAAGTAACCGAGCAATACGAATACGAAAAAAAAATACGAAATAAATAGCAGAAGGAGAAGGAGAAGAAGAAGAAAATGTTCAACTATTTTAACGAGAATTCCAAAATGAAATAATAAACGAAACGAATACATAGAAATATAAACATACATACATAATACATAGCATACACATACACACAGAAATACTTACGTGCAGATACGTATATATAAACACACATATAGTAGTATATATATACATACATACATATATATGGAGAAAGCATTAACTAATTAATCAAACAACAAAAACCACACCAAAAAAAGATAAACCAATTGTTCAGGTCAATAACTGCATTTAAGCCGCAAAGAGAAGGATAAGGGGAGAAGAAGGAGCACGAACGAAACGAAATGAAACGAATAGAAAAGAAAAGCGAGAGAGAGGAAATTAAATGAAAATGGAAAATCCCTGTTAGGCGTTAAACTAAACGAAACAAAATGCTCTTTTTTTATATACGAAAAATAAATGTATTGTATGTATGGAATATTTAAAGAAACGAAAATATATACCTACACAATTTACAGAGATTGCAATAAAAAAACAAAAACACAAACGCATACACACACTCGCACAAATCCATATATATACACACACACACACACACACACACCACACCTAAGTACACCCATATATAGTGAATTGATTAGCAAAAGTGAAGAAGAGGGAAAGGAAAAATGCACACACGCTGGCACATGACAGCAGCGAACGAGCGAGCATCTAACTGTTATCCTCTCTCACTATCTTAATGTCTCGTACCAGTCAGCCAGCCAGCCAACCAACGGTTAATCCTCTCCCTCTCCGATATAAACCACCTAATCGCTATCTCTTTCTCTCACTCGCTCTGCGCTCTGTCTCTCTGCGGATCATCCCTCCCTCCCACGAACTGTGTGCCGTGGGTGGTGTGCATTTTTCGTTTGCCGTTATTCCATTGCAAAATGTTTCAGCAAGTATGTAGTGTAGTGTACGAGTAGTGTAGAGACTCCTAGCGAATAAGGCCAAAGTATATTTAAAAAGGGAGGAACCGAGAAAGGAAATACCAAATAATTTGCAGGCAGGCAGGCATTTACTTGTAGCATTTAAAAAACAAATTACATTCTACACCCACACACCCCAACACACACACACGAAATAATCGAAAGGAGCCGAGTGTGGGATTAATTCTTAAATATAAACTAAATAAAATGCAATTATAGACACAGATCGTATATAATACAGACGGGATGGATATATTATAGGAATATAAGCAAACAAACAAAAAAAAAAGAGAAGAGATTGGTGCTTCGACGAGGTTTAAGCCATACCAGAACGGGAAAACTAGTGCACTTTTTTTCTTACTTTAACGGATGGAATGGAGAGATGGAATCTTAATAAACGATATTGCAATGATGTGGGGGATAAGGATAGCATAGCCCCAAATCGTATTTAAAGTAAACGAGAAAGTAAGACAAATTTTAGAGAAATCGGTTTTTACACAGGCCAACACACCAAACCAAACAGCAAAGAAAATTGATCCTGTCATTCTGTCCCTTCACGCGTCCCATCAACCATTCGCCATTACTTCCTTACCTCACTCCCCCCATACAAAGCGATTTGTGACAAAAGAGCACGCACCCCCAGCAGATCCTCTTGAAACATTTCAGTGCATATTATATAATGCATCTATACATATATAAATAATATATAGTATATATACATACATGATTACGGTAATCCAAATATAAGTCTGTAAATTTGTTAACATTTCTAAAAGCTAAAAAAAAAAGACCTCGACCAAACAAGGTACACGAATGGATAGATCGTGTGCCTGTGTGTGTTTAAGAGGCGTCTCTGTAGTTGTAGTTAACGGAATTACAATTATTCACACACACAAACACACATACGAATGAATACAAGCCACTCTCGTCGAATCATCTAAGAAGAAACCAAAATGTGTGAATTATACAGTAATGATTGATTGATTGATTTATTAAATACGAATCGAAAAAAAAAATAAAATAAAAAAACAAAACCAAACAATTGTTGAAAGCAGCCGCTTTAAAATAAAAAAAAAAACGAAAAATAAAAACAAATGAAAGTAATTATATAACAGTTGTGAACAAATTATATTTACATAGCGTATGAATAAATTGCATAACAATTGATAAAAATACAAAACAAATAACGTCTTCTATCTTTATTGGATTTAAATTTAAATACTAACACGAAAAGTAACGTTTTCTGTCGTTTTTGCGCAGTTTTGAGCAACGCGCTAGTGTGTTTTACTCTGTTGGCGCCATCTGGCAGCCCTCTTGTGCGAGGCGTTAGTGCATTGGATAAAATCCCATGTGGCAACGCTTGCAGCGACGCGAAAAAAGTAAATTTGTACTTGTTGGGCCCCCACAAATAATAAATGGCAATTAAAACGCTGGAGGAGGCCAGCATCGACTGGGACTCACTGATAGAAGAGTGCGAGGAGTCCGAAGACTCCGACCAGGAGTGGGTCAACTCGATAATAGTGGAAGAACCAGAAGAGGAGTTGGCAGAAATTACGGTAGATCAGGACGAAGCAGAGCAGGCTGTGGATGACCCCGAAGAGTGGATGATGGGGCTGGAGGAGGAAGAATTAGAGCCCGGAGAGTGGAGACCAGATCCTACGGATTCAACGTACCGCCTGCCCTGGGCCTGCACACGCTGCCCCATGCGGTTCGCCAGTCACGAGAAGCTTATCGCCCACCGGCGCATGCATCCTCGAACGCGAAGGGAAAACTGTCCGCCGTCGTCTACCTTCACGTGCGAGGAGTGCGGCAAGGAGTTCAAACGCCGCCGCTGGCTCGACGAGCATCTGCGCACCCACACCGGCGACCGGCCGTACGAGTGCCACGATTGCGGTGCCCGTTTCGCTCAGAACAGCAACCTTAGCGTTCACATCCGGACCAAGCACCTTAAGGAGGCTAAGCATCAGTGCCCCAAATGCCCCGGCCGTCGTTTCACACGCCGGCGACTGCTCCAGCAGCACCTGAAGACGGTGCACCAAAAGCTGTTCGATCTGTCGTGCGAACAGTGCAGCGCCAGCTTCTCGCACCCAGTCTACCTCAAGAAGCACATGCTGGTCCATGGCTGCATCAAAGCCTACTGCTGTCACATTTGTGGCAAAAAGTTTAGCCGGCTCGAGAACCGAAACTCTCACCTCTTCGTCCACAGCACCCGTAAGCCCTACATCTGCACTGTGTGCGGCACGGGCTTCTCAAGAAAATCGCATCTGCTGCAGCACATACAGTTCAAGCAGCACCCCAACGAGGTGATCCAGCGGCAGCAGCCATACTTCAGCGACTTGCTCAGCCAGTTCACCCGCAAGAAGGATGCCGAGGAGCATATTGATGGAGAATTTCCATTGAATTGCAATTAAACCATTTGCTTGCATCCAGCCAGCATGTTCGACATATCCGAGATATAAGAGTATTCAAGTATATACCCCCTACGTATCCCTTCTGGTCATTCTGTTTTTTTAACTATCACTAGAAACGTAGTCCCTAAGCTAGAGCTTAAGAGAGAACATTTTAACTGAATTTTAAGTGAATTTTAAATGAATTTTAAATTAATTTGTACATAACTAGAATAAGTAATCCGCAATGCATATAACACTCATAGTATTATTATCGAAATATGTAAATCTAAGGCTCAAATACAAGAACATGCCAGTTCTTCCTCTAAGCAATCACATGCCACATGGGTGTGGAAGCCTCTTGCATTTGGCAGAAGATAGATCTCAGTAGTAGTTTGTAAAGATAAGATTAGAAACTATTTCTCGTGCATATAAAGTAGTACCTACACGTATATATATTTCGATTAGGATTAGGCTTAGGAAGAGGCCATTGAACGCAATTCTAGCCTCTGATAGGGTCTGTATTTAACTCGACTCAAACTCCTTGCCCTGCCAACCCAATCGCTAGCCCCATGAGGGAGTCCCTTAGAAGACAGCAAAAATGGACCCATCTACCGATGCTGATCAAACCGCTGTACACTACTCTTAACGGTTCCTAGCAGTCACATGAATTAAATTCCATCATCGATTGTGTGCTTCCTGGGGATTATTTTAATCACAGAAGCTAAATATCGAAATACTTAAAAAAAATGTTTCAGTTATGGTATGGATTGGATCCATTGGATTGTTTCTTAGATATATTTTCTAATGGCTAGCAGCACCAGTGAGATGTTTGAATGAACAGCAGAACGAGATACCCAGCACTCCAGCTTCTTAGCAGCCTGTGGCCACCATATATGGGATCTGATCTTGTGTTCGCAGCAGGTTTTTTAATTGTTTGCTTTGTGTTTTGTTTAGAGCCATTGCCCATAAAGCAGTAAAGGCACACCAGCCCACAGTTGATCGGCAAACGAGATGAGCTCTTCTGCAATTTCTGGATGCGTTATAATCACAGTGGCTCTACGACATGGCTCGCCCTCTTGGCCGTAGTAATGAATATATGGAGCATTACAGTACAGAATCTCAGTCTCTGTCTCAAAGGCGGTGTTCTCGATATCGAGTTTCACCCACAGGGGCGTCAGGTTCGACATGAGTATCAGCATGGCAGTGCCCTCGCGAATAGCCAACAATTTTTCATCGTGGCTCATGTGGACATCTTCGAATTTCACATCCACACTAATGGAAGGCCCGGGGCCTATGTTAAATTTACACCCCACTGCCTTGTCTGAAATTGTATACTATTGTAGCTTGGGCAGGCCATTTATAAAATCGCAAAATATTCAAACCTTTTTTATCCTCCACTTGCGAGCTTTTTGATTTTTCCTTCAAGCTCGCGCTGGTAGTTTCCTCCTCCAAGTCCGAGGCAGAGGTATTTTCCTCCACATCATAGACAATAATGTTTTCTGCCATGTTCAAGTCATTGGTTTCCTCCTCCAAGTCCGAGCCACTGGTCGATCCCTCCAAATCATAGACGATAATGTCGTCGAAGTCCAATTCAGTGTTCGTTTCCTCCAGATCCACGACAATAATTTCCCCCAAGCTTGAGGGATTATTATTTTCCGCCATTATGAAAACTCGCGGTTGTTCCTAGCTTTTTAAACTGATTTTTCGGCACAGCAATGTGTAGGAAAAAATCTTGACTAAAATATGTCACAATTTGGCAGACGAATATATAGGGCCAGTGTTGGTTAATGTGTTTTACCCTTACAGAGCGTTACTTTTCCAATTAGAATTGAGAATAGTTCTGCTTAGGGCCGGAGATCCAATTAGCTGTATGTTGCCTATTAATTGTATTGGCATTTGAATTATCACTGAAATCAGACCAGGCCGTATCGTATATGCAAACTGTTTATAGATTGTGCCACCTGATGATCAAGTTGCATTAAACAGCAAACGAGAGGCAAGCGGCTGGTGCCGCTTAAATGAATTTTATACCAAAAATCAGTCAGTGATTGAAAGTGTTTCACTGCCGTGCTGCCGCGCACGAACACTTGTATAAAATGTTCCGTTTTGCCTGCTGCGTGCAAGTGTATGGGTGCGTGCAGATCCCTGTTCTAGAGCGCCAGCGCGAAGACGACGCATGCGAATTTAGTGTGTAAGAGGGAGATGGTAGCTCTACGCGTCGAAGAGAATGGATGAAAAACCGTTTTCTGGCATTTATGTATAGTACATATCAACCATACGTACATATGCAAGTGTGTGTGTGTGTGTGGAGAATGACGTCTCATCGCTGTTTCTTGCTCGGCCGACGGCACAAAATGGCGGAAACGCCAAAGGGGCGTGACATGGATTCTTTGATTCTTTGAACTTGGAAATGATTCTTTTTTGGTTGTTTAGCAGCACGGGCAGTATTTGCAATTACGGAATTACATACATAAATACATATATGTACATACATATGTATGTATTTACTCCTGTCCATGCTTGAATTACCAAACATATTTTTCAGCATCAAATCGTTGGCTGTGAACACACACACATGCACATGCAAGTTCTGTGTACACGCGCTAAATTTATAGAGTTGTATGCTCTGAAATGTGTGAGAGCGAGACGTCGCGAGTGGCTCAACACAACACACACACACACGCACATCAGCAAACTGCCAAGCTACGCCGACAGCCGATATTTCTCACTCACTCTTGCATATTGCAGCTCTTTACAATGAGTGTGGTAGAGATTCAAATGGCAGCAGAGGAGGCAAATCGGAGGCTCGCCCAGCTTTGGGGACCTCCTTAATCTGATATATAGTACGTCTGAAACTAAGAAACCAACTCCGTTACTTTTAATGCAATGAAGAGATGCAAACTAAAATTTAAAATTAATTAATAATTAATTAATTAACTAAAATTAATTATTTAAAATTATTAAAATAAAGCTAAGATAAGCTAAATGTATTTGAAAAAAAAGCAAAATATATTCCAAAAGTTGTTTGCAAATTTCATAAGCTATTTGTGAAGAGAGCGCAAAGTTATGCTACTTTTATTTGAATTCAGAAACATTGCCAAAGTTTACTTATCGCTACAGAAAGTACTCTACAATTTTAATACAAGAAACGTGTATGAAAATGTTGTAGCATACTTTGGATGTGTAACAGCTTTTCACACAACAAAAAGAACGAACATTCGATTTCATTCAGCTTTAGTCGATATCATCGAGTATATATATCAATATAATGTATAATAATCCCGTGTGTTTCCTGAATTTTCGATTTATTTAGAAATAGTCCCCGTCGCATAGTTTCTCAACTGTTTTTGGATTCCGAATAAAAACGATGAGGTAAAATGTGCCATAGGTTCCTCTGAAAAAGCAGCTGTAAAATTTCTTTAAATATTATTCAAGATTCATGGGTTATAGATGATTGATGGACCCACCCCAGGAGGCTTCGTACCCCATTTGTTTCTCACCAAAGCCCAATCGGTGTCCCTGGGGTCGAGTCCTGACCCCAACTAGGTTTTTTTGTGAGACTTTTAATCTGGACATGCTAAAGTATAGTGGGGATCCTATTCCTTTTCCCGGCTGTACCCTACGCCAGCTATGGGGTCGGCCCCACAGCTGATCTCTACCCTCCGCTCTGGTACTTGGCCCAGCAGAAGAAATGTGTGGGGAAAGAGAAAAAGAAAGAAATGATTTAACAACAGAAAATGTTACCACATTCGAAATAACAACATGAACGACATGAAATGAAAAGTGAATGGTCGTTGTCGTCCGCGGCTGCTGCTGCACTTTAATACCGATACCGAAGAAACCTCAACCTGCCACAACCTTACAGCCATTTCATTTTATTTCTGCCGGATCCCGGTACCCTCCCTTTTGGTCAGCGGAGTGGAGTGTGGGTAAAAATTAACAAAAATCAGGCGTAAAAGTCATAAATAACAAAAGCGATAATAAAACCCATGGCACGGTGGTACAACAATAACGATGAAATGGTAATATTTAACACCTTTTAATACACTTCTGCGGAGAGTATTATGATTATCCACTCAGGTTTGGTGGCATCATGATGACACTATGACAAGTCCAGAATTAAGTCACTCCATCAGAGGTTTAATAAATAAATAAATATTAAACAATTTAAAAGGTTTTTCAATTCCCCATTAATAGCTTTGGGGCATTGGAGTACTTCGGAATGAATTAATTTGAACTCTCCTTGGATTCCTCGATCGATTAGCAAGGGTATAGAAACCTTCGGTAAGTCAATCTACTCTTTTTTTTCTGATCCCCCACCTCTTTTGGGACTCAACTCTGATGGAACTTTTGTCCAAATTTCGCACATAATTTGGCCAGCAGCAGCAATTCACATTGATCGATGGAGGTATCGATCAGTTATCGATAGCTAATGAGCAGAGCCATAAAGCACGCTCCATCTCTTTATGCATCTGTCACAGCGACCCCCTGCTGAGAGCGGCAGGGGCCTTCAACAACTTATCTAATTTATTGTGGCAGAGATCTCGCTCCCCTGCGTTTTTTTTTACCTTTCTTTTGTTTTGTGCCTGAATGAACTTGTCGACACAGAAATACACAGAAAAGATTCCAATGAAAGAAAATAGAGAATGACAAAAGAGGAAAGGAGGGGGGGCGCATATGGCTACAGTTCAGAAAAGAGTTGCGTAACTTTCACGCAGCTTTGACCCTGACGAAATCTCTATCTTGAGATCTTGAGCATTTGGGTTTGAGTCACAGTCACAGGCCAAGTCACGTCTCAGCGAGCGAATTCTGGCCGCTTCCGGATCTGGCCGGATGTGGCGGCTCAATTATGCTAATGAACGTGGGAGTGAACCCCGCCCAAGAACCGAATAAGCCAGCAAGACAGAACGAACCATGGCTGTGGTTCCAAAGCCTCAAGTTCATCTCAAGAGCAGAGCGCAGTGGGGGCCCTCTGCCCATGCCCATCACTTCCATTATTCCCATTATTCCCATCATTCCAGCTGTCCAGCTGTCATCCTTTCACTTTCCGAACTCCAACTCTGAGTCCGACTCTGAACTGGGTCAGCGATAATGGCATAAGGATCAAATGCCCCAACTGGTTGGCCGCATTATGCAACAGAGATTTGGGAGAGAGGATGATTAAGTGTGTTTTGACCATCCATCATGACCAGAGACAACCCAGTGGGGATTGCGGATTGCAGTGGAATGAGAAATCACTGGGGAAAATTTCAGCAGTTGGATTGTTGTTAGAGCCATTAATGTTCTCTCCATTTCGCTGACATACTAATCAAAATATTCCGGAGTGAGATGCCATGGTCTGGCATACTGATTAATGCATCCAAATTCCAATAAGAGAGTGCCGCAGACTGCGAATGGTATGTGGAATATATTTTAGATTAGGTCAGTCTTTGGAGGTACAACTTTCATCTTCTGTACTCCTCTGCTTATGGATACCGTGAGGATTGTTGTTAATTATTCTCCTAATTATTGCATTTTTCTTGCATATTTTCAGAAGCGTTCGCTTGATTGATTGATTCCTTTGCGAATCGAATCCCGGAACTGTGTGGAGGATCTCTTTTTTATGGGTTTCAAACTAGATGGAGACCACTTAATTTCTCTTCCACAAGTAATCGTTGTGATCGTTGGCCTCCCAGCTAATTGGCCATGCCAGTGGCGTTGCCAGAGAGCTCTGGCACTCCGCTCCACTCCACTCCCACAAAACACCACTACGCTGTCTGCTCTCCTCTCCTTTCTCTCCTTTCTCTCTATAGTTTTTGTTTTTTTTTTATTGTGTCTTTTTGCTTTGATATAGTTTCTCGCATCAATTCAAATCACAATTCACAAAATTTCGAGCAAGCGAAATCCGTAATCAGAAATCGAGCTACGAGAAATCGTGCCCCGTTGGATGTGCCCTGCATTTTAAGCATCTGGAATCTGTCCAGCTTTCCAGTTGCCTTCCTGGAAGCGCATTTCAGATCTATGGCAGTGGGGGAGAGAGTGGGGTAAGGGGGGCGTGGCAGCATTTACGTTTTTCAGTTCGTTTTTGTTTTTTTATTATTATTTCGATATAAAAAAAAATTACAATAGATTGTTGCGCTTGCAGCTCGTAAAACTAGTTAAATAATTTAATGATATCCGTGGGTGGGCACGGGCGGCAGGTAGGTGGCCTCTGGCTCGAAAATGGGCGTGGCCGAGTCACCCGAGTGGCCCGGCGCCCCGTACAGCACCTGTTGCGGTGGTGTCTGGTAGTCATATCCCGACGATGTTGGCGGCTGCAGATACTGATTGCTGGGCGTGGCATAGTCATAGCCAGCGCCAGAGCCGGAGCTGGTCTCGTGCTTGGCCCCCAGGAAGGCGCTGGGCTTGAAGGGCGCCTTGGACAGCTCGTTGAGGGAAATATCATTGGAGTGGTGGTGGCCACCACCACCACCACCACCATTGGACAGGACATCGGTGTGCAGGGCCTGTGGCTTGCTGGCCGTGTAGCTAAAGTGGCCCAGACCCTTGTGGCCCAGGGCGTAAATGGGCGTCTGGTGCTCCTCCGCCGCCTGCTCTGCCTTGTGCTCCTGCTCTTCGAGTACCTGGACCTGCACTTGATCGGGCAGCGGATGCTGTGGATGCTGCTGATGTTCATAGCCGGGCAGCAGCGGAACTCCGTAGCTGCTCAGCGGCGGTGATTTGCCAAAGCCAATGCTGGGCGCCTCGTAGCTGTAGCCGGAGGTCTCCTCTCCGCCCAGATGATGCTCCAGTGAGGGATGGGATGAGGGGCCCTGATGGGCATAGCCGCCCAGCTGCACTGCTCCATGGCCAAGACTCAGGGCGTGGCTCAGTCCCTGCTCCAGGGCCTGCTCTATTGCGTGCCCGTGGCTGGATCCGTGCTCCAGGGCATGGCCATGGCTGGGTCCGTGGCTCAGTCCATGGCCGCCGAATCCGTGACTGAAGCCGTGACCAGCCGAGGAGTGCGAGGAGGAGATGGCATAGCTCGGACGTCCGCCTGCCGATCCGCCGTGATGACTGCTGTGCGAATACTCTGGACCGGCCACCAGGTAGGTGCTGCTGGGCTTGTGGCCACCCAGGAGACTCAGGTAGCCTCCTCCGCCGCCTCCACCCGTGGATCCATGAGAGGCGTACTTGTAGCCCAGGCCAGCGCCAGATACTGATCCAGATCCAGATCCGTGGCCCTGTCCATATCCATGACTGTAGCCGTAGGTGTGTCCAGTGCCATGGCTGGGTCCGTGACTTGGCCCGTGTCCGTGATAGCCGTGGCCATGCCCGGAGCCAGATCCACCGCTCGTCTGCACAATGTACGTCTCCACCTTGGGACCCTGATGGTGGTGTCCACCGCCGAAGCCACCGCCAAAGCCACCGCTGCTGCTGCTGCTGCTGTAGTGGGGCCTGCCGTGGGAGGAGTGTCCTCCGTAGTGGTGTCCTCCGTAGCTCTCCAGCGTGCTATCCGCGTGCCCGAAGTCGTAGCCGCTGCTGGACGAAAGTCCGTTTCCGTGAAGTGCCGAGGCGTAGCCGAAGCCCGAGTCGTAGGAGGAGGAGTGGGATGGTCCGGGCGGCAGGTACTTGTGCGAGGGGCCGTGGTAGAGGCCGCTGCCAAAGCTCAGGCCGGCATCCCGCTTCAGTTTGTTGGTCGTGACGGCTGGGGCGGGGGCCTGCTTAGCGGCGGCGGCATTGATGGGGGCCTCGGCATCGACGAGCAGAGCGCAGCAGCAGCAGCAGCTGAGCAGAGCCACGGCTAACGGGATTCTTCCAAACTGCATTCTCACGGCCACAAAAACAAAAAACAACAGCAAAAAATAGCAAAAAACAGCACACAAAAAAAAGTTAACTGTTATCCTTGGAGCTAGGCTCTCTGTCACTGTCTCTTTCTCGCGTATTCCACAAGTGTCGCGCGCCGCAGTAGACAGCGCAATGTTGACGACCTCTGCGACGGCCAACCCTTTTATACGCGCTCTGCCTTGGCCGCTGCCAAAGCCTCAGTCACAGCCACAGCTCACAGCCACGACTCGAACTTGGACAGCGGCTCAGCGTCAACGGCGACGCCAACTGCGCCGACGCGCAGCGATGCGAAAACAGTTTCTTCTCTCGCCCTCTCATTCGCACTCTCTGACACCGCCCAGCCTCGACTTTGCTTTGCATACGCAGAAGCAAATGAATGTTTTCGGTTTCGGTTTCGAATTCGGCTTTGATTTCTTCTGCGCTCTGCTTTGTGTCAGCCGCTGTCAGAGGGCAGGGCAGAGGGGCGCATTTACTCTCACTCTCGACGCACGCACAGTGGGCTAGACGGGCAATGCTGTTGTAATTAATTTGATTTGAATTTGTCGCCATGAGAGCTTACTGTAGTATGAAGATGTGGTGGAGCGGGGGGAGCTTCTACTGTACTATATAGCTGTACTCCACTCTACTCTCCACATTCACTTCTTCTGTGGCAAATGTGTTGTGCACTATTTACAATGATTTGTCCCACTGTGCGGATTGGCGGAGACCCCGACAGCGCCACTCAAGTTCAAGTGACACTTTTTCATATCACATGTCACGGGTTGCCCTTTGGCTCTCCCCTCTACCCCCCCCCTGCAACGCATCCTGCTCCCGGGCGAGTGTGTGTTTTCCCAAGGTTCCCCCCCTCTTCCACAGCTGTCACCCCTTTGCCCGTAAGGCAACTCGGCTCGGCTTATGCGTAAATTGCATTTAATTCACAGTTACTTGTTGTACCTGTGCCGCAAACGCCACTCTCTTCTCTCTGCACTCCACTCTCCTCTCTCTTCATACTACACTCTCTTAGCCTGCTGTAATTGTTGGTGTTATTTCAGCTGCGAACATTTTGAAAAGAGATTTGTTTTCGATTTTGCAATGCGATGTACAGTATGCGGAACGGAACGGTACGCGTCTGGGATTACGTCTCTATCGGCAGGAAGTTTATCTATTTTCCTTTTATTAATTTAATTAATTTATGAATAAAAGACTTAATATGAGCAAACAAATATTCATTCCAATAAATATTAAGTACTTCAGTTGATAGTATCAAAGAAAAACTAAAACGGGCTGATCAGTGCACATCCGAAAAGTAACGAAAGGGAAATGATTTAACTGGTGCATGGATTCAATTAAAAATCGAAAAGTAACAGTTCTTATGAGACTACACCGATCACCCCTTGTGGCACTGCTATGGGCTATGGAGCTAGTCAAACTTACTCGCAGCAGGGGGGAAGTCACTCGCTTGAGCATTCTTCGCTCACGCGGGAAGAGCATATAACAAGCAGGCGGGGGGGTACCTTTTTGCGTATACCCTTTTGATTAAAAGTACTTCCGACAACGGAACCACTATCTCACCTACGGGGCTTCACCTACGGGGCTTAGCAGCGCTCCTACTAAATCTTGAACTGCAACCAACAAAGCCTCTATGAATATCTTACTAGGAAAACACCTTCAGGAACTTTCAATGTGCTAAGCTAATAAATGTATTTCCCAAAGAGTATTCCGGGCCTCGATCTCTCGCTGACTTTGATATTTCTTCGATGGTTTTTGTGTGGCGATTCTTCTGGTAGCTTCGCTGACTCTTTGGCGGCGTCTTTTTTTTTTCTCTCTCTCTTTGTGTGTGCCGTTTCTTTCGTTTCATTGTGGCGGGTCGTGTGCCACTGCGCGGCGCTTTTAGTTGATGTAATTGCCTGGCACCCGCTGCCCTTGCCCCTGCCCCTGCCCCATGCCACAGCCCACAGCTGGGTTCCCACTTCTGTTGCGCGTTGCGCAATCGCACCGCCAAGGTCACACCTGCCGCCACGTCGATCGAGATATAATTTCGCCGATTTGCGACTTGTGCGTTTTGTGCGTCTGGGGGCCCTCGTCTTCGTCTTCGTAGTCGTCGTAATTGAGGCATTTGAAAGCGGCAACAAATTGCCAGAGATCCGACGAGATCCGCCCATGGTAAAAGTCGGCCACCAGCCGCCTCCCCATTTCCCCTACCCTCCCCTCCTGCCATCTTCGCATCTCCCCATCTGTGGGCGAGTCATCGCCAGAGATTACATGGCCAGAGATTGGATTTCTGTGTGGGAAGAAGACCATTCGAATCGATTGTCTAACGGTGGCTTCTACTTCTTTATTTGTGATTAAAGGTAGGGGGGGGGGACTCTATGATCTAAATAGGCTGTACACACGCCCCGGGGACAGGTAGACATAGGCTCCAGCTCGTTCTGTTTCTCTTGCTGGCCCCTCCAGAGACCCTCCTCCTGCCTGATACTCGTCATACTCATCCGTGTAGCCCGCAAAGGGTGAGGGCCTAAAGGGCAGCGCAAACATGCCCTGAACAGGCGGTCCCGTGTGCTCCAGCAGCTGCGTCTGTGGCCTAAACAGATCCTGCGGCTCAGGCTCGCGCTGCTTCTGCCGCTCCCGCTGCCGCTGCACGAAAGGAAAGGTCTGTGGACCCGTATAGCCGGGACTCAGCTGCGAGAGCGGCAATTGCCGTGGAGTGGTGGGCGGCACCAGCGGACGCCACGGCACGGCGTACAGCCAGGCGGGGTATGCTGCATGCTGCTGCTGCTGCTGATGTTGCCCCTGCAACAGGGGCAGGCAGCCGAATAGCGCCAGGATGAGGCATGACAATGCTGACATGCTGGCCATCGATGTGCCAGGCGAATGATGGCCTTGGCCTGACACCCACTGCATATATATGGGCGGAATGACCGTTATCCGATATCCGATAGCCGCAGCCAAGGCTGAAAAGTGATATCTTTCTGGCACCGCTTCTTCCTCTGTGTTGCGCAACTTGCAATCCAATTCCAATTCCCATTCCCCATTACCTTTCCCTTTCCATCTGCCTGCAGTGGGGTCGCATCGATAGCCCCCACCTCCCACCACCCCCACCAAACGAATTCCAGCTAATGGCACTCTCTCGCTCTCTCTCTCTCTCTCTCTCTCTTTCTCGTTTAACTGAGTAGTAATTCTTGTTAAATGATTTTTCGGCTCTTTGGGTTTTGCGCAAATCATGTTGCAACATACAAAATTGGTTGCCTCCAAACAGTGGCTTTGGTGACTTGGCTGAGATCAACAATCCATGTAACTGAGATCCACCGCCTTGCCCTGCCCTTCGAATGCCAAATTTTCCACTTGAGGGGATACCCAGATGGCCCACAGCTGTGCTGCTGCTGCTGCTGCTGCTGCTAGTGTGGCAGATACTTAAGATCTATGTAGTAGCAAGATACAAGCAGAAGTGCCCGCCCTTTATGGTACAAAAACCTAAAAGAAAGTCATCCGGTATAGCACTCCCCCAGTCCCACTGTCCAGCTGTCCCACTGTCCAGCTGTCGCCCCTCATCGATCGCTTTCGCACCAAACAGCAGACAGCAGCATTTCAACTTTTGATGACTCGACTTGATCGAAAACGAAAACGAAAACGAAGCTTGAACATAACGAATAATGTGCCAAAAAGATTAACAGCCACAAGGTAGCAGCAGCAAACAAAAGGCAGCAGCGAAGCTGTCGCCGAAGCTGCAGATGCACTGCCATAAGGTGTAGCTGTAGGCAATCGATACACGAACAGATTGAAGAGAATTATGAGGCGAAAGGGCAGCGCAGAAGCCAGGATTGATTGCCTCCCTTCGTAGCTAACCCTTGGAATTAAATTTGTATTCATTCTCATTCAAGATTGAATCTCAATCTATGCATTAATCACTGCCTTTGCTGGACAACCCTCGGGCAGGGCATATGCATCATCCCATCGTCTCATCGAGTTGTGAATGCATTATTTTTCTTTTGCTGGCCGCTTCCTACTGCAGCTGCAAAGAAAGTTGACGCCGTGCCACAGAAAAGCTGCTGCTGTTGTTGTTATGATTTCTGCTGCAACGCTGCAACTAAGCAATGGGCTCAGCCCACCCCACTGTGTGGGCGTCTGCTGGTCTGCTGGTCTGCTGCCCGTCTGTCTGGTGTCTTGTTTGCTTTACCTTCACTTTTCCGCCTCTTTGCACACTCTTTTGCCACACGTACACGTACCACAGCAGCGGAAGCGCCCCGAGAACCGAATCATCTTTAATTTGAAACTCTAATCGCCACATAATTCGCCACAGTAGCAGCACCAGCAGCACCAGCAGCAGCAGCAGGCACTGGCATTAATTTGGGCAAATTACAAACAAATTCTGGCAATTAGTTGGCCAGAATCCGGATTGACGGTGGGAATTTGCGTAATCAAATTAGCCATGCTCGCATTTTGGCCAACAGACTCCAAGGTCCAGAGCCCCCCCCCCCCCCCACCACCAACACGATTTGGTGACGCCATCATTCAGCTCAAGACATAATTTATTGGATTAAATAATTTACACAAAAAAAAAAGGGCAGCTAAAAGATAAATTCCTGCTCAAACCAAATGCATTTCAGGTCTAGGAAAGACACCAGTTGAAGGCCAGGGAAGGGCGATGGAACAGGCGGCTCGGACAAGGGATCTTATGGCTTAGCGCGTTGGATCCCAGCGAGGCGTCAGCAGGGGATTCTGGGAAGAGTACTATCGATAGTAGGGTGGCTGGAACTCGCGGCTGGGATGACTCAAGGAGTTCTGGAAGGCGTAGGATGGGTTGGCGGAGTGAATGGATGGGTTGGAGGACTGAATGGATGGGTTGGAGGAGTGAATGGATGGATTGGAGGAGTGAATGGATGGGTTGGAGAAGGCAAAGGCACTCTCCGAGTACTGACGATTGCCCGAGTGTTCATGCTGCGGCTGCTGGTGCTGCTGAGGCCACTCCCGCTGCATGCTATGCGACGAGGGCAGCTCGTAGGAGTGCGATTGCATCTGAACAATGTCGTGGCTTTGCTGCGGCTGATGTTGCTGCTGGGGAGAGCCACCCAACAGCTCCTCTTGCCGCTGGCCCTGTCCCTGCCCTGCTGTCTGGAGGGCTGGCCAGCATTAAAGGGCACCCGCTGGTAGGCATCTGGCAGGGATTGGCTCAGTAGGCGAGTGTCGAGTGCATCCAGTCCAATGAAGCGATCTTGGTCCGAATAACTAGAAAGAGTATAAGCTGGAACAAGCTTGATATCGCGGGCAGGAGCAGCAACAGTTTTATGGCTGCTGGCATGCGCCAGAGCCGAGGGAAAACTCTCAGAGCGGTGCCCCAGATGGGATGGCTGCCAGTGGACGCTCTGCTGTTGCTCCTGCTGCTGCTCCTGCTGCTGGTGTGGCTGCTGTTGATGCTGCTCCTGGTGAAAGCCCTGCCAGGATTCAGCTCTCTGCGGATGTGGCTCCTGCTGAAGGCTGCCTTGTGAATGATGTTGTTCTGGTCTGCCAAGCTGCTCCGGAGAGTATTCCCCATCTTGGTGGCCCTGCTGATGATGTGACTGGGACTGTTGCTGGTGGTACTGCTGCTGGTGGTGGTGCTGCTGGTGGTAGCCTTGCTGCTGTCCAAACTGTCCCTGAGATGACTGCCAGGGTTCGGTTCTCTGCTGCTGACGTTGCTGCTCTGCCAACTGTTGCTCCTGCTTCCAGGAGTGCTCTTCCTGTCGATGCTGCTCCTGTCCCTGTCGCTGTCCCTCTCCATAGTACTGGGAGTTGTAGGGACCGTTGTAGCCCGGCTGCTGATGCTGCTGCTGCTGGGAGTGCTCCAGGGATTGTGGCAATTGATTGCCATGCGATCCATGTGATTGCCAGGGGCCAGTGATGATGCCCGCTTCCGTGCTGGGCGGCCCCTCGGCGGGCAGATACTTGTGGGCGGGTCCATTGTAGCGGTATCCGTCGCGGTTGTGATTGAACAGCTGCTGGTTCCTGCCCGGCTGGACGACGGCTTGGACAGTCGCTGCCAGGGCGGCGCTGAGCAGGAGAAACTGCAAAAAGAGTAGAGGCCGAGCTGTAGGAGGATGCAGGATCAAAGCGCGTTGCACTTACCACGCGGAGCTTCATCTTCGTTGTGATTTGGGGCAGCTGGTCGAGTGCCGAGCGAGCAATGGCAATGCCGAGCCACGGCAAATCCGTTTTATAGCATTACCACGAGTCTGGGTCTAGGTCTACCGACATCAATTGAAATCAGCTCTTGGCCTATCAGTGCGTGAGCGTTGGCCAAAATTCGGCTGCTCCAACCAAAAACAAAAATAAAGAGTACATTTGTGGGCTGATGATGAATGCCGAATGCCGAATGTTGCCGAAAAATGCCAGATTCTCACGTAATATGGCTCACCCACAGCAGGTCACTTACAGATGTGCCAACTAGCTCTGCCATCTTCATGCTACGAGTAGAAAGTGCATTCTGATGCGGAAATTTAGCTTAGATTTGAATTTGAATACAAGCGAATTCAAGACTGGACTGGTGGAGGGGCGGCCAGCACTTTTACTTTTACTCCAACTGGTAGCTGGAAACTGGAATGGAATCTGTTGTGGGCGTGGGTGGTCATCTCATAATTGTACGCAAAAATATTTAATTATATCACAGACACACACACACACACACACACACGTATAACGAGCGCGAAACACAAAGCAAAACCAACAGAAAATCACAAGGCAAAAAGCGAAATCCGGATTCAATTCCCCTGGTTGGCAGCACTGGTCCATGGGCAGCACTGGCTAGGGCTAGGCACTAACCATGCAGTATATGTGTAGATGTGCCTGTTCATACAAAGAAAGTGGCGCAGCTGAGTTTTCAGCGTACGTTCCCAGGTCTTCGGCTCTGAGACCGATCGCGTTCGGCTCTGGGATTGACCTCTGTCGGCTCATGACGTGTCACGACGGCCGACGGCCGACAAGCATGTGTGTGTGTACGTGTAACAATCCAAAATATATGATTGTATGCACAGAATAATTTTTAGCTGCCGAAACCGATTGAGATTTCAGGTTACGTAAATGTGTGTGTGTGCCGTGTATTCATGATTATAATTTTTCGTTTCATATCAGTAAGCATTTGTCAGCGAGCAATTAGAATTGTTCGTTTCATAGCAGTCAGCTTTTGTTAGCGAGCAATTAGAATTGTTCGTTTCATATCAGTCAGCTTTTGTCAGCGAGCAATTCGAATTTTTTGTTTCATATCAGTCAGCGAGCAATTCGAATTTTTCGTTTCATATCAGTCAGCGAGCTATTCGAATTTTTAGTTATATATCAGTCAGCTTTTGTCAGCGAGCAATTATATTTTTCGTTTCATTTCAGTCAACTTTTGTCAGCAAGCATTTATAATTATTTCGTTTCCTATCAGTCAGCTTTTGTCAATGAGCAATAAAAACATTTTTTTTTTTTTTTTTTTTATTAAAATTTTATATTAATTTTTACATATTTTCTACATTTTTACATTTTTTTATTTTTCCTACTACAGAACTTGGGCCATATATGTACGTGCTAAGAATATTATGAAACGTTATTTGTATATTGGATATAGATAAATTATTGCTATTTTGACGTTCCAGGAGCACAAAGATCCGCAGGACGAAGGACGCCCTTAAAATGTTCCGAAGTTAATTCATGAGAAATGCCGGTTCGATTACTCCCCATCTCAATCGAACAAAAATGAGGCTGTAGATGTGGATGCGTGGATCACACCCACATATGTATGTACTTTGGCACCACCAAAATCATTTTTAGAAATTCACTTAAAAAGATGAAAAATAATTGTGGGCTTCAAAAGAGAATTGAATGAACTTTCAGAGGACTGTTTTTATTCGTGTCGATGCTGCACCCATACGTGAAGATATGCTGAGGCAAAGGTGAAGTTTTCTACCAATTATAAATGGCCTTTAGAGTGAGCAGAAAGTCGCGCGTTAATGGGGCATAAATGTGCTGCTAGTGGGCCACTTCTTGGATATTCCCCCTGTTCGGATTGGTTCATGGGAGGCAAACACTTTCCAGTCTCGCATTTAGTATTCGTTTATTATTGGGTAATTTGTTTTGCGCTTTTCTAGATTGCTGACCGGGTTGCCGGGTCCGGGCAGCTGGCCGTAAAATAAATAATCATAAAATACTTAGAGTAACTAACAAAAAAAAAAAAACACATACAATACATTCAACAAGCAACAAAATGTTGCATAAAATCAGCTATGAGAGTGGGGGCGGGGGTTGGGGAATGAGGTTTACTTCTTGGGTGGGGGCCTCAGGGCGAGGCTGGCCTCCAGATCGCCACCCGCACTGGCGGCGCCGCCCGTTCGCAGCTGCTTCTTGCCCGGAGCCGGGTGTAGGTTGCCACCGCTGCCGCCGCCTCGCTTGCCACGCTTGACACCGCCGGCTGGCAGTGCCCCCCCTCCGCCGGGGGAGCCCTTGTACGTGTGCTGGTAGCCGTAGCCCTCGGGGTTATTGTTGAACTTGGGGCTGTAGCTGTCGTACTCCAGGCTGCTGTTGATTCCACCACCCTGACCCTGTCCCTGACCTTGGCCCTGGCCCTGGCCCTGCTGACCTTTGTGCTGGCCCTTGCCATGGGCATGGCCATGAGCGTGGGCGTGGCTGTGACCGAGTGGGTGGCTGTGTGTGTGGACCAGGCGGAGCGGCTGCTCCGACCAGGGCTCGTGCTCCTCCTCGTACTTGGAGCCCAGCGGCTCCTTCTTCAGCAGATAGGGATACGGATTGACTATGGGATAGCCATCCTCCTGGGACTGCGACTGCGACTGCAGTTGCAGCTGCAGCTGCAGCTTCGCCTGCTCCCGCTCTCGCTCCTCCTCCGGATCCGGCTCGGCAAAGTAGCCCGTGTAGCCCTTGTAGTCCGGATGGAGGTCCCGGTCCCCGGCGGCGGCTGCCTTCAGCTTGTGGCGGTACTCCTGGATGGCCCGCTCCGCCTCCGGATCGTGTCGCCCCTTGTCGCCCTTGAACGGCAGCGAGTTGATGTCGTGATAGATCTCCGAGTTGAAGTACAGCTTGTGGGGCTTCCCACCGGCTGACCGCGTGTGCTGGTGCTGCTCTGCTGCTGCTGATGCTGGTGGTGATGCTGCAGTTGTAGTTGCAGCTCCTCCCCCGTCTCACGATCACGCTCCCGTTCCCGCTCTGCTCCAGCCACAACATGCGACAGATCGAACTCCTCGATGTTCTTGAGGGCGGCGCCATGGTCAAAGTGCTCTGTGCTCTTCAGGGGCAGCGTGTACGGCTTGGAGACCGTCTTCACGGTGGCCGTCTGCAGCGGGGCACGCGTCTTGATCTTGTAGATGAACTCGACATTGGGACTGAGCTCGTCCACGGGCAGATCGGGCGCCTGGTAGGCGGTCTCCGTCTCGGACTGGTAGTGCTGCACCTGGGGCTTCGATTGCGAGTGGGACGGGGACTGGGACTGGGACTGGGCGTACGACTGGGAGTGAAGATGCGGATGAGCCTTGCCCTGATGATGGTGCGCTGCCAGACTGCCACCACTGGGATGATGATGATGATGGTGATAGGAGGAGGACGACGACGTCGACGACGGCTGTCCCTGCTGGCGACCCTGTCCCGGCGCCGCTGTGTACTTCGGTCTCACTGTGCTGCTGCTGTAGCGCTTCTCCTCGGACGAGGCAGAGCTGCCTGAACTGGAGGATGAGGAGGATGGTGCCGCCGAGGATACTGAAATGGAGGCGGATGCCGGCTTGTAGTAGGTTTTGATCAGCGGCGGTGGCATCGACTGCGGCTGCTGCTGCTGCTCCTGGGGCGTGCTCAGTATCTTGCCCTCCGCCTCCAGCTCCTTCATGTACTTGATGACCGACTTCTCGATCTGCTTCATGATCTCCGACTTGGGTATCTCCGTGGAGGCGGACACTCGCACCTTCTCCTCGGCCTCAGCCTCCAGGTTGCGGTACAGCTGCGGCGCCGGATACGGCACATAGTTGTAGTACTTGGTCCGATACTGCCGCTCGATCTCCCCCGCTTGCGGCTGCAACTGTAACTGCGACTGTGACTGCAACTGTGACTGCAACTCCGACTGAAACTGTGACTGTGACTGCAACTGTGACTGTGTTGAGGGTTCTGCCTGTTCGTAGAGCTCATAGCTGCGCGTCACGGGCTCCTTCTCGTACACGGGCGCTGGTGCGGGCTGTGCCTGCCTGCCGCTCCCGTTCCCGTTCCTCATCCCGCTGCGGCTGCTCGGAGGTCGCCTGCGGCTCCTTGGGGGCTGCCTGCGAGTGCGTTTGGATGGTCAGCTGGGGCTGCTGGTAGGCCAGCTTAATGGCATTCGCCACATACTCGGCGGCACTCTGCGAATCCTCCAGCGTGATCGTATCCGGATGCTCACGAACTCCACTTGCGACTGCCGCCGTGGTCGTGCTCAGACTGCTCGGATACAACGCCTCTGGCTCGGGTCGCACCAGATTCAGTTCCACCTGTCCGTAGGCATAATCTGCGAAGGGGTGGTGGAGGTGGGAGGGTGACAGCTGCTGCCTGCTGCTAATTGAAATCTGTTTCGCTCACCTTTGTTCTGCGCCTCTTTGGCTCTGCTCTGGAGCGCTGCATGGCTGGCGCCACGTCTGCTGTGCGTGCGTCCTGCCAGGGCCAGCTGATCCGGCACAGTGTCCTCCGCCAGGGATTGCGCGCCGCCCGAGCGGCGGCGGTGGCTGTGGCTGTGGCTGTGACTGTGGCCCGAGGTGCCTGTCGTCACGGAGACGGCATCACAAAGTGTTCCCAGCTGCAAAAAGAGGCAAAAGGGCAGAAAGGAGTGGCTGTAAGTGGGCGTGGCTGATCAATTTCACGGCCAATTGTCATCGAAATGCAGAGGGGAAAATTGTGCATCAATTTGTTGCACAAACACACACACACACACACACACACACACAAATTAAACTAATTAAATCTGCTAAATATATTTAACCGATTTAACTTTCGCTTTTTGTCCATCAGCCAGGGGGGTGGTGGAGGGAGGAAATAGCAGAAGCAGGGGGGGTGGTGGGGGGTGGTTGATTGCAGTTTCTAAATGATTGAGTTTGGCGCATGGGGCGCCACTCGCTCGCTCGTTCGTTCGCTCAGGTTCAATGGCCCAAAGATCGTTGGATCGTTTGAATGTTGAATGATGATGGGGGGATGGTGAGCGGTATGGGGCGCTTGTGGCATGAAGTGTTTGCGGCACGCAATAGTCGATGGGCACTGCTGTGCATCGTTGTGGCAGATTGGCAGAGGATGCCAAACGCAAAGCCAAAAAACACGTGATTTCTGATTTATTCTGTAAATATTCTGCACGAGATTCTGCACAGAAGATTCTGCAAGGATTGTGGAACACATGGAGCAAAAATAATAAAATCACATGCAGAGCTAAGATAAAATATGAAATTTATGGCTCTGCTTTGTAGCTCTTTAAATTCTACAAAAATGCCAAAAATATTTACTGGGAAGAGATTTCCTTTAAAATCTTTTGTAGGAAAAGAAATGCCATACATTTCTGAGAAGAGATTTCCTCTCGGCACTCATAAAAACCACACAGAAGGAAGCTGTGCAAAAGATTTCCATGCGCTTGCCGAATTTATTTGTGGGCCTAGGCAGCAGTTTATTTGGGCAGTAAAGCAAATCCTTCGGGCAAATACTTTTGCTTGCTCCTTTGGTGCCTCAAATGGCGTCCTTGGAGAGCTCATTAAGTCGCTTGGAAATATAATAAAAAAATATTCACTTGGAACACCTTTCACACACTTTATTCCTAGAGGATTTCCTGCAGAATTTCGCGGACACAAACCGAACGAAAAATGGCACGCAGTCACTTTGCACAAGAACCAAAAAAAAAAAAAGGGAGAGTGGATTGTGCGCAGTCCTTGCGTTGTAGCTCGGGGCAGGGATGTGTGCCCCCCTGCCTGGGGGATTACTTACGAGTAGCAGCAGACAGAGGCTGCGCACGAGTGGAGGAGCACGGGCCATTGTGTTGTTGCTGGTGCAGCGCTGGCTGGGGCTGAGCTGTGACTGTGGCTGTGGATGTGGATGTGGACTAGTCCGTGCTTGCTGCTGGCGCGCTCTGTTCGCGGACATGTGCTGCGAACGCGTTGGGGTCTGTGGTGCAAGTGTTTGCGGCACGCTGGCGCAGTGCGGCTTTTATAATGATGCGGCCCGTTGCAGCGGAAAATTTATGCGAATGTGCAGGCCAAACAAAAAAAAAACACACACACACACAGAAAGAGAGAGAGAGGGGGAGAGAGAGAGAGAGAAAAGTGCACAGAGATTCACTTTCGATGACAATTGAAATTGTAACGAGGCAATCGACGAAAAAACGCACTGGCGTATGCGTGATATGTACAGTGTAGAGAGTACAGTGTACACCCATTATGACCCCCAATCTCTGATACCCAATCGACTGTCTATTTCCAATCCTCGACTCTGCTCCTCCACACAACGGGCAGCTAGAACTGGTTTCTCGGCTTCAGTTTGGCGACTTTGATGGCCAATTAAGCCATAAGCCAAATAGACAGAGCAGCCCGGACCAGACCAGCCCGGACCAGCCCGGACCAGACCAGGCAACACACAACACAAAGACAGTTCAATGAAATGTTTGGGGCTCAAAACGGTTCGTAATACCCGTAATTGACTTGTAAAATCATCGCCAGCATCGATGGCATTTATTGGTCTAAGCGACAGCGAATCGATCTGTCAGCCCAGCCTCTGGGATAGCTTTGCATGCTCGCATCCGCGGCGCAATGACTCTAGCAATGACTCTAGCCCTGCAGGCTGCTAGCCCAATGGGTTCTCGATTTGTTTTGGTGTTTTTGGGTTTTTCCTCGCCGCTCAAACTGTTTCCGAGAGAGGGTCTGCCTCAAGAGCGGTGCCTCAACCGATGCAAGCAGCAGGCGCATGGGATGGATGGGTGGCTGGGCAAATGTTTTGGCTTCATGGTCACTGATTCAGTGCATAATAATTAACAAGCAGCGAGACAGAGACTGGCTGCAAGATTTATGATGATTTTCGATCAAATGTTGCAGTTGCAAGCAGAGAGAGAGGGAGAGAAAGAGGGAGGCAAAGCAAGGCAAGGCAACAATGTTGATGGCAATTTGCAGATAGCGCGGCTTAAGGCACACAACCAGAATGATCCCATTGGGAGGGTGGTGCCGCCTATTGATTGGTTTTTTTTTTTTTAGAGTTTTGGCACACGATTTTCGCCTGGCATTAAATGCATTTCTTTTACGTGGCCCCCACAGGGCGTATGATTTATATATATTAATATTCTGGTGGGAGAGGCAGGCAGGCAAACAAAAAGCGAAACGAACACCGAAACACTTGCCACACTTAACGCCAGCGATAATGGCCGTAATAATCAAAAGCGAAACAAAGCACACATATAAGTGTGTGTGTGTGTGTGTGTGTGGTGTGTGTGTGCCTGTGGTGTGTGTCTGTGAAGATCAACAACCTGGCCAACAACCGAATGCGAATGCGATTGCGATCCATGCCCCGTTATGTGGCCAAAAGCTGCAGCCACCACCACAAATCCAATGGCAATGCAAACAGCAAACAGCGGCAGCAAAAAGTGTCCGACAGACGGACAGGCAGGCAGGCAGTCAGCAGGCGCTATCGATGACGTAGGCCACACGAAACAGTGGGCCCAGATAGATGCACAAATTAATTGGCTCAAGGAGATTTAGAGACTTATTTGCCCGATGCATGAGGGGCCATCAGAGATTGGGTAAGTCCTGTGTCCTGTGCCATGGAAAACATAGATTTAAACCACATCTAAGATGAACAAAGCTAAGTGCAGCCCATGGCAATAGCTGGACTACTGCCAGAGAGCAAAGCTGCCAGCACGAGCCAGCAAAGCCAGGAATTTGCCCATGGAAAGAGCCACCTCAAATATTCCACTAAAAATTGTCAAATATTCATTGAGATTTCGCCCACTTTGTGGCCACTGTGGCGGCGGCAGTTGCAACGCTTTGGAAAATGTTTGAAAATGCTACGTTTTTTGTGGTGGCTCTGGCTGTGAGGAGGAGACACCGGCTCGGCTCAGTCCGGCTGCCTGGCACCATCTCTGGCGTATCTTAAACTTATTAATTTCTTGCCGTTGTTCAGCTTGGTTTATGGGTCCATTGTTGAGGGCGGTCGCTGGCTCGTTCCAGATCATAACGAGACTTTTTTCATTATGCTTTTGGTGTCGCTTGTTGTTTTTCTTCTGCAGCTCTGGATCTCTGGAAGTTGAGCGGAAATGGCCGTGATTCATTAGAAGGAAGCACTTGCCAGCTACAGCTGGGAAGCGGCAGTCGAACCCAAACTGAAAGTTTTCCATCATCATTTTGTATCAGTTTGAATCAGTTAGGTGCCAGAGGTGGGGGTCTTGGCAGTGTTCCCGGCCAGCCGTGACAGCAATGACAACCAGAAACTTTCGATTTCCCACATCCAGGGCGGGGCGGCTCGAGCCCGGCCTGGGCACAGCTCCAAGAAGCGGACAGCCAGCATAGCACATCTGACATCAGAGCAGCCGTAGAGTATGCAAATGGGGGGGGGAATCTCTCGACCAGAGATTGCGGAAGTGGCACTCCACTACCGAGTACACAATACCCTTCTCCACTTGCCACACACCACACACCACACACCACTCTTCAGTCTCCTTGTTTTTTTTATTTCTTTTTTTTATTTAAATGGAAAGTCGAAATTATAGAAATTGGCACAATTTACCATCCATTGCGGCAGCTGATTATGCTAATTGTTGGCGGCCATGCCCGCTGCTGCTGCTGCTGCTGCTGCTACCGATGGGGATCTTTACGTAAACAGCGTTTAGGCCGCAATGCTGCAACCAACAAGCAACAAGCAACAAGCAGCCCGATGTGGCAAGGAAGAAACGCCACCAATTTGCGGCAACTATGTGAAAGTGATTTCTGGAACTGGCGTGGAATTGCAATGCATTGGATCACTGGATGACTGGATCACTGGAGGATCAAGAGAGCGGAACAGACACTTTGGAGAGATAACAAGAGGGGCAGATGTACCCTGGGCTAGGGATGACTGAGATAAGTGGGAGAGGCAGAGGCAGAGGCAAGGGAGAAGGTATTGACAGATTACTCCTGGAATAGGAGTAGGTTCAGCAGAAGCCCTTAAGTGGCTCAGCAGAAAGGAAACTTTTGCTGCTCAGTGCATCGAGCAGAGGCTTCCCCCGGGACTGGGATACGTACAAAAAATAAACTGCAGCCCAAAAAGCGCAGAAAGGCGTTGTGTGCCGATCCTCCATGGAGTATTGCATATTGATTGATCTACTAAATTCAATTTCCCCCCATCCCACCAAACCATTCGGACTGTGCGCAGCTGTGCATTTCCTATTGTTGTGCACATATTTTGATTTTTGATTATTTTTGTTATTTTTGTGTGTGTTTTGTTTGGGTGGTTTTTTGCGTGTGCATTCGATTACGAATGCCAGCAAGTAGTACTCGTAATGTTTGGCATTTAGCACACGAGTTATTTGCGGCCAAACATTAATGGGTTTTCGGTTTTTGGTGAGTGACTTCCGTGACTACTTATGGCAGTCTTTCCCTGCGGCATGCAGCCTGCTTGCTGCTAGCTGCCCCCTGCTTGCTGCACCCCTCTGTGTTGTGAGGCTTACAAATTTCATTTTTGTTTCGTTTAATTATGTAAAAATATGAGTACAGATATGTAAATACAAATGTAGGTTACAGACTAATTATTGCACACGTTTTCAGCACATTTTTGTGTATAACAAAAAAACAAACAAACAAAAAAAAACAGAAAAAACAAACACATAAACAAACACAAAATAAATGAGAATGAAAAGCGCTGGGGGAGGGATGGAGGTGCCCTGGCCTGGGCTCAGAGAGAGCGAAACCATTGCATACTTCTGGGCTGAGCGGGCAATTGCTGGCAGTTCGATCTGAGCGGAAACCACTGCATACTTCTGGGCTGTTTCCATCTGCAGCCTGCGCTGCAATGCATTGCAATGGATTAATGAGTGGCTCAAAATGAGCTGGCTGGGTGGCGAGCAGGGCTGGGCGGGGCGGCGGCAGCTGCACTCCCACGTGGCGCAGAATAAATACTAATGAACGGATTTCAGGCACGAGAAGCAACTTCAACAACAAACATCACGATTACAATTACAATTACGAGCTAGTACTAAGAATGGAGCTGGGAGATGGGAGATGGGAGCTGGCAACGCTTTAGCCCTCCAGCAGCTGCGTCGTCTTGTACTCCACCGCCGAGCCCATCTCCGCGCCGAGCTTCTCCCGCACGTACTCTCGGATCTGCTGCAGTCGCTGGTCACCGGCCGTCGCCTCTGGTTGCTGCGCCTTGGCCGAACGCTTGCCCTGGCGCATCTTGAGGCCGTGGGCATGGTAGTTGTACGGCCGCTGGCCACTCGGAGCACTCTCCTCGGAGGCGCCCTCCTGCTGCTCCAGCTGCTGCTGCTCCTGGTGCAGCTGCTGCTGCTGCTGCTGCTGGGAGTATTGGCGCAGGGCGGGGTACATGTGGCTGGGGTGTGAATTGAAGATGACCTTGGTGTGGGTGGGCCGCGGATTGTTCTCCGTGATGGGTAGACTGTGCTCCTCTTCCGCCTCGGGGCCAGTGGGTGGCTCTGACTCGGGCACATAGATCGGTTGTTGCTGCTGTTGCTGTTGCTGCTGTTGCTGTTGCTGCTGTTGCTGCTGCTGCTGATGTGGTTCTCCGTAGTCCGCCTGTGGTGCTGCTGCCTCTCCGTAATCCGGCTGTGGGGCCATGGCTATCAGGTAGAGCTGCGGCTGTGCCTGGCCCTGCCCATGGCCATGGGACTGTGGCTGGGCGTAGTAGAATTGCGTCGGCTGCTGGTAGCCCGTTGGCGCGTAGTAGGCCTCGGCCGGTGGCTGCTCGTTGCACCTGCTGTTGCACCTGCTGCTGCTGCTGTTGCTGCTGGTGGCGCCCCTTGTAGCTCTGGTAGACATCGTCAATGGCCGCATACTGCACGGGCTGTGGCGTGGGCGCCAGCTGGTGGGCATAGCTCACATCGGGGTGGTAGGGCCCCTGCTCGGGGACACCATATTGCTGCGTGATATCCACATGTTGCGGTTGCTGCTGCTGCTGCTGCTCGGCCTCTTGCAGCAGACTCAAGTACTGGGCCGCCCGGATCTCGAGGTACTGCTGCAGCAGGGTCTGCAGATGGGCGGCGTACTTTGCGGGCCCGGGTATGCGCAGCACAATGACCGGCTCCTGGTAGCCGCCCTGAGCCGCATGCTGCTGCTGCTGCTGCTCCTCCTCCTCCTGCGGCAGATCAATCTGAGGCTGCTCCAGGCCATGGCTGGGATGCGGCTGGTGCTCCTGGGGCTGTGTCGGATGCGGTGCCTGTGTCTCGTAGGTGGTCTGTGGCTTCAGCTCGTAGGAGTACGATGGCTCGATGGTCACGCTAGTCACGTGCTGCTGCTGCTGTTGCTGGTGCTCCTGCCGCTGCTGCTGCTGCGGCTCCTCTGGCTCCTGCTCCTGCTCCGGCTGGGGATGGGCAAAGCCGGAGGGTGCATAGCTGCCGTAGGTATCCAGCGGTGCCTCTGTGGCCGGAATGTCGTGCTGCGAGTACGGATAGAACATGAACTTGGGCGGCGTGTAGTCGTACCCCGGATGGGCATAGCCATAGCTGCATAAAGGAGATTCGCATGATTAGAGTTGGCTTAGGGCAATGCCTGACTTGGATCACTCACCCCAGCTCCCCTTCGATGGTCCGCTTGCTGTTCTTGCCGCCGCCGCCACTGCCACTGCCACTGCCCGTGGCGTTGTCTCGCTCCACCTTGATCTTGATCTTGTCGCCGTGCAGCTTGAACTGCTTGTCCAGCTCCTTGATGAACTCCAGATCATCGGCGGGCAGATTGCCAAAGCTGGCGGCCAAAGCGGGCGCCTTGGTGGTGCCCCTGGTGACTGTCGTCGTCGCCGTCTGCCTGCTGGTCTTGCCGATCTTCACGCGTGGCTTGCTCGGCTTGCTGGTCGTCCGACCACTGGCCCCAGCGGCTGTGCTGCTGCTCGATGTGGCTGCGGTCACCGCTGTGGGCGTCTTGGTCGGTCGCTTCTTCAGCGTCGTCACCTTCTTGGGGTAGCTGGACGCCTTGGTGGGCGCCTCCGGCTGGCCCAGGCCGCTGGCCAGGCACACGGCCGCGCTCAGAGTGCACTGAAAGAGCGGAAAAGCAGAGCATTCAGCATTGGTTGGGGGGGGCTTGGGTTGGGGTTGTCTGGCCATCGCTTTGTTTCAGCTCAAGGTAAGACAGGGAGAGAAAGAGAGAGAGATAGTGACGGAGTGGAGACGATCGACAATGGTCTCAATCTCAATCTCCATATCGATGTCGATCGTCGATCGTTAAATGATCAATGCGCTGCAGCGATCAAACTGGCGTCTGGTGGTGGGGGGGCAAATAAAAGGTTTCACATTTGACATTTCGTCAGGTGAATGCTTGCGGTGCTTTTCAGCAGCGTCTATGGCGGGTGGCGGGTGGCGGGTGGCAGGCAGCGAAAAACGGGGGCTAGTCAGTGTTGCAGTGTTGTAATCGAATCTGGCTCGATCGCCTCTGCAGGTTTTGCGGTGTCTTCAGTAGTTTTGATGGTGACAGATAGGTTAATGGCTGCAGCCGTGGCTGAGTTATGGTTAGGCTGCCATTTAATGACCAATCGATTATGAGCGATAGCTATCGATAAGTGCTGTTGGTGAGTTTATCTATTAATTATGCCTATTTATTGTTGATTGTTGCATTTAGTTCTGGTTCTGGTATGCTTCGCTTTTTGCTAAAATTATCGATACATACATCGACTATGTTATCGCAAATAATCGAATCTTTAGATATATTTTCCTGAGGATACTTTTATTTGAGCTGCCTATATGAAGAATATAGAGATGTTACCAAAAATGAATCGATATGTTAATCGAATGTTATCGATATAAATTGATGGGGCAGATATCATTTTCCACTAGCACTAGCACAACCCACTACCGACTAGCTGTGACAAATCGATTGCCAAACTGATTTGCATGTGTAATCGATAATCGATTAATCGCTGCCTAGTCCATATCTGCATACCTGGGGCCATTTCGCAAGCAATGCCTGACCAATAAGCAAATCTGGCGGATGGCTTAGTTTTAATTATATTTTGTCACTCAATTACCGCTGCGTGAAGTGGAGTGCCACCCCGCTCCACTCCACTCCGACTGTACTGCCCGAAAACTGGGACAGTGTGTCAAGTCATTTTAATAGCTCTCTTCTGGCTGGCTGCTTGGCTGCTTGGCTGCTTGGGTGCTGCTTATGTTACGGCGACTGTCGGTGCGCTGCTTCGTTGTTTCGCTGCCTGTTAAGCAGGAAGAGTTTTTCGGCAGACTTGCCACACAACAAGCGCTGCCACAAAGCCAGCAACAAATTTGTTGTCAAATGTTCAGCATGTGAGCTGTGGGAGCCCGAACAGAAGAGCTGACTGCTGCCTGCTGCCCCTGGTGGGGAATGGGGGGGTGACTGGTGGTGGAGGAGGTTTAAAGTTGCTCATGTAGCTGCCACAGCAGCGCTTTATATAATCATCTATGGTCCGGCAGCAGCAACTACTCGGGTCGGATCGGATCGGATCTGTCTCTACAGCCTCTCCAGCATTGATTTATCTTTGCCAACTATTTTCTGTAATAATTTAATTTAATTGCATTCGACTCTGTGGCGCTGCCTTTCACTTTACCAACAGAATGGAATACGCTGAGAAGATATTGCTGGCTATTGGCTGTGCGGATTCATCTCTGGCAGGCAGCCCAAGATCTGCTCCTGGCAACTGCTGCATGGAACTCTACACGGGATGCCTCTCATGGGTGCCTCTGCACCTGTACTTTCGCTTGTACAACTGAAATTATATCTGCAGCCACTTCGAGGCAGAGGGAAAGACAGTGGATGTGGCAGTGGATGTGGCAGTGGATGTGGCAGTGGCTGTGGCAGTGGCAAGCGATCGTCACGCAACGCGTGCAAATTAGTCGGAGTCGAATTTTTGCTCAGTGTTTTTTTTTGTTGTTTTTTGTTTTTGTTACTGTTTGGCTTTCGTTGTTGCATCATCATCATCTGCAGCATTAAAGCCAGGCAACAAAGCCATAAAATGTAAATTAGACAAAGTCGGGATTATCCTGCCACAGCCAGCCCCCAGCCCCCAGGCAGTGCCCCAACAATCCTACATTTTCAGCTGGTAATAACTTTATGCAACCCCATTAAAGAGATAGAGAGAGAGAGAGAGAGGCAGGGTGAAACTAGTTCTGGTTGCGTCACAATCCATCCGCACTGTGCGGCCATTCTCTGACCAGACCAGACCAGACCAGATGCAGCTCCAGACCCACAGCTCGTCCAATTAGCGCCCAATCTCTGATGCCAGGTGATGGCCCTTCGCTTTGCTTCGAGATTGATGGACAAGGGCAAGGGCAGTGCCAGTGCCAGTGGCAGGTGAAGGTGCAGCCAAGCGAGGAGGTCAAGCGCCAGCCACTCTGAGAGCAGAGCCAGATATACAAGGAGGCTGTGGTGGGGCGGTTGGTTCAATGCATCCTGTGGCCAGACTTGACTTGGTTTTCCCGCTTTCCAGCAGTGCTCTGCAGCTGCAGCCAAGCCGGCTGTGCAACTGGAAACTGCAACTGGAATGCAAATTAATTTGTCAGGCTTGAAGAGGGGGAGGCAGAGCCAGTGGCAGTGGTTTGGGGGAGTGGTTGGGAGTGGCTGTAGATCTCTTCCGGGAGATTGTGCAATCATCGCCAGCAGCATCAGCTGCTGCATCACGGAATCTTACCAGTATCAATGCCAGTCGCATGGCTGTCTCCGGGCAGTTCCTCCTACGCGAATATGCGAACAATGCACCGCCACAAACGAACTTCTCACGCACTTTGTTTTGTCTGGAGATCCAACTATATATATATCCAAATACACTGGCGGGGTCGGCACTTTCTTCTACCGATTTGTTCGTGGCACACACACAAAAAAAAAACAATAAATAACTATATTTAGTAGGGGGTGTCCGATATAACGATATATATATAGTCTGCGCTGGATTGGGAGCTGCGTTGCCAGCGTTCAAAAGTCGCGCCTTGTACTGTGGATGGCGCTGGCGATGCTCGCGGTTTTTATATTGCGCACTTTGGCAAACCGCAGCAGCAGCACCACCACCAACACCACCACCAATACCAACAAATACAGCTACAAGTTTTGGTCTTCGTTTTCGTCTTCGTCTTCGTTTTGGGTTGCATCAAGCCACTTGGCCAGTCAGTCAGCGGAGTCTCCGATTTTGATTGGGATTTCGGATTCAGAGCTGGTAGCTGGTGGTAGCTGGCAGCAGCGGGTAGCTAGTGGGGGCTGCCAGTAGTCGAGGGCAAAGCGTGCGGAACGATACGAACCGAACCGAACCGTACCGAACCGCAGCGATCTACGATCTCCGATCTCTGTGGACGAGTTCACCCAGCAATGACACCCAGCACGTCCACATGAGTAGCTGCCTCTGCCTCTGCCTCTGTGTGTGTGTGTCTGAAGGTGTAGGTTGCCTGGATGGAATATTGCCACAGCTGTAAGCTGCAGATAGAAAGATCTTTCCATTTGTTGTTCAACTGTAAACTGTGTGTGAATGTGCCTCTGTGTGTGTGCCTCTGTGTGTGCCTCTGGTGCCTGTGTGTCTTTATTTCAGTGGGGAAGTGGCAGTTGGGTGTTTTGTTGTTTTGTTGTTGTTTTGCTTTTGGTGGAAAGTTCGAATCATCTAATAACACGAGACGGGGGCTGCTGCTCAAATGCATAGCATTAAACGCTAATGGGAGGATCTTACCTAAGGCTGTCACTCAGCTCAGCTCAGCTTAGCTCACTCTGCTTCACTACTCTGCTTCATTTGCTTCATTTGTACTCCTCCAGGCACTTCTGCTGCACTTACTCTCGGAGTCTAAGAATTCTGCAATTTAGGCCCGCATTAGCCTGCCCCACGATGTTCAGATTTGCCAATGTTGCAGCCGAAGATTTAATTAATTCAAATAATAAAAGAAAAATAAATCAAATATAAATTAATAAAATATAATTTAACTATGAATTTAATTATTAATAAATTAAATAACTTAATAGAATTTTATTATTTAATTTAACATTAAATTTAAATTTAATTAATTTATTAAAATTAAATTAGATAACTTAAAGAAATAAATAAAATAATTAATTAATAAAATAATATAGAATTTAATTAATTAATTAAAATTATGAGATAGCTGCAAATGCAGAAACATTGAGAATTATTTTACCTACCAGATTGAAGAATTTGGCTGCAATCGGTATTTATTATTTTTTATTATTTATTTTTTTATTTTATTTATTTTTTGGAAGAGAACAAGAGTTAGCCGTTTCCCTGTTAGACCGTAATCCATGGAAAATCAATATTATCTGAATTATCTTTTTGCTACAAACTTGTCATTGGCTCATCATTCTGTCTGCAAAGACTTTCCAATTGTAATATTTTTTAAATGCAGAATTTCACCACAAATTGTTTTCCTAAAAATATCAAAAATATGTTTTACATCTTCTGGATGTACATAAATTTTAAAACCATGCAAATCAATGTTTGTGCATGTGTAATCCTCTAAAGTAAAAACAATTTAAAAATTTCAAACAATTTTGAAATATTTTTGATTGTAATTATAATTTGTAAGCAATATCCCATATGAGAAGGTACATTTGTTGGTACATATTCCAGTCTCTGTGTCGTATCACATGCAGCTGCATGATGTCTGTTCGCTTATGTGAAGTTTTATACAGCGAATCAACGTCCAATGCTGGCTGCAGACTGCAGCTAATTAGTTACTGTTACTATTGTGATTTAGTAGCCGTACTAGTGCTTAGTACAGCACATATCAATATGCATATTTCCGCTCTATTCCTACGTGGTGTATTTTATTTCTATTCTATGGTAATTTACAGTTTTAAGCCATTTTTAACGCATCATTCAACTGCGTGAGAACCCAACAACTGACCTTGCCTCGCCATGGGAGATCGCACCTTTCACAAAGGTCTCCCCCCCATCCAACCATCCAACCAAACAACCAACCAATCAACCATCCATCCAGACAGACAGACAGACAGGCAGAGACACAGACTGAGACGGAGACACAGACAGAGAGACAGACAGACAGAGAGACCTTTCGCTTGCAGCTTGGTTTGCCTTTCTTTGGAGACAAGAGATTTGACTCTTCCATTGGCTGTGTGCCTACTCTTTCAGTCTGCTTTCAGTCTTGTCTCTTGTGTCTTGTGTCTTCTGTCCGATTTCCAGTTCAAGTTCAAAGTCATAAAAAAATTGGCGCAACTTTTGTTGGTCGCTGCCACAAAATTGACGTCCATTCCCCAGTCCGGTCCAGTCCAGTCCAGTCCAGGCCATAGCTATGGCCATTCCGCAGGCCTTTCATTTTGGAGTGAATAATTTTTGATGGCGTTTATTGTGGGGCATCGTGTCTGCCTTTTGTATGCTGGCATCATAATGATTTCTATGCCCTGCCACAAAGCCACGCGAACCGATCGAAACAACAAAATTTGCATAGAAACAATTGCAGCTGGAGATACGAGGGAGAAAGATACGAGAGTAGTGCCAAGGGGTCCACGAGTAGTGGCAATTTAATTGGCGCATTAACTTGTCTGCGCTCGGGACTGGGTTGGGGACTGCGACTGGGGCCCAAGCGCGAAAATAGAAATGGCATAACAAGAGTTTGTCTCTTTTAAGGTGAGGATTTTGTAATCGGCTTTGTCAAAAAGACACAAAACAGAGCACAGCGGAGATAACGATAAAACAGCAAATAGATATTCAAACAGAGTTTGAACACTCACAAAACTTCATTCGCAATCATTTTGGGTTGCATTGTCGAAATTGTTTTTTTATACCCTTGGCTGCTGGCGGTGTGGAATGGCAACGATCGTGGCGTTGCCTGGACCCTGGCTGAGAGGAGTCTGCTGGCGCAGTTTTGATTGATTGCAACTAGAAATCCTGCAATATGTATATTTTACTTGGGGCCAACAATCCCAGCATATTTCAATATGTGGATATTGTTTAGATGATTTGTAAAGCAAAAGACTGTCAGTTCTCAAGGATATCGCGCGGGTTTTGGGTTGCCCCTCAATACGGTTTAGTTCGATGATCTTTTGTGCCGCTGTCAATGACTATGGCGAATCGAAACAGATGGATGCCGATCCGTGGCTCAGCAAACATTGCACAATGGCACAGCAACAGCCAGAGCCAAAGCCAGAGCCAGAGCCACAGCTTCAGTGTTCAGTGTTCAGCCTCAACCTTAGCTCAATTTCAACTAGCGACGAGCCTCATTGTCTGCTTCTTAAGCTGCAACAATGTCACTTAGTCAGCGACTATTATGCGGCCAGGGCAGGGGCTGGGGCAGGGGCAGGGCCAGGCATTATTTGTATTTATTGTGAAGATGCGCCTTGAGCATACGGAGTGGGGAAGGGGGCGCCTGCCATTCAGTTAGCGTCAGCCATTGGGCGTCTATCGAGAAGGTTGGCCGTGGGTAGGCGCCACAAAAGATTCCCTTCTTCAATGGGAATTATTTATGTACGGATTTAAATGCAGGCAGATTTACGAGCTCAAACTGGAGCACGGTTTGGGGGTCATCCAAAGTAAGGTGAAGCCTGGGGCTGCGCTGCATCCGTGAACGGAGACTGCAGTCAGGAAGTGACCGACCAAACCACCCCAGTCCCAGTCCCAGTCTCAGCCTCCCTTTCCAGCCAAAGGGCAGGGCCCCACTCAGGCTCAAGTGCTGTCTGCATATTTAATGGGTGACAAACAGGCAGACAATGCAACAATTTTAATGTGCCCCATCCAGTGGCAGCTTCATTAACAAACATGAGATGGCCAGAAAAAACCAAAAACACATACGAGTACGGGTAGGGAGATACCAGGGGATGTACGGGATACAGGCAGCATCTTTGTGGCATCTTTGGAGCATCTTCGCTTCCTACTTGCATAAATTTCCACCTGTCCGTTTGTCTATCGGCGGACTTGCAGGCTGCCATGCCACATGGGGCACACTGCCACACAAATCATAATCTAGCCGCGACTTGTTGCTCCTCTTGCGCTGCCTCTCGCTCCCTCTGCCACTCTGCCTCTCTGCCACTGCCCATAATTGTTTGTTATTGCTGTTGGCTGGTTGGCTTTATGGCCGCGATTACGTGAGCAGCAGCGGCAGCTCCAGAAGCGAAGTGAAGAGCAGCCCCACTGGCTCATTGACAAAGTCACATATTGCACATTTGATTCGATTGGCTTGAGCTTCAGCTCTGTCTCTGGCTCCAGCTTTAAATGGCCCGCAAAACGAAAAAAAAAAAAAAAAAAAAAAAAGGAAAAAAAATCAAAACTGAAACTGAAGATGAGGTTCAGCCTGTTGAATGTTGAATGTTTCTTTTTTTTGGCGTATGGCTGCTGCACCCGTTGCCGGTCTAGCGGCTGTTATGTGATCTCTGCCGAGAGCTGTCTCTCTTGGGGGCGACTGAGAATGCAGGAAGACTGCGGCTCGATCTGCTCCATCTAAAGCGAATCATCGTTCGTCGTTCAACGTTTATTGCTCGTTATTGGCTTTAATAAATAGTCGTAAAATATATATAAAATAAAAACACAAACACACAAAGAACTGTTAGCCTAAACATTCGCTTGCAGCGACTTCTTCACGCTCTCAGTCTGCCCCTCGGAGCCCCGCTTGACCAGCCTCAGCTGGCGTGAGACGACGGGGTAGGCCAGGGTATGCCGCTGCACCGGACCATGACTGCTGTACGGATGTGGATGTGGATGTGGCTGGGTCTGCTGTAGCAGCCGCAACACCTCCCAGCTGGGTATGTACGAGTCCAGCAGCGACTTGGACGCACGTCCGGCAAACAGATCGGGCGTGGGATCCGGCTGCGAGGGCCGGAAGGGCTGCTCTCCATGGTGGCTCCCATGCCCGTGGCCCGAGGGCCGTCGCGTCGTGATGCTGATGAAGCTGGGCGGATACGGCAGGGGTATGCGATGCCCAGTGGCGTAGCTGCGCTGCGGCAGCGGTGCATAGGCGAACTGCTTCGATTGTTGCAATCCCAATCCCAATCCCAGTCCCTGTCCCAGTCCTGGCGGCGGTCGGGCGGCGTACAGTCTGGACGGCGGCGGTTGCGTATAGCCGTAAACAAAGGTCGGCCGCTGTGGTCGAGGCAGTGGCAGGGCATTGCTCCCCACATACTGAATGCCATTCAGCTGCAGATCCAGATCATAGGGCACAATGGGCTTCAGGAGTCTCGCGGAGCTTGCTGCGGCTGCGGCTGCTGCTGTTGTTTCTGTTGCTGCCGTCGCTGTCGCTGTCGTTGTTGTGGGCGTGGCTGCTGTGGGTCCGCTGTGGAGGCAGGGAGCAGAAATTGTTAACGTTAACGAGGTGCTATGATACTATGCTGATTGGTTGCTTAATTCCCGCAATCAGCCATCATTTGTCGGAAGCCAACGGCGGCCATTAATTTCAACACCCACCCACCACAAAGTGCCACCCCCCACATCACCACACACACAAATTAGTCTGGGATTAGGCGATAGTTAGTCCGAAACGAAAGTCTGCAGCAATTTGGGCATCAATCAGCCCTACCAGCAGCAGCCAAACGTAGGCTTCAATCCAGCCAGCAGCCAGCAGCCCACTCCAATCAGCTGTCAGGTCAGACATTAAACTTTAATCATTAAAGCAACTCGATCGTTCGTTCCCTCTTGGCTCTCTCTTCTCTCTCTCTCTCTTGGAAGTTTGTGTCTTTAGTTGTTCGTTTCAGCGTATCGAGGGCTTTAAAGCTCTCTGCCGCTGCCAAAAGTTGGCCAAAGCTGGCTAGATAAAGCTTCAGGCAGACGGAGCTTCTTTGCGTAAATTGTCCCAGCTAAAAGCAGCAAACTTGAAAGCTTTCAAGCTCCACAAACTTCCAACTTGAATGCTTTAATGCTCTGAAAGCTTTCTCTCTGTTTCTCTTTCTCTGTTTCTCTGCTCTCTGCTGTCATTACTCACACATAAAATACGCTCGCCGGCAGGTGCGCGGGAAACGCATAGCCTGCGCTCAGCTGCTGATGCTGCCGCTGCAGCTGACGCAGCGCCTCCAGTTGGCGCTCTCGCTGGGCGGCATCCTGCACATAGCTGGGCGGCACACTGGCCGCCACGCCCGGCCGCCACTCGTAGTGATTGGGCAGCAACGGCGGCCGATTCACATCCAAGTGCTGCTGCTCCTGCTCCTGCTCCAGCTCCAGTTCCAGCTCCCGTTCCAGTTCCAGTTGCCGTTCCAGTTGCCGCTCTTGCTCGCGTTCCCGTTCCAGATGCTCCAGGCGCAGCTGCAGCTGCGCGGAGCCGTCGTCATCGTAGCCGGGCGGGGGCGAGAGTACAGCCTGCACCACCGACAGAGTGACGATCATCAGGAGGAGGAGCAGGTGATGCAATGCCTGTGGAAGCGAAGGCACAGACAGGTGGATTAGCGACAGGAGAGGCAACGCGGGTGATTAGAAGGGCGCCATGGATTACATGGACAGACAGACAGCAGACGGCAGACGGCAGACAGGTGGCAAATGCTTTTTGGTGAAAGGTTTTTCTGCCACTGCCACTGCTTCTGCCTGCTGCTGCTGCCTTTCGCCGCTGCCACGCCCACTGGCAACCAGCTGGCCTATTGGCCATTGATGCGTTTAATTGAGTTTTGACTTCCCCTCTTTTATTTTTGGCAGTCAACTGAAAAGATCGTGAACCGATTTGCAAGCTGAGACAAATTTGGCGTGAAATTTGCTCAGGCCAAGCCTTTTCTCTTTTGTGGGTGCATCATCTGTGTGCGCTCCACCTGCCCAGGACAAGGCCACACTGCGGCACACTGATAAGCCGCCAAAGGCCGCCTGATTGGCTGAGCGCAGCCTTTCTAAAATCGCCAAGCAGCGCAGAGCCACAGAGCAACAGAGCCACAGAGCCACGGAGCCACTTATGACCATTTGTCACGCAAACAGTCGAAGTCTAAGTCGAAGTCTAAGTCGACGTCTTACGTCTAAGCTGCACCAGCCTCCAATGAAGAAGAAGTAGGAGAAGGCGAAGGAGAAGCAGGAGAAGGAGAAGCAGCTAAAGAAGCATTCCGCGCGATGTTGCAACATTGCGAAACGAAATCGAAACCTGCGAAACAGCCTCAAGCCACGACTAAGCCTCAGCCTCAGCCGCCTCATGCGTGCCCCAGTTTCCAGGGCTTTTGCGGGGGGCTTTTACCTGTAATTATTTTTGGCGGCCTCCCCCCACCGGGCTAATGATCAGAGCAGGTCAAATCGGGCAGCGCGCTGATTGATGGCCCAGAGCGTGGCTAATGGAGTCGCCAGCGTTCAAATGCGTAATTTGTGGGCCCACAAAAAAAAACAAAATATATAACAAAATGAAGTAAAAAAAAGACGCAAGACACAAACTGTGGCTGACTCTGCCGATTGGGGTTCTAGGGCAATGTCAATCACTCAGCTGACAGAAAGAACCCAATCCCAATCCCAATGCAGAGGGTCAGTCACATGGAGCGCGGAGGTTGTCTTTCCATTGCAAACGAACTGCAAATGAACTCTCGCTCTCTGATCCATTTTTGGCGGCTACCTCAGACAAAACTTTCCCCTTCATTGTTTTTTGATCATAATAATACCCATGAACAGATCTAGCTACCAGCTAAGAGCTCCCCCCGCTTCAAGCTCCGTTGACATATGATCAATCAATCCATGAAGCATGAAATTGTCGCAGATTGGCTCATTAGAGGCACTCCCTTTCGCTCTTTCTCTCTCCTGCTATGTCTCTCGAAGTCTCTTGATATCTGTGGCTATAAGTATCTGTGGCATCATTATGATAAATCTGATTTCAAAAGTGATGTAAGGCATACACTTTCCTCTATTGATTGGCTATGAAATATCTTCATTTTAGTTGAATTATTTAATGCCACTTTTGACTGTCAACTAAACTATTTGCTATATCCATTCTATCATCTGAAGTTAAGTATTATTTCCAGTATTTTTTTGCTCATTTATCTGCACATATTAATCTACTTATCCCTCTCAACCTCAGTCTATTATTCGCTTTATATATTTTTTGGCTGCTTTGTTGCTTTCTGCCCACCAAATATATATCCCCTATCTGTTCATGATTCTTGCATACGCACCATAATTCTGGTAGCTCCTTTATGGTCTTCCCTGCTGATGATTCCGTTGCTGCTGCTGCTGCTCTTCTGCTGATGATTCCGCTGGTTTGACCAGCACAGACAACATTCACCAAAGCACACAACAAAAAATGAACAAAATATTTTTGAGCACACACCAAAAAACAAAAATGAACACAAAACTAAAGCCGAAATAGAGACCAAGACCCAGAGCAATACCAAGACCCGAACTGGCTGAAACTGTGGCTAAAACCGACCATGTGACGACCACTGAAGCGACTGCGACAGAGCCGAGCTGTGGCAGTCATTTTATACCGCCCTGGTCCGGCCTCTGGTCAGAGCTGGTGATCGCCGCTGCCACCACTCGGAGTTCTCTATGAGGCAGAGGCATTCACTGGATACAGATGAGCGAAGAAAGGACTGAAGCGGGCCTCGGATTGGTTTGGATTGGTTTGGGTTTGGTTTTGGATCCGTTTAAAGCTCGGGCAATTAATTGAAATGGAAAGTAAATAGCTGAAAATTCAAATTGAAATCATTTGAGGCAACAAGCAAGCGAGCACCGCCCAAAAAAAAAATAGAAAAAAAAGACAACAAAGACCAAGCCATAGAGCTAATTTACGCGTTTTAAAGTGTTATAACAACGTCGGACAAGTGAAGCGCGCCCCGGGCCGCAGCCGCAGCTCCAACTCCACCTTACTTAACTGCCTGTGTCAGATCTCAGACCAGAGCAGAGCAGAGCAGACCCGATCAGAGCCCAGCAGACAGCAGTGTAAGTCATCCAGAAGAAGCAAAACATTGGCCATTAATCGAACCATTTCGAACCCCGACTCTCGAGTGTGAGTGTGAGAAGCGTTTGTGTTTTTTGGTTGGGCCAGAGAGCATCGATAACCGCTCACTTCCGCTGCCCCCCCCCAAAAAAAAAATAAAAAATAAAGCGTGCAGACGCGCGCCAAGTGCGCCCAATCATCCATCCATACCCAGCACTGTACCCTGCCCCAAAAAGATATACAAAAATCTCATTACAAGGGGATCCCATCCCATCCAGCGATGGACGCCACGGGGCGCGTCGTCTTCATCACAATCATCAAAAAAAATCATCCCACACATTTGGCCAAACAATTGGCACAGCAACATCCATGGCAACGGCAACGGCAACGCAATGACTGCGACGACATGTGGAACATTTGGGTGATTGAAAGTGAATTGTGGCACTGAATGTGGCATGTAATGCCACTCAGCAAATACGCTAACACATAAGCGGAGTCGCTTGCCAACGAGAGACTCTTCGCGTGGGTGTGGGAAATAAAATTATTACCGGAACTGGAACTAGAAAGTGCTGCAGAAGTTGCAAAGTGTTGGCCTTCTTTCTGTTCTGCCAGCACTAATGCAGCATTCAGATATGAGGCAAGAGTATTGCCACTTCGTGGGCTTTCAAAGACAGCGACACAGAGGGGCGAGAGGGGAGGGGCAGAGTGAGAGCCCTTGGACATTTGCTCCACATAAGTGCGGCGCAAGTGAAAGATGTTTTTGGGGGCTTAGACCCGCCGAGCCACACCCGCTGGGGTACGGGAACTGCTGCTGCCGCAGGGCAGGCGGCTGTAGTGGAGCCACTGAAAGCTCCATTCCATTCCCATTTGAGGCCAGTTAATGCCAAATGAATTTGTCAAGTTGTGACAATTAGGAGTGCAGACAGATGAAAGGCAGACACGACACCGACTACGACTACGACTTGGACTTGGACTCTGATGCAACTTCAAGGTTGCCCCACCTGTTCGTGTGTCAGCGTAATACGCGCTCTCTGGAAGACACACGACTCCTACTATTACTCGACTCGACTCCACTCCACTCGACTCTGTTCCGGTGGGGCGTGAAATTGTTGCTCACTTTCCACAACACACAGACAAACAGACAGAGAGACAGACAGAAAACGAGACAACAAAAACAATGGCACTGCATTCTGTACGCACTCAAAGACGACCTTGTTGAGGGCACCCACAGCACCACCCCACACCCCCCACACTCAACCTCTGTGCTAAAACAAACAGCTTAGATTCGGTAAGGTAACCATTAACCGGGTTCCGTGGTGTGCCCCTCTTGGCTGCCCTCTTGGCTGGGTCCCTCTTGGCTCATGTGATGTGAAAAACGAAAGGCGGAAACCCGGAAACCCCCCTGCCCCAGACACTATGCGATCTACTTTAAAGCGGGCGGGCAGGCGGGCAGGGGGGCATGCAAGTGAAAGGTGTGGAATTGCCCCCGCCTAAAACCTAAACGGAACCCATTACCCCACGCACCTTGGGTCTAGTTTTCGTTTTGTTGCCTCAAATTGTTGTTTTAATAAAAGTTCCATTAGATTTCATTGTGGCTGCCATTTGGGGATGTTCCTTGGGGTGGGGCTGCTGCTTCATTTTTCCATCAGATTTATTGGGGAATTCATACAAATAACAAAAAAAAAAGAGTCTTAAGTGTTAGAGCAGCAAACTGTGACTTTGGCTGGGGCTGTGGCTGTGGTTGTGGCTGGAGCTGTACCTGGATCTGCACCTGTAGCTGCACCTGTAGCTGTGGTTCTTCTACGATCGCGCCCTCAGATACAAATGGGTGCTGGCATCGTGACCCACCGAGGAGGCGGGCATATACTCGTTCAGATTCAGCGAGAAGGTGGGCGGATAGTGCTTGTCCTTGGCCTCGCGATTGATGCGGTAGGTGCTGCGGTAAGCCGCTGCTGGATTGATGCCACTGGCATAGCCCTGCAGCGCACCGTAGTTGGGCGGCAGGGCGCTCAGCACGGTGGCTGTGCGGCCGGAATAGTCAGGCTGTTGTGGTGCTGCCACCACACCGGGCGCTGGCGGCGAAGCGGCGGCAGCAGCCGCCTGCAAATAGGGACTGATGGGCACGATAATCGGCCGTGTGGGTATCAGCTGCAGGTACTGCACGGTGCCGGTGCCATCCTGCAGCGTTTGGGCGGGCAGATATTGCATCAGCATGGGCGTGGAGGGCAGGCCGGCCACGCTGGGCGTACCCGCCGTCTGCATGGGCGTGAAGTTGGTCTCCATTTCGGGCATCTTGTAGGAGGGCTTGAAGGCGGAGGAGGCATCTGCCACGGCTTGGGACTGTGCATGGATCTGGCTTTGGAGCTGGCTTTGCAGTTGGCCCTGCATCTGTAGCTGCGCCAGGCTGTCATATCCGCTGGCATAGGCGCTGAGTGAGTTGAGGTGCGCCTCCTGCTGCTGCTGTTGCTGCTGCTGCTGTTGCTGCTGCTGCTGTTGCTGCTGCTGTTGCTGCTGCTGTTGCTGCTGCATCTGCAGGCTGTTTGGCGACTGGGCTGCCTTGTTGGCTATCTCCGGGCTGGACACGGGCGAGCATTGCATGAGGGGCAGCAGCATTAGCAGCTGTCCTGCCAGCAGCAGGCGGCAATGGATGTATCGATGGCACAGCATCTGCAGGAGCGAGCCAGAGAAACAGAAACAGTAAACAGGGAGTCAGAAAAAGAGTCCAAGCGGGAGGCACACAAAAAAGAAAAAAAAAAAAAAAAAAAAACACTTTGAATGTTCACCTCAAGGGATTTTCAATTGATATTTGGGGGCTATACGCGGCCTGCACTGCACGGATGGGAGAGCGTGGAAAGCACTTGCACTTTTCCAGCGACGCGCTACGATTAACGCCGCTCAGTCGATGGCAGCTGCTTTTATACGACGCGCGCGGCGGCCACTTGCCAATTTTCTTTCAATTTTCCTCAATTGCCAAATGCGCCAAGGCATGGCTAGGCGCTGCCACTGCAACAGCTAACAGCTACAGCTTCCAGTTGCCTTTGCGTGTTGGCAATTCTTTGGAAGCAGCAGCAGCAGCGGCGGCAGCGGCTGTGGTGGGCATATGTTGCGGCATGTTGTTGCGTGTTGCATTTTGGCCATGCTTCAAGTTCAAGTTTAGCCTTCGATCACAAACAGGCAGCAGCACCATTTGGCTGTGTCTCTGTGCCTGGCTCCTGGCTCCTCCGCAGGCGCCGACGGTTCCGTCTTCCGAAGCCCACAATTAGCCAGTTGGCGGCCTCTTCCGCATTGCCGCCTGGCCATGATACGGTTAAACGGGTTTTCCATTGGCCATGGAAAATGAAAATGAAAACGAAAATTGCTGCTGCAATTGTCCAGTTTGATTTACGCGTTCGCTGCGCTGCGACATCGCACCACACAGTGCCAAAAAAAAGGATGCAAACTTCGCTCCTTTCTGTTGGCTGGAAAATCGTTTTATTTATTGCTTTGGCTTTGAGTGCCCGCGCCCCGTGTCTTGGCATTACTTAACCCATAAATTTGAGCAATTTTTCTTCATTTGAACTGATAATTTTGAGTGTGTGTGTCAGGCAGCAAAGTTCAAGGCGCTCTCCTGGCGTGCTGGCGCTGGCCGTGCCTCCATGCCGTTGAAGAGTATGCGGGAGAGCTGTCGATGGCAGGCGCGGCGCCAGCTCTGCAGCTCATCCCGCAGCCGCTGGGGCAGGGCCAGGGCCCAGAGCGTCACCCACAGCAGACAGACGCCGATGACGGTGGTGAGTGTGGCCTGCGTCCAGTACTCGTACGCCAGGAAGGAGTCATCATCGACGGGGCATATCTGCAGCACCCCAACGATGGCACAGTGCACCAGTCCCTCGATGCGGCACCACAGCTTCGTCAGCATCAGGTCGAGCACGAAGCAGCACATGCTCGTCTCCAGCAGCAGGGCCGTGAAGTTGGGCACTCCCCTGGGTATGAGGCGCACCGCCTGCAGCACGGCCACCACACAGCCCGTGAACAGCCAGCTGCCCAGCAGGGGCGACGGCTCCGTCGAGCAGCGTCCCATCTTGAAGAAGTAGTAGTAGGAGATGCCAATCACCGAATGCAGCAGCACCGCCACACCCAAAGCCGACAGTCGAGCCATCTTTTACGTTCACGTGGGGGGTTCCTGAATTTACCCTGAGTTGCCCGAATCCCTGTGTAATGAATACTGCCTGTTTGAATTTACTTTTTTGAGGCTTAAGGCAGAGACTACCCCGTTATCGTTACAAGCTACAAAAACAGGCTGGCAGCCAGTCCAGTCCAGGTCCTCGTTTCCATTGGGCTCATTACGTGAGAGCAGCCAAAGTGGTTATGGGAAATGGGAAATGCGGGGAGTTCAGCCACAAAAGTTGTCCGCTTACTTTCATTTTTAATTTGGCGTTTTCCATTGGAGCAGCAGAAGATCAGCAGCAGCGCAGCAGCAGAGGAGCAGCAGCAGCAGTGGAGGAGCAGCAGCAGAAGCAGTGGAGGAGCAGCAGCGCAGCAGCAGCCAGCAGAGGAGCAGCAGCCGCAGATCAGAGCTTTGACTGCAAAGCAAATGAAAGCTCTCTGAGATCTTCGAGATCTGATTGTAGTGCGGAGCTTTGACTCTGCTGCGCTCTCACAAAGCTTCCAAGCAGTAAGTCAGTGAGAGCAGCAGGCAACGCACCGCTTTTATTTCTGTTTCTTTTACTTACAATTATTTACTTACTGCTATTCATGGCCCGCGTCTTTGGGTTTTTGCCTGCTTCCGTGCTTTTCCGCTTTGACATCACAATCTGCTGGGTGTGTGGTCTGCCTGTCCCTCGCTTGTCTCTCTGTCAGCAAACTCATAAATCTTCAACTGCGACTGAACTTGATACATCAAAATGTTGGTCAAATTAAATTTCTTGCGCCCCTTGCATCGTCCTGCTGCGTTGTCGTCTCCTGTGTCTCCTTCTCCCAGGAGCAGCTGCCAAGTAATTCGTCAAGCTGCTTTGTCCTCCTCAAGCATCGCTCCGCCATCCACCATCCACCCGCTCTCTGCCTCTCTGCTGGGCGAGCATTGTCTGACTGCCACCCTCTCTCTTTTCAGCTGTCTGTCTGTCTGCCTCTTCTGAAGCTTTTGCCCGTCTCGTCTGCTCTGCTCTGCTCCGAGGCTGCTCCTCTGTGCTGCCTTTCATGTCAACTGCATTTTTCCTTTTGCTGTGCTGCTGTGTTGTGTGCGCTTTTTCACTGCTTTAAACCACTTAATGGGTTTTTTTTATGCGGACCTGGCTTAGACGCTGATAGGACAGCGGGGGAGGGGGTGTGGCGGGGTGGCGCCTGGGGGGCTATTCATGCTGCAGCTTTCTTGTAGCTTCATTCACAAAGACTTGCAATTCATCAAATCTCGTTAGCCTCGGCTTTTATAGAAAATCTGCAGCCAGCTGCTTTTGCTCCTCCTTCGCCTGCTTTGGTTTGCTTTTATTTTGGGGTTTTTATTTTTGCCTGCACAGCGGCGCTGCCACGCCCATGGACACTGAGTGGGTGGAGCTCATCCATGGAATCCCAGCGACTATCAGCATCGGCATCATCATCATCATCATCCTGCTCCGTCGTCGTCGAAGTCATTGACTGGCAGCGAGCTTTAAGGCAACTTTTGTCCCATTCTCAGGCGCTTAACTTTAAGGGGCTTCCTGCCTTATCCCCCCTTATCCCCTTATCACCACACAGCGCACCTTGAACAATCCCCACAATACCCACAACCAATTTGGGCTAATGGAAACCATGTGTGTGTGGAAGTGTGTGTGTGTGTGTGTGTCTCGTAGGTTGGAATGGAATGGAATCCTTGCAACTGCTGCAACAGGCTGAGAGTCCGAGAGATGCTCTGATTAGAACGAAACTGTTGTACAATGAACGGGTTGGGGCTGGAGATGGGGCTAGGGCTAGGGCTGGGGCTGGGGGCATGCAGTTTTAATGACACCAAACAGCTGGGCCATCGACATCCCCACCAGGTGGAACACATCCGGAGTGTGCCATCCGATGCAGGGGTAAGAGTTCCTCAGAAATGTAGCAAACCCATGAGTCCGAGATTTCCTCCTTTTTGCTTGACTCATCAGCAGTTGAAACTGTTAGCACAGGAATTACCAACACTGAGAGTTACTAGTGTTGCGAATTACAAAATTCTTAGCTTTGAACCCACACTGAATTTTTTGCGGTGTTGTAAACGCATTACTGAAAGCTTTCAAAGTTTGTTCGCGACACAAACATGTATTCGAAATAGATTATAAAATTTATTAGGCAGCACTGCGCGCTGTAGCAGTGTTGGGCAGTCCTTGTTCAGCGTAAAGTGTTGGACAGAGGCAAGGCCATGGGCATGGTCACATTTCCCTGAATTCTGCTGCTGCTGCGGGGCGGGGGGCTGGGGCCTTGCCTTCTGGCCCCTCCTGGCAAAGTGCCCCATATCACGCACAGGCAAACATTGCAGGGAACCCAAAATGCATTCAATTAACAATTTCTCTCTCTCTCTGGCTCTGGCATAAAACTTTGCTGGCTGGCTGGCAGCAGGAGGCGGTGACGCCACTGGAGCAGGGAGTATGGTAGGTGGAGGCTTTTAATCAAAAACTTGCACTTACCAAGTGGCGTGGTAACTTTTTGGGCCAAGTTTTGTGGCGGCGCCGCCAGAAGTGGGTAAACTTCTCCAAATTGTGACGTCGACAAAAGTCAAATCGTGCCGACGACTCCACATAGCCCACGAGGTCGGTCTCTCCGCACATGCTGCTGCAATCAAAGGGAGAGTTTCCAGCGGCAGCAGACAGACCTTGGGCATACCCTTTCGACGAACGTAGAAGGCTGCATCGAAGCATGGCAATAAATTTATGCGATGGATACCTTGAAGATCAGAGCTGACTGGGCATTCCCCAGAGGGTGTAGAGCACCCCTCATGGCATTGCCCAGCAATGTGGAATGGGGAAAATGGGGAAAAGCGAGTGCCGTCAACCTTGTAAGCAAAACTCAGCGAACTCAGCGGCAAGAATGAAGCTGAAGCTGAAGCCGATGCCGAAACCAAAGCCAAAGCCAAACACCCGCATGCCAAATGGAGTTTCTGCCATCTCCTGGTGCAGTGCCACTCCCCCCAGTTCCACTCACCACTCCCCACTTCACACTCTGCTCCTCAGGACTCTGTTTACCTAACACAGTCAGGATCTGGCTCTGGCTCTGGGCCTCGTGCCATTTAGCAAAAGTAATTAAGCGTCGATGCGTTTCATTTGTGTTACTTTTCTGGGCAATTACGGCGCAAAGTTTTGCAGTTTTTCTCCCAGTTTTTCCGCCCAGTTTTCGCCCAGTTTGCGCCCAGTTTTTCCTCAGTTTTGCAGTGCGGCGTAAAATGTTCATTGTTAATTGTAGACGGGTCCGCGACTGCTGCTCAGCCCAGAGTCCTGATGGCGTCGATAGTCTGTTGGCGCAAAACTTTTATCCGCCTGCTGCCAAATGTGCTGCGAAACGCTGCTGCCCTGGTGTATCGATTGCGTGGGGGGATGGGGTTGGGGTTGGACGGGCAACAAGTGAATGTCCAGCAAGCAGCCATCAAACAATCCCGAAAGTGTCTCCAGTGTGGCAGCAGCTATATGATGCGATGCAATTGCCGCAGGCATAAGCTCATTCCATTCCCATCATCATCATCATCATCAGGATCATCAGGGTACTCCAACAATTTACAAACTACTGACTCATCGTCGGCTCATCCTCATTCTCATCATCATTCTGTATCCTCATGCCGATGGCCAGTGCAATGTGCAAAAAGTGTTTCTCATTAAAAAGTTGTTTCACAATTTTATTATCCTGTCGTTGTCGTTTCTGTGCAGCTCCTCCACCTACTCCTGCTGCGTCAGGTGCGCGGCTCTCATTGTCACGAGCCGGGGTGACAATGCCAATAAAGCAAACTTCGCCCCAAGGCAGCCACTCCATAGAGTGGGAGTGGGAGTGGCAGTGGCAGTGGCAGAGAGCGTGAGTGAGCGACACCCAACAGAGCAACATGAAATTATTTTTAAATTACTTGCAAAAATGGCAGCGCAAGGAAACACGCAAAAAGTTATAATCGTAAAAAATATTAAAAGAAAAAAAAAAAAAAATAAGGCAAGCAGCAGCAGCGAAACAAAACAAAATCGTTTACGATGCCCTTGGGTGGAGTGCAAGCCAGGAACTAGTTTTGCGCAGTTTTTTTTTTTTTTTTGGTGTAAACAATTTTCACAGAAATTAAGTTTTCCGAAAAACTCCACACCACCGACTAAGCCATGTGTGTGTTTGTGTGTGTGTGTGTCCGGCTGGCTCATGCATATTTGAACGTTTCATTAGGAAAATCCCTGACTAGGGATTAGGCTTTTGCCTGCCTCACAGGACTCACAGGACTCCCAGGACTAGCAGGACTTGCTACAGCTGCTTGGGTTGCTTGTGCAGCTGATCCAAATTGATTGCTTGGTGACCCCGAACTCCTTCCACTATTAATCCATACACTCATAACTTTTCTTCGAGTGCACTCTGATAAACGCACTTTTTTCTGATAACAAAAAGTCCAACTTGATGGCTCGGATCGGATTGGATTGGATTGGACTGCACTAATTACGGCTAATTGGGAATTCTGGTCGAGGGGTTGGCCGTTGTTGTTCTGCTCGTGCTCGCACATTGATAATGAACATTTGCTCGTTGTTAGGTGGTGGTGGAGCATTGGTAGTTATCGCCCCATTTGCGTGATTAGATTGTCGGTAACAACGGCGCTCTCCCTCACTCTCTCACTCTCCGTCACTCTCCATGCGGTGCTCTCCATGGGTCGGGCAGTCTTCTCTGTGGGCAGGTGTCAGTATGCTCTCGAGCATAATGTCAACAAGAGGTGGATTTGTCCGACTTACGCTGCTCGTGACGGTGTCCGTGTTCGCCCTGCTGCTGATCCTCAACGCCCTGCAGCGATCGGAGCAGCTGGTACCGACCCGGGCCGCCGTTGCCCCGAAGGAGCCAAAGGCCACACCGCCGCCAGTGCAGGTCGTGTCGGAGCCCATCAACGAGGATCTCGTGCGGCAGCTGGAGCAGGAGCTGCCCGAAGTCGACTACGGCCTGTGGTATCGCGCCGCCAAGCCACTCAACTACAAGGTGAACGCCAGCTGTGCCCACTATCCGGATCCGCTGGACCTGCACCTGCACAACATCTACTGGCAGACGTTCCTCAACGGCAATGTGACCTTCCGGCTGTATGCCGCCTACCTGGACCAGCGGGCGGCCGTGAAGAGCCGCACGGTGCGCATCCTGGCCACGGCCAACCAGATCGGCGACGCCTTTCCGGCCACCCACTGCCAGCTGTGGTACGAGGGCCACCGGGAGCCCATCTTCGTGCGGGTCAGCGAGTTCCTCAGCGTCTGGGTGAAGAGCTGGGGCCACCAGCCGCAGCTTAGCTACCCCCACCTGCTGAGTTGTCCGGTGCCGACGGCACTGCCGCCGAATATCTTCGACTCGCTGCCCCGCACCGTGTCCCTGGTGGCGGTGCCCTGCCACACGGCCAGCAACTCCCTGAGGGTGCACTATGAGCTGCCCAAGCCCAGGCCGATCGGCGCCACTTCCGCCGCCAATGCGACAAGTGCGACGAGTGCGACGAGTGCGACCAATGCCAGTGCGCCGCTGAGCTTTGGGGTGTGCCTCAAGGGCTTCGACTTTCCGTATGTGGACCTGTCGGAGCGCCTGATCGAGTGGTTCGAGCTGCAGCGACTGCTGGGCGCCACGCGGGTCTACGCCTACATGTACGACGTGCATCCGGCGGTGCAGCGGGTGCTGGACTACTACCAGCGCACCGGATACCTGGAGCTGCGGCCCCTGACGCTGGCCAACGGCATGCCGCGGCTGCGCCACTACCAGCACATGCTGCTGCAGCAGCGGCGGCTGGTGAAGCGGCTCAACGAGCTGATACCCTACAACGACTGCTTCTACCGCAACATGTACCGGCACGACTATCTGCTCAATGTGGACGTGGACGAGGTGATTATGCCGCTGGGCGAGCAGCGCTCCTGGCAGCAGGTGGTCGAGCGCGCCCACCAGCTGGAGCGGGCCAAGGGGGGCAAGTGCAGCGGCCGCTTCACCTCCCTGTGCATGATCAATGCGTACTTCACGCGGGTGGTGCCCGAGGCACACAACCACGAGGAGCAGGAGGCCGGCGAGCTGTACGTGCTGCAGCACACGCTGCGGCATCGCAACCACTCGCTGGCCGGTCGTGCCACCAAGTGCTTCCACAACACTCGCTACTCGCTGACGCTGCACAATCACTTCACGCTCAAGTGGCTGGCGGGCGCCTGCAGTCCGCGCACCGTCGACACGACGGTGGCCCAGATGCAGCACTACCGCGAGCCGGACAAGAAATACGAGCTCACCGATCTGGTGGAGGATCGCAGCGCCTGGCGGTATGCCGATGCATTGCGCGCCGCCGTCGAGCAGGTGTGGCTGCACCTGGACGATGTGCAGGGCCAGAGCGGCGATGCCGAGGAGCAGTCAGCGCTGGAGGAGGCGCTCGTCGAGGAGCAGGAGACGGATCTCGAGCAGCAGCAGCAGCAGCAGATGATGCTCCATCCCCCAGTGCCCGTCGCCCAGAAATAGTTCACGCAGTATCACAACCCTCCTTTTTTTTTTTTGTTTCTTCTATGTATTTAGTTCTAGTTCCTATTCAACATTTATACTCAGCAGCTCAGCAGCTCAGAAGTCTGAAGCAACCGCCCCATCCCTCACGCATGCCAAACAAGAAATAAAAGTGATTCGCCCGGAAAGAGAGTGACAAAAAAAATGCAGAGCTGTTATCTTAGTGCTGCGTCTGGTTGCCACTACACGCCACATCCATCACACTTCAAACTTCCAGTTCCCAGTTCCCAGTTCCCGATTCCCAGCTCTCTGCTGGCTGGCTGGCTGGCTTGCTGCTATTATTGTTATTTTTCTGGGCTCGCTGTGACATTGATAGGCGCTTGATTAGACGCGGCACCAAGTCGTGCCCATGTGTTGGAGAATTTCGGCTTCAAGTGCTTTAATTAGAAGCTGCCAAAGGGCCTAATCTTATCTTACACCCAACTGCCACGAGTGTGTGTGGATGTGGATGTGGATGTGTGTGTGCGCTGGGCAGGGTATTTCCATCTACATACAATATTTGCTCATTAATCACAATCATTGCATTCTAATTTTAGTGTCGCCTTCTTTATCTAAATTGTGATTTGATTGATTAGTGCGATTTCTGCGATGAAATTTCTGCCAAGCGTTCCCCACAAATGAATCAACGGAATGGTGCAGAAACTACTTGATTGCCTTTTGAAATATTCTTCGCTTTTTAGTTGGCTAACATTCGACACATTCATAAATTAATTTACGATTCGCATTTACTATTCCCAGCCAATTTTTAATTGGCTAAAATGCCCAAAAAGTTCACGGCAAAACAAAACGATGACTGACTCACAGCTGCCAGTCCAAACCAAAAGTGAAACGGCCACTCTCACTCTCTGTCACTCTCGCTCTCCCACCTAATCTCCCACTGATAACACTTTTCTGCAGGAGCGATTACAGCTCGTACTTGGCCAACGGATTTACCCCCCCCACCCCCATAATCACTGACGGACGACTAAGCCCGCTCATTAGCACGGAATTATGACAAGCGATTAGCGCCTCATTTACGAGTATGTTGTGTGGCACACAGCACATACCACACAGCAAACCTTATCACCTGATATCACATACTCTGGCCAAGGGAGAGGAGAGCGCCGACAGACACAGACGCACACACAAACACACACCTCACAGCTGTGTGCCGAAGCTCGCTCCAGCCCGTGAGTATGCCTTGATCTTTGGTTGGTTTTCTGTTCATTGTACTGGCAAAAGCTTTCGTGATAAGCTTGCAGGGAAGGCAGGCGCGCCACAGCCATCGATCAATGGACATAGGCTCGTGGGATTTGTGCAAGAAAAATGTCTCGCTGTGCGAGCTATCTTATCTGTGCAGTAAGCTAAAAATATGTGCATATGTACATGCACACATAAATACACACATAAATAAATACACACATAAATACATACATAAATATACATATGCGTCAGTCTGAGTCGGAACTCGGAAGTGGCACGCACATTTAATGCCACTTTTTCATTTAATTCTAATTTTTATCAGTGGTAAAAAATTTTAAAAGAATTTCTATGAAATTAAACGAAACACTGAACTGCGCTCTGCGCGCTTAGCTATTTTTTAGTTTCCACAAAAATATGTCTGCGAGTGGAGTTCACTTAGAAATTGTTTTGTTTCCTGTGCCAGAATTTTTTCTAGCATTAGTTTGGCCTTCCATTCCGCTGCGTCCCCTAAGCAAAGTTCACTTTGGAATCACTTCACGTCGTTTCTCCCGAAAAACATTAACAGCAAAGCACATCACGCGTGACGCTGTGTCCATTCGCTTTTGTGACATTTAAACAGCGAATTAGCTTTACAGTAAGTCCAGAGTAAAGACCTGAGTAAGTCCCGAGTAAGTCCAAAGTAAGTACAGAGTAAGTCCAGAGGAAGTCCAAAGTAAGTCCAGAGTAAGTCCAGAGTAAGTCCAGTGTTGAGCAGTGCTCTCAGAGTGCAGTTAATAAATCAACAAAAACTATCCACCTATTTCTGCTGCACTGGATCATTCGATTCTTGAACATTCCTTCGATTGGAAGATTGGGAGCCATGCGTACGGGCATGTGGTGCGGTGTTTCTTTTTTTCTTCAGTAATCTCTCTTTTATTATGAGCAATTCCTTAGCAGACATTAAATTATATGGTACTCACACTCGTACTACAGTACAGCAAACAAAAAAAAACAAAAAAAAAAAAACAAATGAATAAGAAGTAAGAAATACATAATACATAATACAAATAGTAGCACATATGCAGGGGAACATGGGGAAGACGGCGAACACGGGGTACACGGGGAACACGGGGAACAGGGTAACCCATATCTGGCCACCCGTTATCGGTATCGCTATCGCTATCGCTGACTGACCAAACAGTAACAACTACAACGGCAAATAAACGACTTGGCAGCGGCTGACGTTGAAGTTTGCCGAAATACCATAAAAGATTTCTTTGTCGGTTGCCCCGCGCGGATAGGATATGGCTTGCGGCTGGGCTGGGGGGTATGGACGCCTCAGTGGCGTAGCAGCAGGGCGGTGAAGCCCAGGACCAGGGAGCCAAGCAGCGTGGTGCTGGTGCTGGTGGAGAGATCGGCGGCACCGCCGCCAGTGCTGTTGCTGCGGGCGGCGAGCAGAACGGGCCGCTCATTGGCGCGGGCCTCCATGTACGCCTGGCAGTCGGTCTCGTTCTTCACGAAGCGGAAGATGGACTGCACGACATTGGCGGGTGTGATCTCGGAGCACTGCTCCAGGTGGTGCATGACGCAGGCCTCGAAGCCCTGCAGATCGACGCAGTGGGTGGGCGAGAAGAGCAGCTCGGGGCGGCTCATGAGGTCGGGCAGGGCCGCCGGGCCGTCCTTGGGTATGTACTGGTGGAAGGAGCGATTCAGACAGCTGCTAATGGCCTCCTTGTTGGCCTCCAGGCACTCCGGCCCCTTTTCGGCCACAAACAGGGCGATCTGATCGCCGCCACGCGAGCACGCAAAGCCCAGCAGGGATGCTCCAATGCGAGCTATCGTCTCCTGGTGGCGCTTCTCCTCGCTGGTGAGGCACACCTGCATCTTCTCGTTGAACTCCTTGACGCAGGCCTCCGCCTCGGGCGCCCGCTTGCAGTACTTGTGGAAGACGGTGTCCAGCTCGCCCAGCGGCTTTGCCTCCTCCATTTCCGCCTGCAGGGCGGTCAGATTGGCCACGCCGCTGATGCAGGCGCTCATCTTGGCCGCCGCCTTCTCGATCTCCTGGTAGAAGGTCGCATTGTCCGCGCCCGTCACCTTCTTGCACTTCTCCCGGTACATCCGCTTGACGTCCTCTGTGAATCAGAAGATAAGCCCACAATATTCACTGCCTCCAGTCTTGGTTGGTCTTGCAACTCACCCACGCTGATGTTTGTGTTGCGATATTCCGCCGGCAGGAACTGCGCGGAGAGTCCGCCCAGCTGGCTGGCACTCAGCGGTGGAGTGGCCACAGCGGGATTGGGATTGGGACTGGGACTGGCCTGCGCCTCGAGCAGGATGGCCCCCAGGGCGGCCATCAGGCAGACGGCCATCATTGCGTAGTGGTTCATGCTGGCAGTGGATCGCTGTGGATCTCACGGATTGCGGTTGGGTGTTGGGTTCTGGATTGTGGGTTCTCGGTTCTCGGTTCCGTTTGTGCCCGTTTCGAGTGCGCTGCGGCGAGTGAATGAAATCCGACTTGTCGCCACGAAACGAAGCCACACAGCGCGAATCGGTGGGCGATCGGTGGGCGGTCGGTGGGCGAGGCGACAGCACAGTGGTACGCGGGCACTCCATATACATATACATATACATATGTATATATAGATGATAGCACTTCATTGAATCAGTTTTTATGCTTGCTTAATCTGAATCTTGGCTGCAACGATTATCTAATCGATTATTGATAACAAAATTTCCATTTTAATGCTGAGTTTATCGATTGCGATCGATACCTGCCCTGCCTGGTGAGTGCAGTGCACAAAATGACGCATTTAATTTAGCAGAATTTATTACCAAAGATAAGAATTCGCCTTTGCTGCATTTTATTTCATGCATAAAAATATTTTCCACATATTTGCGGCCACTGTGCGATCGCGGCTCGGGGCTTTGTTCAATCAGCCGACGACAGTGACATCATTCACACTTCGGGGGCACGGAACAGATTTCGCCATTGCCACAGCCCCTCAATGTGTGTGTGTGTGTGTGTGTGTGAGGCAAAGTACAAAGTTTCCCAGGCATCCGCTTCTGTCGCGCACACACACATACACACAGACACATTCAGGTGCGGGGATTGAATGTGAGTGAATGATTCACGCTGCAGTCCAGTCCAGTCCAGTCCAACCGAATCGAAGGGTTAGAGGGAGAGTCACAGAGAGAGAGCGAGAGTCACACGCACAGGGACAGGCACAGTCACAGGGACAGGGACAGGATAGTCACAGTCATGGCTATAGATAGAGTGCGGAATATACATATGTATGTATGTATGTACCTCCTATCACTATGTAGCTGGCAGCTATAAATTCAACTTAAACATTGTGTGTTCCAACCATTTCCGATCCGATTGCTATGCGCTGGCGCATATCTTATCTTATCGGTCGCCCTCTGCCTTATACATACATATGTATATGGCCATAACCAATATTTTATGTGTAAATATCATGTAGCCAAAGCGATACTGTTTAGCAACCCGGACAACAACAAGTACAAATGCTACAAATTAAGAACAAAGCCGCAACGTCAGCGATCAGCGATCAGCTCTCAAGTTTCCCCAATCCAAACCAAACCAAACCAATCCCAATCCGAATCCCAACCCATCGATTGCTGCTGCATTTTGCGGAATTGCTTTTGTTTATTTCCTTGTTTTTCGTGTCGTCTCGGATTGCTATTGCTGCTGCTGCTGCTTTACTGAATTTCAATTTATTTTCGCAACGGATTTCTTCATAATTTTTCACATTGCCCAAGCGGGCAGCATACTCGCTCGTACATACATATGTAGGTGCAGTGGGTTGTGTAAATGGGAGCAGTTCTGGGTAAGGAAAATAAAACAAAAACGAAAACAAAACGAAACCCAAGATGAGAGACATCCGAGAAGAAGGGGAGAGTCATGTCAGAGCTTTGTTTTTGCACAGTTCCACTGTGAATGTTGGACTCTCGGCTTGGTCTTGGACTAATTACTCGTCTGATCTTGTGCTTACCCGAAACCGGTTCACATAACGATCCACATCTACAGCCACCATAGCCCGCCATATAGCAGTAGCAGGCAGCAGAGTACAAAGGTCGCTGGCAATCAGCTGTCGACGTACCGGCTGTCGACGTAACAATTTGCCAGATAAGCTTTTATCATTTACAGCTTTTGCGCTCGCCGATCGCCGCCCGACGTCGCATGAATGGAACAGAGCTGACAGCGGGCTGCTGAGTGGGCGGTTAGTTTCTAGAAGAACGAGGGTAACGTGGGGAAGCGAAAAAACATTTATGGGAAGAGCAGTCGTCATGCTACCCCTTTGAGATGGTGGGGGAGTGAGTGGGGATCGTTTGCTAATCGCTCGCAGCAAGAAATTGCATGATCCAGCAGCAAGTAAAATGTTGCATGGATTAATCTAAGACTTTGTGAGCAGTTCTCTTTCCACTGGAAAGATCTCGAATGAGCAGAGACTAGCATTAAGAGATATTCTTTATTTAATGATTTTGATCATATTCCCAGCTAATGTCAACGTGTGTGCAGATTCCTGCTGCAGTTTCGCTAGGAAAAACCTGCGAAATATGCGAAGTATGAAAAATCTTAAGCCAACTTTTGGGCGGATCTTTCAGTTGGAGTTTAAGATCAGTTTCGGATCAGTTTCCGAGGCCTTCACTAATTACAAACAAGAATTTCGCATTGGTGTCGCATTGCAGTTACATATGTACATACATGCATATGTATGTATGTATGTAATTTTTTTTGCGTACAATTATGAGATTCAAATTCAAATCTTAGCTACATTTGCGCATCAGAATGCACATCTGAGACAGGATTGAGCATGCACAAACATGTTTAAGTCGGTTTGTGTGCGAAGACAACAGGACACGAGGGCAAAAACGTTTCTTTCTTGCTTCTCTGCTGCTGCGGACAGCCGAGCCGAAGCCACACGAAGCTTTTGCGCGTGCGTGTACCGACTGCGCTGCTCCCGAGATCTTTTCGTATGCACATAGCAGACGACGCTGACTGCCGCTGCTCTGCTCTAGTCTGTTATTGAACAGGCTTATGCTTGCTTCGTTCAGGCAAACCCAGGGCAGAATTCCATGTATAATGGGTTCCATCAGAAATATTGATGTACTACATATGTACATGGCGATCGTTCGTACTGCTACGCCAGAGGCCACAGAAAAAAATAACAAGAATGAGAAAGATGCAGGACGGCTGATTTTATGTGAAAACAAAACAAAAACCAGAAATATAATAAATAATAAATAAATTAATTGCAATTGACGCGCGAACATTGTGGGAGTGGGCGTGGGCTGCTGTTGGGTTTGCGGGGGAAACGCATGAATGCTAATGAGGCAAGTTTATGAAAAAAAAGAAAAACAAAAACAAAAAACAAAAACAAAAACAAAAGTGGAGTCAAGTATTGCATTTGCAAAATATTGCAATAAATAAGCTGCTTATGAGAGACTCTCTCTGCTGGTTGGGTTGGGTTTGCTTTTCTATATCCTTTTGAAGGAGCCAATCCGGTTAGCAATTTGCGGAAAATGAACACACACACACAGCACACACACACGCACACGCACACATATGGATGCGCTGTGTGAGTTTGTGAATTCCTGCTCATTTGCCACATTTTAGCCGGCTATGGCTTTTCCTTCCTGCCGACTGGCTTAATCAGACCAACGTCAAGGACTCGACGCTGTTGCCGCTTGCCGCTTGCTGTTGCTGTTTGCCGCTTGCCGCTTGCTGTTGCTGTTTGCCTTGCTGGCTCTGCTTTATGAGCTTAGTCCGTGTGCTTTACTACCCAATTAAGCTCGGAAATATATTTAGCAAACTAATGAATTATAAACACACAGCCAGAGCTAGAGACAGCGACAGCGACAGAGCCAGCGACAGAGCCAGCGACAGAGCCAGCGACAGAGACAGCGACAGAGCCAGCGACAGAGCCAGCGACAGAGACAGCGACAGAGCCAGCTAGAGCAAGAGAGAGAGGGAGGAAGAGCAAGAGCAAGAGAAAGACGTGCAACAGGAACAGAACAGCAAGTGCGGAGGGGGGCTAGTGTGTGTGTGTGTGTGTGTGGGTGACTATCTGATGCCCTCTTCCGCCGTTCTGGATGTGTGCTCCACATTCCAGCAGCCCCCTCCCCCCCCCATTCATTGTCAAAGGCGAAGCTTGGGCGGGGGCGCATCAACGTCTGGCTGCGATAGCATCCTGCTTTTCATCTGCTTTTCATCTGCTGTTGCTCTGCGCTTTCTCTGTTTTTTTTTGTCCCCCTGGCTTGCCTCATATCAAACATGCCCCAGCCATACCCTCTCTGCTCTCTGCTCTCTGCTTCTCTCGCTCGCACTCTCTCTCATGTGCTGCATGCTGCCGTGTATCCTTTTAAATGAAATTAAGCTAATTTGGAAAGCAGGCAACGCTTCAGCGTTGTCCTGGACCTGGATCTGGACCGTGGAATGGATACCGCTGGATGCCGTAAAGCTTAATGCCGTGTGGCCAGCGAGAGAAAGCGCCACAAAGAGACAGAGAGAGAGGAGAGCAGGGGAGAGCCGCACACATGCATGCTGCGTGCCAAATCAAAGCCTGCCCCATATGCCGCCGCCGCCGCCTCTTCCTGTCGGCTATTTTGCGGCACATGCTGCACGTCCGCCCCGTTCTGCCTGTTCTGCCGCACCTGTGTCCAAGTCCAAACGTTTGTCCGTCCGTCTATTGTAATTTATTATCCTGCATGGCAAAAGGGATTTTCATCAATTAATCATGCTGATGATGGTGCTTGCTGCTGCTGCTTGCTGTTCCTCCTCCTCCTGCTGCTGCTGCTGCTGCTGCTGCTGCTGCAGTTAGACAACAGCAACACCGTAGACCAGCAACCCGTAAAAGTTGCCACTCCGCCGTGCCCGCTGTCTGTCTGCCACGGGGCTCTTGTCCCACGCCTTTGCCCCGCCGCAGTTCATTCGCATTCAAACAAAATATTTTGCGACTTGAGTTATGGACCACAAAACGGATAAATTAGTGCCAAATAAGTCGAGGCGATGAGGTCAATGTGGGCTGGGCTGGGCTGGGCTGGGCTGGCTGATCGGGGGGATGCCAGCAATGGCATGGCATGGCATGGCATCTAGTTCTCATCTTAAAGTGACTTTCCCTGCAGCTGGCAGTTGGCCTTGGCCCCACTGACTCCTTCCAAGGCTGATTTATGGCACGCAGGCCACACAGGACACAGGACTATCCACATGCAATGTGTGTGTGTGTGTGTGTGTGTGTGTGTGCATCAGCTTAAAGTGCATGAATGGCCAATTCATGGACGATTTCATCAATTATTCAAAGCCTTTCTCTCTCTCTCTCTCTCTCTCTCTGTCGACTGCTCTAAGTAAAAGTAAATTATTGCCTGGCAGCAGCAGCAAAAACAAAGCCCAAGCCCAATTTTTCGTATGGTTTATTATGCAAAATTTAATTTTAATAAACAAATAGGGCAAATGGAGGTGCAGCAGCCCATTCGGTCAGGCCATTCAGCCAGTCCGGGGCAATCCATCCATTAAACCAGTCCCAGTGCCAGTCCCAGTGCCAGTCCCAGTCCGCCAGTCCCAGTCCAGAGCCAGTCCATGGCCAGTGCCAATCCTGTGCATGTGCATGTGTATGTGTGTATGCAGGGCAGGTCAGCGGTCAGGGGTCAGGGGTCAAGCTGCAACTGGAATGGAATTTGTTTTTGTGTCCTGGCTCTTGCCCAAACCTATGATTGATTGATTGATTGGCTGACTGTTGGCTAAAATGGGCTAACTGGCTGACAGCGTTGTGTGTGTGCGTGTGTGTGTGTGCGTGTGTGTGTGTGCGGTGTGTGTGTGCGGGCAGTGCTGGAAATATTTCCTTATTATTATTTCAATTTAGAATTTTCAATTAAATAGAAATTAGTCGCCGTCGTCAGCTGCATCTTCTTTGTGCAACAAATGAGTGGCTGAGAAATCCCATAAGCAGCTTACATTTTGGGCGCTAATCAGGAGAGGAGTAACCCCCCGGTTGGGTGGCACTTAAAGGGCATCCAAATGCTTGCCATTGTGCCAGTACTTTGGAGACTCGCTTCTGTGGGGGGGCACAGCCAGACATGGGAGACATGGGCAGCAGCTTGCCCTGCCACTGGCAGCACTTTGAGCTACTCCAATGTGGGGCCAGCGCCTGCTCCTCTCCTGCTCCTGCTGCTTTGTGCACTCATCTGAGTGGAGCTTCGGCTCTTAAAGGCATTCCAGATCACAGAACTGTCACTTCAGGAGTCAGTCACACAAGTATCTGCAGTCTGGCGACACTGCTTCACTTTCCCCCACAGAGTCAAAACTCTGCCCACGCCCACTGCCACTGCCACTCCCACTCAGTGGCGCAACTCATCATCTCCAGGATGGGAACAGAGCTATAGGGTTGGGTTGGGTTGGCTGTTTTGTGCTTGTGTTAATTCAGGCCATAAATTTGCACTCCTGTTGCTGTTGCTGTTGCTGTTGCTCCTTGCCGACTCTCGGGGCTAACTAAGCCGCGCCTCGCCTCCGCCACCGCCACTGCCGCGTGCCTCGTCTCGCTCTTGATATAATGTGACACCAGCTGCTTAATGTTTTGGTTAAAAGCATTTTAAGTGAAATGCAACAGGGCGGCAACCAAGCAGGCAGCCAGCCTGCAAGCGACTTTCACTGGCCGCAGAAAACAGAAACAGAAACCGGGACAAGAAGGAGCAGCAGCAGTGGCAGCAGCAGCAGCAGCCTGGCAATTTGCTTAAGCGCAAGGCTGTGCCACATATGAGGCAGTAGTAGCCGTGCAACAAAAAAAGAAAAAAAAAGAAAGAAAACCTCTGCCACAAACACAACAACTAACAATGTGGCAAGAGACGCAACCAACAGTGGGCTGCATGCAGCCAAGCAGCGGCACACAAGGCGGCAGAACTTTAGTTTTTGATCGGTGTAACTTCGTTTTTGTGACACCGTTGCAGACACCAGCGCCGGCGACACAACGTGGCACTATGGCTATGTGGCTACGGCTGCGGCTGCGGCTGCGGCAACATCATCATCATTCATTTGCGCTCAGGTGCGTTTTCGTGTGCACTCAGGACCTTACCTTAGGACCAGCCTCCACCCCACCCCACCCCACCCCACCCCTGCACCCAGCACTCCTGGCGTTGCTTGTTATTTGGGTTTTTCTTTTGGTGTGTCTGTTGCAGCGCCTTGTGTGGGGTGGGGCTGCCTTGCAGCAGCCACAGCGACAAGGACAACAGCCTCTGACTCAGCATCAGCCTCTGTCTCAGCCTTGGGGGCACAGCTGCAGCTACTGTGGCATGTAGCATGCAGCATTGGGGAATGGAAATGGCAATGTTTCTGTCGCTTGTTTGTTATGCCAAGAACTTAGGCCATGTTCTGCTTGGCTGCTTGCTCTAGCTCTAAACTCTGTCACTGCTTTAGTTCTGGCAGCCCATTTCAGTTCCTTTGGCTTCTGGCTCCATTTCAGTTCTTCTGGCTCTGTCTGCGACTCTGTCTGTTTTTGTTATTCCCGCAAGTTGAACAAATACAGCGGCTCACATATTCGAACGTGATCTGGTTATGGCTGCCAGAGAGTTACTAACGAAAGGCTTCCGAGCCACCATTAATGTGCTGCTCGCAATAAAGATCAACCTTCGAGAATCGCAAGTCGTTTGTTTGTCGTGTACATAATGGCAGAAACACCTCAATCAACAACTGCAACGACAAACTATGGGGCTAAAGCTGAAGCTGCCTGCACGCTCGTCGACAGTTTGGTCTGAGGTTGTGGCAGTTTCGGCAGTGATACTTGGCTGGGTGAAACGCAATGTCTTCGAGCTATACGCGTCTCTTTAGAGTGCTTTTCGTGATCGTTTTGCTGAAGCTGATCTTCCTGGTGATCCTCTACTGGCGCAGCTATGAGGGGGGCGCCGCCAGACTGCAGTCACGGGCACAGGCACAGGCACGCCACAGGGTTGACATCTTCGATCAGCTGCTGGTGGACAGAAGGGAGAGTAAGTACAAGGATAGCTATGAGTCTACAAGTAAGTCATCCCCCCCCCATCCGCTCCTTTGCAGTGCCCAGCATGGAGCAGCGTTTGCGTTGGATACGCCAGGAGTTGCCCTCGTTCCCCCTGGAGGAGCTGCTGCAGCGACCAAATCCACCAGCACAGCCACCAGCAAATGGCACAAAGCGACCTGCAGGCCGCTTGGATTGTGGCCTGGCGCCGGATCTGATGAACATCGATTTCCACAACACCTACTGGCAGCGGGCGCAGGCCGGCAATCTCACGTACTACATCTACGGGGCGTACTACGACGACCGCGAGGCGGTGCCGGAGGCGCCGCTCGTCCGGCTGCTGGCGATGATCAACCAGCACATGGACGCGAGCTTCCAGTACCCGGCGACCCACTGCCAGTTCTGGCTGCAGGGCCGTGTCCAGCCGCTGACGGTGCCCGTCACCGAGCACAAGGTGATGTGGCCCTTTGGCCAGGCGCCGCGCCGCTATTATCCCACACTGATGGGCTGCCGGCTGCCCGAGGGCCGGCACCGCTGGCAGGTGCCGCAGATGGTGTCGCTGGTGGCGAATGCCTGCGATCGGGCCAGGAATCTGCTGCGCGTCGTCTACGAGGAGTCACAGTCCGGAAATGGATCAACAGCAGCGACACCCACTCCGAGCGGAGAGGAGGAGGAGCCAAAGGAGGCGGAGGCGGAGGCGCCCGCACTCCGCTTTGCTGTGTGCGTCAAGGCCATGGACTTCCCGTACGAGGACAAGTCCTGGCGCCTCATCGAGTGGCTGGAGCTGATGCGCGCCCTGGGCGCCCACAAGGTCGTCTTCTACGACGCCCAGATGCACCCCAATATGACGCGCGTGGTGCGCGACTATGTGGCAAGGAGTCCGGGCTTCGTTGAGCTGCGGCCCATGTCCCTGGGCCGCGGTGAGCCGCACGCCCAGCCGCACTTCCATCACTACGCCATGGCGGCAGACGGCTTCAATCGCATACTCAACGAGATGATACCCTACAACGACTGCTTCTACCGCAACATGTACAACTACGACTACATCGGCGTCTTCGACATCGACGAGGTGATCATGCCGCTGGGCAACAGGACCACCTGGCCGCAGCTCATCGAGATATCGCGTGCCGCACCGGACTACGGCGGAATGACGCCAGCCAGCTGCAAGGAGTGGGTGAGCTTCTGCTATCGGAACGTGTACTATCCGCGCTATCCGGAGCGGCCCAAGGTGTACGGCAATCTGTCGAGCTCCTTCTACATGCTGCAGCATGTGGAGCGGGTGCGGGAGCACTGCGGGCGCGGTGCGGCCACCAAGTGCCTGCACGACACCCGCTTTGCGGTGGGGCTGCACAATCACTTCACCTTCTACCACACGGAGGCGGCCAGCTGTGCCGCCAAGTCGGTGCCCATTGAGTTCGCCCAGATGCAGCACTACCGCGAGCCGGACACCAAGTCCCTGCTGATCGATCCCGTGATCGATGCCAGCATCTGGCGCTACCAGCCGCAGCTGCAGGCGCAGGTCGAGCAGCGGTACCGCCGGCTCGGCTTCCTGCCCGACGAGCGCCAATTGGCGGCGACGCTCGAGCGGCGACGCCTCGAGGATGAGTCGCTGCTTCGTGAGGCTGTGGGTGACCAGACCCGGCCACAATGAGATTCAGCGCAGGCAGGCCACAATTATTCCTCATCTATTTTTTATTTTATTTTATTTTTTTTTTGTAGTTTTTGTTTGTATTTATTTTTTTACTGTTGCATTTAATAAACCATGAAATAAGCTCTGACGCCGTTGTATGGGGGGAGCTGCTGGCGCAAGTTGGGCACAAGCTGGGCAAACAATCGGCGCCAAAGTGGAGCATAAACCAGAGAAACAATTGAACTAAGCTACGTACGCATGTTTGCTATTTCGAGTGACTGTAAGCATTGTTTTTAGGGTTTTTTTTTTTTTGGGTTTTTTAGGTTTTTCTATTTGTGCTCTATTTCGCTCTCTGCTTTCTGACACCTGTTCCACCCGAAAGTAGCTCGAAATTCAGCAAACAGAAATAACGGCAAACAGCCAAAATTCCATTTCCAGCCAGAGAGCTGCTACTGCAATGGAACTGTTAAGTCAGTTTGCTACTGCAAGGAACTGTTAAGTCAGTTGCTACTGCAAGGGACTGTTAAGCCACTGTTACAGCTACTGCTAACAGTGGTGTAGGCCAGTCCAGTCCAGCCCGGTATTGTGGTTGCGTCGCTGCTGTATGAGAGCGAACATGTTGCGCGAGTCCTGGCTGGCTGCTGCATCAGATGGGGGCTGCTGCTGCGTTAGGTGCGGATGGCCTCGGCCCTCTCTCAATTAGCATAATATTCCCCCACACTCCCCAACACACACACCCACCACGTCCACTCACACTCTCCTCGTATCAATTACACACTTTTACCGTGTTTGCCGTGTTTCCGCTGCTTTTGTTCTCTGTATTCTGTCCTGTCCATCAACAAAAACAATGGGTGTGGGGGGGTGCGAGCGACGTTAAGCTGTTAACAACTCTTAAAATATTTGACATGATTTAGCAATTTTAATTGATGCTCCATCCAGCCGTCCATTCGTCCATCCGTCTGTCTGTCCGTCAGTCCCTGCTTATACGCTTTCATAATGCTCGCTCGACAAATGCTCCGGATGAATGGATTTTGTGTGTTTTTTTTTTTGGTATATTCGAGTTGTTCTCGCTTGCTCGTTACTTTTTGTGACATTCCAGAGCTCGTTAAAAATGCACATAGAATTTAATTTAATTTAATTACCATGCAGGCAAAGGCACACACAAAGAGAGCGAGAGAGAGAGAGAGAAAAGTACAGGGACACACACACACAGCCACACACACAAATGCACACATTATCCACTTCTAATTAATTGCATTTCATTACAAAAACAAAAACTAAATATACATAAATGTGTACATACATAGGTACCTATATAAGTATGTATGTATGTATGTATGTACATACGTGCCATGGAAATTGCTCGGTCCAATGATTCCTGCAAGCCAAATGCAAATATGATACAAATACGTGTACTACGAGTACATATGTACATATCTATGTATGTACATATGTAAAAAAAACAGCAAAACCAAAACAACAACAACAAAAAACTGGCCCAAAAAGAAGATGTAGAAATATTCATTATTATTTGACCAAATGGCAAATTAATGATATGAGCAAACAAGCCAAAATGTTGTTGCCATTCAATTTATGCGAAGCGCTCAGGAAAGTTCAGTGCCAGGTTCACCGAACGACCAAGCACCCTGCCACAGTGGAGTCGAGTCGTTAAAGTTCTTTGCGTAACTCAGGAACAGGAACAATTCTTTTGGGTTTCCAGTGCAATTTTCCAAGCACTTTAAATGCAGCTGAACAGTCACTCGTTGCGACTGAAGTCCGTTCGCTTAGGGGCACTTTTTGCCAATTAAATTCAATAATTTTAAGTACCGTTACAAAGAGTAGAAAGCAGCCATCTATATTGGTGCTACATTTGTGCTTTAATATTGCAAAATATTTGTGGTAACAAAAAAAGTTCAACATTTGCAGTGCTTTTACATTAGCCGAATGGATGCCATTTTAACCCTTTCGCTTATGTACAGCAAATCCAAAATATTCGCCACATTTGCATTGAATTTCCATGGAATACTTGGAGTGAAAAGCGATATTCGTGACACTCCCCCCCCACTCACACGTCTTTATGGTGTCAAACGAGCAGCAGCAGAGCAGAAGAGTAGCGCAATTTTTTAATTAAATGTTTTTAACACTAATCCAGCGCAGGGTGGGTGGGGGGTGCACTGAATGAGGTAAGGGCTTGAGCAGCGGTCGGAGAGCGTTGCTTGGATTAAGAAAAATATTTGAATAGCTGAACAGCAGTTGAGCGGCAAACAAAGCAGAGAGATAAAAGCGAAAGCCAGAAATGCAAAATGCAAAAATACTAAATGTAAAAAAAATACAACCCAAAAAAAAAGGAGGAAGAAGCAAAAGCAGAAGAAACGCGCCAAAGGGAAAAAAGCCAAAAAGCGATGCCTGCGTACGAAAATGGACTCAAAAGCGGAAACGGAAGGGGAAACGACAGCCAGAGCTACAATGGCGCCGCGTCAGAGGGAACTGTCACCAAATGCATTCACAGTGGCAGGCAGTGCACCCCCCCCAGAGATGGAGTGCAGGAGCAAGTGGAACGGGCGGCAGGGAGTCGACTGATGAGTGACCTGTAAGGAGGATAACCTTGGTGGGCAGCACAGGCATCAGGCAATTATTTTTGGTTATTTTTAATCGAGCATTGGGCACTTTTTAGTGCCAGCCCGAAAGTATGCAGCAGCTTTTACCTCACCGCCCCCACCAGGCACATCAATTGAATGGATCGGGGCAGGCTATGGGCCCAGCAGCGCGCCTCCAGCGCCTCATCCACCAAAAAAACAACTGAAAAGAAGCAAAGTTCAAACTAACAAAACAAAACTAGCTAAACTAAACAAAACAAAACAGAACACAACAGAAGCAGAAGCAGACACACACACACAGCCACACACACACACACACACACACACAGAGAGACGGAGTACACGGAGGCAACACGGAGTTGGCCATGTTTTTTGTTAATTAAAATTGGCATGGCAGCCGAAACGGCAGGCAGTGGGGCAGTGGGGTGGAGGGTTCTGGGCAGTAACAACATTTTTGCATTTTCATCAGTTTGTTATTTTTTTTTTTTTTTTTTTTGTTGTTGTTGTTGTATTTTCTTTCATTTTGTTTGTTTGTTTATTTGTTTGTTTGGTTTGGTTTGTTTGTTTGCTGATTTTGGTCAGTGGAAGTGAAACCCCAAAAAAAGTGGAAACTTTCAATTGAAATGCCACTGAAGAGAGAGGCCAAAAGAATCGCACCTGAGAAATGGCAACTCCTTTCGGCATACATTTACCTTTCAAGTGCTTAATTTTTCATTCACAGTCCCGGCAGCATCTCCCGCACCCACAGAGAAGCCAAGCCAGTGAAGAGCAGAAGCTAGAGAGCCACAGAGCCAGAGAGCCACAGAGCCAGTGAGAGGTGTGGGCGAAAGAGGCGACCGATTTATGGGCTGCCAATAAATTTACTCAACACTTTGGCCCCGACTAATACAATATTTACATCAAATGGCTGTACACCCAACGGCTGGGGTGAGGCTGGGGTGAGGCTGGGGTGAGGCTGGGGTGCGGGTGGGGGTGCTCCCGGGATTTTGCTGGCTGTGGGTGGCTGTAAAAAATTGCAATGCGTTTTTCTCAGTGGCAGCCAAGATGCCAGAAGCACGGCAACACGGCAAAGGGGAGTGCTGTGTGGAAGAGACTCTGTTTCAGCTTTGAATCCCTGCCCCCCAGCTTACCCCTCCACCCTCTACCATCTACCGTCTACCGTCTTCTGTCTTCTGTCTTGTTTCGCTCGTCCCCCCCCACGTGACTGTCATTTAAGTTAAAAGCGCATTTGTAAATGTGCCGAGGGGTTGGGGTTGCTGTGCGGACTGCCCCCTGAGCGCTTTTTAAAAAGGCAAATCTGGCACAAGCTGCTCCTGTGCGTCCCGTGCCGCCCCGTCCCGTGACGTGCCGTCCGTTGTGCAATGTTTTAGCATTTGTTATACTCGTGTCCTGCTACAAGCTTCTCGACCCTCTCTCTCACCCTCTCTCTCCCACTCTTTTCTCTGTTTCTGTGTCTCTGCTGTTTATGGCCAAGTTAAGTGTTAAGTGTGTGTGGATCCGCTGGCCGAGACATACATTTTACCCAAGTCAAAGGAGCGCGGGCCAAGCGATGCCACAAAGACCTGGTCAAATATTTGCTACGCTTTGCTAACCAGGCTCCGGCTCTGGCTATGGCTATGGCTCTGGCACTGAATTTGATATTTTTCATTCATTCCGGCGATTCCAATTTGAACACCGAAACATCCAGCCATCCGGACGGACCCGTACCCGCACCCGGACCCGGACCCCATTTAAACTTATGACAGCGCGAGAGCCAAATGAAAGTTTGCTCTTTTGCTTTGGCGGTGCTCCGGTTCCGGCTCAATAGCATTCGACACGAACAAACAAAAAAATGTTGCCATTAGTTAAAGTTTTGGACTCTCCATGCACTGCCCCCAGGCAGGGGTACAAGGCCAAAGGGCAGACTGTTTGTTCCACAGGACTTCTTCAAAGATATTTAGCACAGAATAAAGCCAAAGCCTCTGCTGAGCCTCTGTTGGGCCGCGGTCGAGCCACTGTTACGTCTCTGTTGAGCGTCTGTTGAGCCTCTGTTGATCCTCTGTTGAGCCTCTGCTACTTGGTTACCTTTCTCTGAAGCTCTCCCCTTACATTGAACTATCCCTTGCCCTTGGAGAGGGTATCTTCAGCATCGGCTTGCAGGCATTTACTTGCTTCCTATACTCTCGGATATTCGGTTCCGTTTCATGCGAACCGTAATAAGTTTCGAGCGCAACTTGGTCCAGTCGTTCGTACTACCCCCCAAGTGCAGGCTAATAAGAAATGCGTGATGTGTTGCCCTGCCCTGCCATCAACTGCTGGGTATGGCTAAGGGTAAGGGGTACTGGTACGGGGAGCGAGTGTGGTGTCGCCTCCACTCGAGAGTCCGAGTGTTTCTCTCTGTGTGTGTGTGTGTGTAAATATTTGTTCTCGTAGCTGTGGCAAGTTCTGGCACACGTTTCTTGGGTCGAGCCCTGGTCAGCTTGCAGCTCGAGTGGAACTTGCTCGTGCGGTGCGGTGCGGTGGGTGTCTCCCTACGTCTACAGGGCGAACTTGGACCAAAAATTTCACTCACGTTCCGTTCCAGGCGGGAGAGCGGCAGTGAGGGGGGAGGCTCTCACATCGATTCACAGAGCAGGATGTGGGATTGTCTCATTAGTAGCGAGTACTAAAGCGAGTAGCGAGTACTAAAGCGATTAGCGAGTAAAGTATAGTAACGAGTAGGGGGCGTTATTGATACATAGTATGTAAAATTAATATTCAACTTCCAACCCGATGGAATCTAGCAACGAGCAAAAACTAACGAGCTACTAGTAACGAGTAACGAGTATGCATTTTGAACGATCTTACGCTCTCTGAAAAATACATCCATCATGCCCTGAATTTCTGTTTAAATGACATAGAAATCGGTTTTTTTTGGGCGGGGGTTTGGGGGGGATCACTATATCCATGCACTTTGATGTCGGTATGGCTGTGTCGGCTCTCGCCCAGTTCAGTCAGTATAAAAGTGTAGCTTCACGTAGAAACATCGAGAGTAACGGAAGCAGTATCAATGCTCGAATTTTATATTTAGTTTAGATCAACAAAAAATAAGAAAGGGAAAACCTGTCACGCGTGTGAAATATATATTGAAATTCCTAAAGCGAATTGTATTTGATTCTACAACAGTAATCAACGGTAATTGAAGTAGTGCGATTAACTCAAGGTGAGTGCCTGAGCCCACACACCCCACACCCTTCCCCCGGGTTCGCTCTTCGCTCTCCACCTTTGGGCACAAATAAAAAAATTTCTAAATCCCTCTACTCCTGGCAGAGCTTAGCCGTGCGCAATGTATTCGAATGGCCCCAATATGCCCCTCGCTCAGCAACTAACAATGCTGAACCGATCCTACAATCAAGATATGGCCCCCCCAACCGTTGTGGGGCAAGGGCAACAGAAAGAGGCAGCTGCCGCCATCCGATCGTTGGATGAGGCCTCCAACCAGGAGAATTTCGCGCAAGGATCCGCTGGCGATTTCACACAGAACAAAACAGATGAACAAAAATTCTATAAATTTGCCACACACGACAACAAACACAGGGACAGGGACACAACAATGGGATCCGGTGGCGATGAGCCCCACGCTGCCGGACTAAAGCAGCAGCAGCAGTACACAGTTGGGTGCACCACCCCATTGAAGGGCATACTCGTTAGGAGCGGCACACAGAACCCTCACCCACTGACAAAGCTTACAATCCCGCTGTCAATGCCCCACAGAGCTCTGGGCCACTGAAGCAGCATCCAGCTGCCGCCCTCGCGTCCGTTTTAAGCAAATCTCAAGGCACCCATGGGAATGGATCGTCCGTTTTGGCTGCTTTCAACCAGAACCAGAAGACGCCTGATGCCGGCGGTCCCAAGCAGCAGAATGCCGTGCAGAATTCTTTCCCACTGAAGAAGTTGCCACAAGCCGCCCTCACATCGGTTTTGAGCAAATCCCAGGAGCCGATAAGGAGGAAAAATCTGGCCTTTCTTCCGCAGTGGAATGCAGCAGACAAAGCCACTTGGCCAATGCTGCAGCAGAGTCTTACCGCCAGCTGTCGACTTTCGCAATTCTCAAGGCGCTGAAGGGGACGGCTCGTCCGTTGTGTGCGCCTCGCAGAGTGCTGCTGGGCTGCTGAAGAAGATGCCCGATGCCATCACATCAGTTCTAACACGAACTGGATGCTCTGCTGGCACCAAGGGCCAGCTCAGTTCTCCAGCCGCCATATGGCCCACACAGATGGAAGACTCACCGCTCGAGGAGGTCATCAGCAGCCCTGTGGCATCAGAGTCTCCTGCAATGACTCGACCCCAGTTGATCCCAACGATCGCTTTGAAGAAGCGTTCCATCGAGACGGTCAAGTTGCCTGTGCAGCGCGATGCTGTGGATCGGCCGCGCGTGCCACCCCAAGACGACTGGAATGTCCATGTGAAGTTTACGAGCAAGCGGAACCGCGGGCGCAAGTCCTCGCCCAAGGAGATTTTGCCGAAGACTTCGGCCAAAAAGAATCGCACAAAGGTCACAGCCCAGCCGCCGAACTTGACCCAGAGTGCGCCCTGGAACGTGGTGGCGGGTGGCTCCTGGAACACTTCACCTGCCGCCGCGGAGGCAGCGCCCCCAAAACAGGAGCGTCCACCCATGGCCGCAGCCAAGACTGCAGCCCCATCGACACAGCCAGAGAAGATTCGCAGTGAGGATGCTCGAGCGGCGCCCGTGGCCCGTGTCCCAGCCACCATCACAGCCACTGTCCCTGGTGTGGCCACATCCTGGAACTTGGTGGCACGCAAGTCCTGCCACAAGGCCCTGGCCACCAAGGAAGAGTCACAGAGTCAGCAGCCAGCAGCTAAAGCCAGCGGAGAGGCTTCCCCGATGGCTCAGCCTTGGCCAGCAGCCAAGGACGAGCCACAGAAGAGTCCAGTCTCCCCAGTCCGGGAGTCGTCGTCGGTGGCCCTGGAAATTGACTCGGCCCCGCCGCGTCCGTCCAGGAACTTGATCGCAGAATGGGGCCTCGCAGGCGTAGACGCTCAATGGATCCCTGCTCTTCCTCCTCCTCCTGCTTTTCCTCCTCGCGAGACTCGCGTGTGAATTCCAAGGGGCGAAATAGCCGCGGGGCCATCCGTGGCAGTCAGAGCCCGGAGCTGCAGTGCCCCCAAGTCAAGGGTTCCTCGCAGCCAGTCCACACCGCTCTCATGCCCAAGACGTTGGGTGCAGATGAAGGTCCCTTTGCCTGTGCCTGTGCCTGCTCCTGCTCTTGTGCTGAAGCGCAGCAACAATTCCGCCTCCATCCATTCCCAGATTGAAGCTCTAACTCTAGATTCCGAGTGCAGCGATCAGGAGGGGAATGGGCGGGACAGTGGCAGTGAGTACGGTTTAGAAGAGACAGAAGAGGAGCAGCAGGAGCAGCAGGAGGGTGAGGAGGCGGAGGAGGAGGAGGAGGAGGAGGGTGATGAGTCGGAGGAGTCGGTGCCGCAGCATCCCTTGAACAACGAATGGACCATGTGGTATGTGGAGCCGGATCGCGCCAAGACCTGGGAGCAGACGCTGCATCAGATAACCAGCTTCAAGACCGTCGAGAACTTCTGGAGTCTGTACTATCACATCAAGACGCCATCGCAGATCAAGATCGGCAGCGACTATTGCATGTTCAAGGCCGGCGTGCGGCCCATGTGGGAGGACGAGGCGAATGTGAAGGGTGGCCGTTGGATCGTCAGCTTCCCCAAGAGCGCCACCGGCGACCTGAACTTCTACTGGGAGTACTCGCTGCTGTCGCTGATCGGCGAGTTCTGTGAGCACAGCCCGGACCTGTGCGGCGCCGTGGTCAACATACGCCAGAAGGCGGACAAGATCGCCCTGTGGACCGCCGACGGGAGCAACGAGGAGGGCATCCTCGAGATTGGCCGGCAGCTGCGGGACGGTCTGCCACCCAGGGGCCGGTTACGCTCTGCAGTATCAGCTGCACAGCGACAGCATGGTGCAGCAGGGCTCTGTTTTTAGGTCCATTTATACATTGTAAAAAGTAAACCACCCCCACCCACCCATCACCCACCACCAACAACCAGCAACCCATCACCAGGGAGCAGCAGCAGCCTCCCCACACACACACACACACACACACACACACACACTCTCTCTCTTTTTGTTTTGTCAGCCATCTGTTAATTGTTTCGTGAAAGAGTCACCCCCCAAATTCCACCATCCACAAAATTTAGAGTAACGGCACTTTACCCTACAACTCTTCACTTTCGGCCTTCGTCAATGGAATATGAAAATGTGTGTCAATTCCAAATCAAAATCCGAAAATTATTTGTTCAAATTTATGTGTCTGTAGCGATTTGTAAAACATAATTTGTGTTTTATGTTTTATGCAATGTAATCAATAAATTTTGCGTTCATCACAAAAATACGAGTAGGAGAGAGCCATTCATCTGGAGATTACCTGCCAAACGATATGAGAGCCGTGTGTGTGGTAGAGCACTGTTAGACAGCTGTAACAGTGCGCTGTAAGCGGAGAACCGTAACAGGCTGTTAAAGGCGAGCGGTAACAGGCTTAACTTGTACTCTTGTTCTGTTACAGCTGGCTGCCCTGAACACAATACAAATCTTTGAAAAAAAAAGCCAAAAATGTGCTATATCCCTGTTACGTACTATCTAATCCAAGCAAAGATCAATTAAAGAACTTTTCCAGCCAAAGATGGCCGTCTTTATTTGCAGCCACAACAACAGCAGCAGCAGCAACAACAACAACAACAATAACAGCAACAACAGCAGCAGCAGAGAGCACTGCTGTTCAGTGTAAAGCAGTTCTCTTCCTAGATCACATCACTCTCTTTCTGCTAGTCGCCGTCTGAAAGCAACAAAACAACAGGCAATGACACACACAGATCGTTACATGAGCGGCGAACCTGATGAGGGAGGCCACATGGTTGTCGCCTCTTCGGCGACCTGCAGCACCCGTATGCAATTTGTTCCCAGTGGTGCAGTGCGAGCCGCCTGCGCCTTCTGCTGCACGCCTCGAATATTTGAATGTAAGCCCCTGGCCATTGCTCTCCAGAATTTCCAGCAGCGTTGAAACTGTTGGCGGTGTCAGTTGCCGCGTAGAATCAGCGCCTGCCCTGGGTTCGGAGCGCTACAGCAGGATCTGGATTAGTTCCAGAGCAGCTGACTGTTACTTCTGATGCGAGTGTAGAGTAGCTCTCTGTTAATATCCAACTAGAATTTCTATGTACATATTTCTGACACTGTTTCACGTGACCTACTGGAAACGGTGACTTGTAGAAATGAGTCCGAGGCATTACCCTGCCCGATCATGGATGGTTGTCGCTTCATTCCCCGATTATCCAACTCCAATCTGAGCAGCAGCAGCAGCAGCAACATGCAACATGCAACATTGTATGTCTCCCCAGACTCCAATTGCTGCTGCCTATCCGCTGCCTGCCCCTCTCCCTACCACCGATGTTCATGTCGCGAAGTCCATGTCCATGTTCTTGATTCTCTTTGTTTGCTTCAATGAATGCTACACGGCTCCACTTCGCTCCAATCCACTGCGGGGACTTGCTTTTGTTCGCCTATTAAGGCAAGGGGCTGGTGGCAGGGGGGGGGGGGGGTCACACTGGACATTGGGACTTATTTGGCGCACGCCGTCAGAAAACTTGGCCGCGCGCTCAATTGTTTGATTTATTGACGTTTATTGGCAGTTGGCATTTTATTGTGACTATTTTTGGGTGACTGCCGAGCCAGAGAATCAGAGTCAGAGTCTGAGCCTGGGGGCCGTGGGCAGGTGAGGTGGGGTCTCCACAGCAACGCTTTTCTTTCTTCCATTTGATTGGTTTTTATGTGCTTAATGTTCAGACCCCATCATCCTCCTTAACCGCACACTGAGTGCTGCCCGGCTGTGTAGCGTGGTCCTCCTGGGTGGTCCCATCACGAACAAAAAAAAAAAAAGGTCAAGGCTCTGACCGCAGCTGGTCCAGGCCATAAATATGTACGAGAGAGCCCCCCCTCCCCTTCCCTTAGCCAGCAGCTAAGTAGAAGCTCGACATATTCGGGCTCTGATTTATGGCAGTCAATTCCATTTCACTGAGCGATGTACCACACCACACCACAGGACCACAGGACAGCCAGCGAGTTGGCCTGGCCCAGGGGCCCAGGGTTGATTAAACACTTTAACCATTTTTATGGCTGCGACTAGTTGGTATGGTCGTGGGTGGGTGGAGGGGCCACACTCATTAGAGGGCACACACACACACAGATCTTGAGAGGCAGCAATCGATTTGGCGCACGGTTCTCTCTGCCAATAAAGCGAAACGAACAGCAACAACAACAACAACACAAAAATCTGTAAATATGCAAAAAGAGAGTGGCAGGGAGTGGTGTGTGTGGGGGGGGGGGGATACCTACTCTGAGCATAAGCCAAAAAACAGCCTCCACACGCAGAAGGATCCAGCGGAAGTTGTACGGTGTCTGCTATGCCCACAGCCAAAAAGTATAAGATAGAAAGGCAAATTTACTTTAAAGCTTTCGAAAACTACCCCCCAAAAAGAGCACACCCCACATGCCACACAGCCCCACCCAGCCCCACACAGCCCCACACGTTCCTCACAGGTGGCATTTTGTGTGTTGTAAGACGGCGATTTACATGCGTGTTGAAGAGCTGAAAGAGCTGAAAAAGCTGCAGAGGGGCAGAGCGCTGACGAATTTCAATTTATTTACTTGTATTTGCTTATGCAAAATAGTCAGTCCGGGCTGCGGCTTGCGGCTTGCGGGGCAGGAGAAACGACTGTGGGCTGTGCTGCTGGATAATGGATAATATTATGCCCTCGAAGAGCTTTAACTGACGCCATTTGGCACTTAAAGCTGCTGCTGCTGGGGAAAAAGGATTCATACACGGCAGATTATGGGCCATCTCCGGTCTGACACTTGTCTCAAATTAAATGCCATAAAGACAGTGGACACTGGACACTGGAGCTGTCTGCCAGCATGTTTGGCATATTGAAATACCAGACACTGGCCACACACATACACTGAACGAGGCAAGGCTCTCCTCCGGTCTGCACTTCGCCTCTAAGCTGGAATCAAGCTAATTATACGGCCCTGCCCAAAACACACAGCTGGTTAATGCCAGAACAGCAACATTGCTCCGATGTCCATGTCCATGTCCATGTCGATGTCGATGTTCATGTCGATGTCGGGGCGGAACGGAGCGAAGCGGAGCGGATTGGAGCCTTGAATAAGTCATGTCATGTGGCTGTCAGTCATGCGTTGTGTGGCCTGGTGTGATTACCTTTGGCCCAGCTGCCCCCGCCACCGCCACCGCCCCACTTGCCCCCAGTCCATGGGCCATTTCTGGTCTCCATTTTCGGTTCAGAGTTCAATGGCCATTCGCACGATATGTCAATCGGTGGTTCGAGGACAACGAGGACGACAACCAACATTTTGTGCCGAACATGAACCGGAAAATGTTTGCCAAAATTGTTTGCAAGCTGCAACTAATTCCTGGCGCTGCTTGGCTGCATTAATTAAATGTGTGCGTCATCGCAGAAATGCAAATCAAAAGCAAATTTTGTATGGATTTAACCTTACGGCACGGATTGGGTCTTCTCTAGCGTTTTTTTGTGTGTGTGTGTGTGTGTGTGTGTTTGGTTTTTTGTTTGTTTGGCTGCCATCCAATCTGCTGCCAATAAATCGGACAAAACGCTGAGGGCCAAAGGCTGAGGGCTGAGCGCTAAGGCTGAGGGCTGGGCCACGTCCAGGACTTCATTAAGGGCAAATTGAATCGATTGTTTAGCTGTGATCAAGATAACTGCGACTAAGCCGACAGCCGACAGCCAAGGCACAGAGTCAGTCTTGGTCTCAGTCCCTGGATAGTCTGGTGGCTGCCGCTGCTCCTCCTACCACTTTCTGACCCTCTTTTGGGCCCAAGTGCACTTGGCTGGCAAATGTTGACATTCCTTCTTGGGCACTTGGGCACCGCCAAGGAGGCGCATTTGTGCGCCTGGATTTTGTATTTTTGTTACCCTCGGCAAGCGGTGGGCGTACAAGCTGGGTATACTCGGCTACCGATCACCACTAGGCAGGCACACATTTGCACTGGGATGAAGACAGAGCCAAGCAAATGCCGCAGCAAGCCCAGGGAGCCCCCCTGGCAGCGCTCAGCAGTATCCACCAAGTATCCCACTATTATTGCCGGATATGTAAAAGTTTCATGTGACATTCTAAGGGTGGGGGTGATGGCTGTGCCGGGTATCTGCTAGTTGGAATCTCTCGCTTGGATTTCGCACTTGTTTTATTATGATTATTTTAACTGCTGAGTAAAAGACAAACAGAAGGAGAGACACACAAAGCGTGAGAGAGAGGGGTGCGGGGGGGATTCTTAGGGATTGAAGGCGAAGCAGCATAAAATGCAATTTTCACATGCTACAATCCGAGGGGCGGCCGGGGCTATGAGGATGCGAATGAAATGGGTTTGGCGTCAGAGCCCGAGACAGACAAAGTGAAATGCAATAAAACAAAAGGGCATAAAAAAAAAACAACGAAAAATAGAGACAGAGAGAGGGAGAGAAAGAGAGAAGAGAGGGAAGAGAGGAGCAGAGAGGAGCAGAGAAGCTCCACGAGCCAGAGACTGCAACTGTCTTGTCTTGTCGTTGCCGCTTGAATGCCTGCAGCTGCGACCCTGCCACTGCCACGCTGCCACACTGACACTGAACCCTGCCACTGCCACTGCTGGAGTCCTGCCACGCTGCCCTCCCCCACAAATGCAACGCATTTACAGCGCCATGATTCAAATTGTCGCCTCGGATTATGGATTTATTACGCGACTCGTTCTCGACTCGCTCCTCGCTGCAATTGTGCATGCTGCTTGCAATTACTATCAAATGCCCCCGCCCCACCCCATCCCATGATGCCATGGCCCATCGCTTACGAAAATGTGCCAGTAATTCGCGTTGACAATTTTTCGGGGTTAGCTTTCACACGGAGCAGCTCCCTGGGTACTGGCACTGGCACACATCCCAACCCATCCCATTCCCCCTCCCCCAAACTTATTGTCTTTAAGCTGAAACTTCGGAGGATGCCACTGCCACTGCCACGGAGATGGAATGGCTGATATATGTGGAGCAGAGCACAGCACAGCACAGTGTACCCCCCCCCCAGAGTATCCTTATGCCAAATGCTTTTGGAGCAGCATTTAAGACGAGTTTAAATTTGGTTTTAAGGTTTCCATTGCAGAAAGAATTTCTCTTGCTGGAAATTTAAATTCCTTTATTGGGCTTCGGCTCGTACCATCATAATCAGCGGGATGCGAAATGTCGAATCATTTGGGAAGAACTCTCGTTACTCGTCTCGTTGCTCGTCTCGTTACTCGTCTCGTTACTAGTCTCGTTACTAGTCTCGTTGCTCGTCTCGTCTCGTCAGAGTGGGTCAAGGTCTGTGCCCTTTGGCGACACTTGAGGTGGCATTTAAGCCTACTCATGTTCATGGCCTGATCCCCGGGGGCAGGGGCAGGGGCAGCGGCAGAGCCAGGCCGTGTTTGAAAGCTTTTGCGTAATTATTATTATGTATTATTTGTGTATAACTCTAATTGTCGTCAACAGCAGTGGCAGCAGCAGCAGCAGTAGCATCCATTGTCGCTGCTGTCATTGTTCGTCGCCGTCGGTGCAGTGTCGTTTGCCGCCGCTGACAGCGTTGACATTTCCAATTTAGACATTGCGCCCCCCCGCGACTGTTGACCGCACATTAAAATGGGCTTTTTGTGTGCCACGGCTACTTAGGATTATGTTATGGCCACAGACCACAGACGGTCGGGTCGGGTGGGTCGATCGGTCGGCTAACCATTTTGGGGCATGTCATACGCGATGCCGCAAAATACTTAACTTTTTCCGCACTGGCAGCAAGCCGGAGCTGTGAGCTGTATGCCCCGGCCACATGCAACAGGCAGCCAAACCCAATCTTTTCTTCGGGGTTCGCATCCCAATAACCGCCATGGAATGTCGACTTTGGTAAACAGAAAATTATGCAAAGATTCACTCGGCTGGGGGGATGAGCAGGAATGGCAAAAAAAAACGTGTACAAATAGCAGGAGAAGAGCGAGAGAGAGAGAGAGTGTGTGGCGGGGGGCTAACCAGGAGGTCACGAAGATGCAGCAGCAGCAGCCACAACAATGGAGCTGGCGCTGCAGATTAATTAGCGTCTGGGCGATAAGCCACGTAGAAGTCGAAGTCGAACTAGTCGCTGCAACGTGAGCAATATGGGCAGAAGACGGGCTGGCTGCACCACAATCAATGCGGCACGCAGACAGCTCAAGATGGTGTTGCACAGCGCCTGGAACTGAAGTGGTCTGGTGCCCAGAAATTGCCAGGGTATCGATGGTACGTACTCATTCTAAAACATATAGATAACATCTCCAACTACAAGGGGCAAACGGGAGCAAAGCAAGCAAAGTGCAGCTGGAGATGAAAAGTGTCTCCGGATACCAACTGGAGTTCTGATACAGAATACATCGACACTGTTTTGTTCATGCTGAATGAATATATATTCATATATATTTCGTAGCTAATTATCATTGTCTGGCTTAGTGGCACGAATCGCATCCAAGAAGGTTCTTTTACTGTGTAATTGTGCGAAGGCCATATCCAATAGTATCTTTTTCTCCTTATCCAGCTCCATATGCTCCTTGGCCTTGTACATCTCCTCGCGCTGCTTGGCCTTCTGCAGCGCCTCCTGCTGCTTGGCCTTCTGCTGCGCCTCCTGCTCCTTGGCCTTCTGCTGCGCTTCCTGCTCCTTGGCCTTCTCTGGTTCCTCCTGCTCCTTGGCCTTCTCTGGTTCCTCCTGCTGCTTGGCCTTCTGCAGTTCCCCCTGCACCTTGCCCATCTGCAGCTCCTCCTGCTCGTTGGCCCCCTCTATAGCCCTTGCCTTTATGGCCTGCTCCAGCTCCTTTTGCTCCAATCGGCTCTGATTAATCTGCTTCTTCTTGAAGCCAACTATCCAGTTAAAGAGCGCCCTTTTCAGGTCCTGTAGAAAGGGGTTCGTGGTCGCGGGCACCATAAACTCCATCGTGAACGATGGTGTGCAGACGATCCCCTTGAAGTATTCCTCAAACTCCCGATCCGCATCCATGGGAAACACACCAGTCTCCAGCATTCCAAAGCTACAAGAGAGTGGGAGAGAGAGCGAGAGAGTGGGGATGGGAAAATTCTGAGAGCCATGTCACAAAGACAATACTCACGAGGGTAGGCGCTCTTGCACGTAGCGAAGGCGGCGGGCACACAGATTTTCGATGCGCTCATCAAACTGTGTGCCATCAGTCGCCAGCTTGGTCTGGATCATTAAACTGTTCACGGACAGAGCTCCGGGCTTCTTGGTTTCGTAGATCTCCACAAAGTAAATGGCCTCGTGCAGATCCTGGCCAACGATTTCGGCATACGACCCCTCAAACATCACTTGCTGACGGAACATCGCCGTTGCTTCGCACGGCCACATATATTCCGGCGGATGGACACGCGCAAGGGCGCCACGGACGGCCATGGCCGGCATATCGGTGAACCCCTTTGGCAGGAAGCGCAGATCGTTGCAGGCGATCTTCTCCAGGCGGCCGTAGTCTATGTAGAAGACCGAAACGTGCGTTGCATTGTCCGGCGGCTCGGCCACAATACGCACACGCCGCCAGCCGCCCCACTTGGAGGTGGCGGCACAAATGTATCCGGGCAGTAGGAACAGCGGTAAAACTGGCTGGCGGTGCGCCGCGTCTGTGCTGTAAAAGTGGCTGTGGATGGAGAGAGAGAGAGAGAGCGCGCTCTTGTTGAGGTGCTGTCAAGCACATGGTATACCGGGCAAAACTCACCTCATCTGGCTTTGCAGTCCCCTCCAGATTGTATTTGTTGTTGCTCTCAATGAATTGGAACCAGAACTGAAGGGGGCTGTACACCTGATTAAAGGATAAATATTAAACCCAATCATATTAATTCACACACACACACACACACACATACATTGGTTACAAGTATTTTAAATTTTTGCTTGAGGCCGGCCACTTTGTCCATTGGCAAGCGGAGCAGCTTCTGGTCCAACATTACTGCAGCGTCTTCCTGCTGATCCATTGAACTGACATCCGATCAATCGCCTAGATACAGAAGGTAATCAATAAACAAATACACCAGGATCAGCAGAGCGATTTAAATTGGTGTTTTTTGCCCTTACACTTTACCAGAGCAACGCGAGAACAACAACCCGCAAAAAAAAAGTGAAACTTTTGTTGTTTTCGGCACAGGGCTGCAGCGCAGAGTTGCTTTGGAGTAACGGAATTGGCACACTTGAGTATTGAGTGACGGGTTTGAGTGAACTTTCGATAGGCTTGGTTTTTTTTTTTCGTTTTGTTTTTTACTAGCTGCATTTATTATTATTATTACCTGCAGCTTATGTGCACCCGAAAATGTTTGATAAACAAAATTTGCAATTTAGTTGCCGATATATTTAGTTGTCGATATGGCACCGATATATCGGTTCTGCCAGTATGCAAGCTAAGCTTACATTTAATTAGGCAAAATCAATTATTAATTTGGTATTTATGTGGCACATAAATATATTATTATTATTATCAAACCAAATATTGTTTGGCGCAGAATCCGGTGGCTGTGCACACACACACACACTCACATTAAAGCTCTATGTATGTGAATAGCCGCATTCTATTTTTAGAACTGTTCCCACTCAAATGTGTGCTCACGAGGCGCGCAGGTACCTCTCTCTGTCTCACTCTCGCAAGTTTCAAGCAGTGCAAGCTCAAAAACCTTCCTTTACTTCGTCTGCACAATGAGTGATAGAGTGTGATAGAGGGAGAGGAATGGTGAGGCGGCAGAAGAATGGTAGAGAAGGCAATCCGAATGTACATACATATGCATACACATACATACGATTACTGCCAATGTGAATAACTCGTCCCTACATAAATAATAAATATGCGAACAAAAGAAAATACGAGCCAGTTAAATATTTTTTTAAAATTTACTTTTAATATGTGTGGGCTACTTTTAATTTTACTTTCGGCTCGTTAATGATATTAAAATCGTATCATAAAATATAACATAAAAGGTCCTCAAACGATAACTTCTGCGAGCTACCGAAACCGAAACTTTCACTACCACAAACTGAGCGACTAGTGATTCATTTTCGTATAGTTTTCGGATCTGAATTCGATGGTTTTAGCCGCTTGAGTTTACGAAGTTTTGGTACACTGGGTATGCACACATAAATACAGCGCTGCTCAACACTGGGACCACCTCACCTTATGCTGATAAACCAACTTATTTTTCGACTGTGACTAAAGGATTAGCGTACCAGAAATCCGAATCCAAATCCAGAACTTTACGGCTCTAAAAAACCCAATGTTTCAGTTGAATTTCTTATCGATTTGCGAATCAGAACCCAAACCAGAGATCGGCAGCAACAGCGTACCTTGCAGCGCCCTTTTCGGGGCGGCACTGTGGGCGGGGTTGGCGGCTAAGCCCATAGACCACCCATCCCACCACATGATAAATGAGTGCAATTTCTCTGTCTTTCGCTCAAGAGTCTCTGTCCTGTCCCTTATGAGCAATGGCAAATCGCTGCAAAAATATGCGCTAATTTATCCTGTTTGTCCAGGGAGAGGAGAGGACTCTAAGGAGGAGTCCGACCCCACTGAGAAATGATGTCTAGACGTTTTTTGTTTCCCGCTCGCTCTCTCTCTCTATCTCTCTCTCCTTCTCTCTGGTTCTAGACTCATTTGATTTTTAGAGGAGAAAATATAAAACTTACACTTAAGGCATTTGGACATTAAATTAAATATTTAATATTTAAATTAAATATTTAAAATATGTACATATGTATATATAAGATAATGAGTCGGAGCAGGGAAACGAAGGCGGAGAAAGAGTCGGCGGAGGAGAAGGAAATTAAGTCGGAGGAGAAGTCAAGTTCCCCTTTTGCTTTTCCTCCTCCGACTTCAGCTGCTTCTCTTTCACCCTTGCTCCACTTGGGATACGCCTTCCCAATCCCCTCAATTTCACCGTCGAATTTCACATAAATATTCACTCCGCTGCAAGTGGAGTCTTCGGAAAATCTCTGCGCTAAAGGATCTTCAAAAGTTCCCTGATTTAGGCTGGGGCTCGCATATGTAGTTTAAAGATAGACGGCTTAAATTTGAGCAAACAGGGCCCACCCAACCAGCCCCATCCACTTCTGCCACATCTCCTGTTTCTGGCTGTTTGTTTCTGCCAGATCTCTGGTTCCCATCCTGCCCCCATCTACGGCTGCTGCTGCCACATCTCCGCTGGTTCCGGTCTCCTTTCCATGTTTCATTCTTTCTGCTCGTTTTTTTGTCGCGACCAACTAAATACCTGTATAAATATTTTATTACGCAAATGAAACAAGCATTGTTTGCATTTTATTTGCCAGAACAAGGAAACGACTCCAGGTGCAGGTGGCAGGCGGCAGGCGAACAGGGGCAACAAAATGTGGCCGAGAGACACACACACACATTTGTATGCAGGACACGAAGCGAAAGATGGAGAGCCTCCCCCCGTGTCCATTTGACCGCAGACACTGCCACAGGAAATGCAAAGCAGAATGCAAAGAATCCGCACGGACACAGGAAGTCCCTGCTGTCCTTGCAGTGTAGAGCTGGATGGGGTGAATATACACAGCTAGTTATTGCCCTGATTCACAGCCCAATTCGCTCGGGATTGATGGAAAGCGATTGGCCATTGGCCAGTCGCTTGAGGGTGAACATAATAAAGCTTTAATTTAGTTTCAGGAATATCTTTTCAATGATCCTTTAGTATATCAAGTTTGTATATCCATATATCCATTAAAGGGCATCCCAAAAGTCACCGTAGCAGCCAATGTGGCGTTGCCAATTAGTCGACAGGCAGCCCCCTGCTAATTGAACCAAATGGAGAGACCTAGTTACAGCCGTCGAGGAGTTGCCTCCTCAGACCTCGCAGCAGAGCGAGTCCTCGAATCCACGTCCGATAAACTGTCCACTCAAATTGCAAGTTAAAGCACAAATTGATGGCCAAAGTATGTCAAAATGAAGTGAGGAAAAAGAGCCAGACCGGCACCTACACCCAGACCCACACCCAGACCCTGTGTAATGGCTGTCCAAACAATCAAAGTTGCTGCTTGGGGGGAGAGCCATCAGAATTGAGGCTAATGAAATGCTTGTTAAGGCAGTGCGAGAAAAATGCAGGAAAATTGATGTAGCTAATGGCGAGTGTGCGGGGGATTTTCTATTGACCCACATAGACCCTCCCAACTACGAGTACGAGTACGGGCATGTACATATGTACGTCCTTCGCTGTCTATGCGTTAATTATTCATTATTATTTGGCTTTTGTGGCCCAGTCATGCTGGGCCAATGGGCCAATGCTGTGCTGCCTGGCCCTTTGGGTCAGGGGTGATTGAATGATTTGCCATTTCTGGCCAATGCTAATTGATTCGCAAAGATACCCCCCACCCAGCTACCCAGTCGAAGCTGTAGATTGAAGTGAAGGTCCAAGATCCACTCTTAAGGCCATTAGCAGCATTCTTTTCTGTGTTGTTTTGAGCTTCGGCTAGATCTTTGGCAGCCACTCTCTGCTCTTTAAGTGCTGTCAACATATGTGCATAAATTTCACACGTGGCGCCCATGCGATTCATGCATTTTACATGCACCAAAGGATTTCCCACTCTGTCCAATGTACCCTGCCACCCTGCCACCCTTCCATCCTGCCATCCTTCCTTCCACCCACAAGCCACTCCATCAGCCATTGTCCGTGTGGCTGCTCAGCTTTTTCCTCTCTTTTCTTTTCTTTTTTTTTTTTTTGCTCTGTTCTTCTGTTCCATTTTTCCCCATTGCCATTTTCCTTTTATTTTTTCAGCTTACCAAAGAGGAGAAAAAAAATAACACACCCGACTGTAGTGAGAAATGGCTGTTTGTTAATACGACGGCATTTAATTTTTAATCGCTGCATCCGACTCCAAGTTGACGCGTGGTCCCCGGTCCCTGGTCCCTGGTCGGTCACTGCTGTCTCTCTGGCCGCCCTCTGCCATCTTGCAACGATTGTTAACCCAACGCGTTACATATGTTTAATGAAGAGAGAGAACCACACGCACGCACGAGTTGCTCGTGCTCCAGAGGACGAGCTGCATGCGGATAAATGCAAGGGAATGGTTATTCTACAGAGAGAGAAATGGGGGGAATTGCCAACAAATGGCAGAATCGGCTCAAACCTTTAGACAGACAGCTCATCTATTGTTTGGCTCTTTGAACACCTGGCTTAAGATCAATATTAAAGGGCCCTGGCGAAATGGTGTGGCAATTATGGGGGGTATGTGAAACATTTAGAAAGCAGAACAGAAGGAAGGAATGAGGTTGCGCAATGTTTCATTTATGGGGAATAATAAAGAGGAACGTCTTGGCTGGGCTGGAATTTCAATACTTACGATCACACAAAAACATAGAGAATCCCAAGAAATAAACAAAATCGTTTAGTTTTAGGCAATTACATATATGAGTTTTGGGCAATGCGTACATTACGTACGTATTTTTTAGTGGCAAAGCCGATCCAAATAAATCCTTTACGGGCTTATCACAAAGTTCACTGCGTCAAGTGTCGAATATTTCTGGGCATATTTCGAAGATCTTGTCGCAGGAGAGACACGCAGGGGCTGGCACATAATCCACCAACGCAGTCGTCCTTCCCAACGACTACAATGTTCCTTCCGTTGCTGAAATAAATACATAAATTTGTATCAAAGATTCTAAAACTGTTTAATAGTAGTTAGGATAAATACACAAAATTAAATCCAGAAACTGAAGCAGTAAATGAAGGTACAGTTACAACGTCGCAGGTAGCCAGCCGTTCAGGCGAGAGCGAAAGCAACTCAAGAGCGAAAGCAACTCAAGAGCGAAGGCAACCCAAGAGCGAAATCAAGCCCAGAGCGAAGTTAAGCCGAGAGCGAGGGTGTTTATCAGCTGAACATCGGCAAAGCAGAGAGCATTGAAATGTAAGAAACCGTGAGAGTGTGTCGTGTCCCATTGTTGTTGCTGTGTGGGAGAGAGAGAGAGAGATCGAAGCTCGTGCATGACGACTGACTGCAGCTCCTGTTTCTTGCAGTGGAGCAGCAGCATTTTTTTTGCAGTTGAAGTTTGCCTTTGCATTCGAATGCCTTCGCAGCCGCACTCGCGCACACATTGAGGCATTTAGCATGTGCGTGTGTGTGTGCGGCAGATAGATATGTGGCTGCTGGCTGCTGGATGCTCGCTTCTGACTCTGCGGCAAGTTATTATAACAGTTCATTGATTTTCAATTTTCAATGCATTTCATTGTTTGCCATTTTCTCTCTTTTTTATTCGCCCACCAAC